TTAATTTAGATTTAATCTTTGTATTGTATGGTATAATGATAAATCAATGTGATTATTCATTTCTTTATGAAGAATTGAGGGCCGAGCGTAAGTATCTGAGTGAACTAGAGTGTATATTATATATTTCATGAGGTCATGTCTTCCTCACTGTTGATAATATGCTTGTTCCTGAATACCTGAACTAATTGGGACTTTATAACGTATCTTCAGCCCTGTAAGAGTTATTCCCCTTCACTTTTGTTAATCGTACATGACGAACAAGTATTATCAATATAGAGGCATTGACCAGGATTTATTTTTTACATTTAATTTCTTGATTTCCTTATATCTCTTTCATAATCTTTCCATTGGGTTAAAAAAATCTAATGAAATACAATAATTGACTACATTCAAACTGCATGCGCTTTTTTGAAACATTTTCCTGGAATTAGTTTAGTTAGACTTATAGAAACAATGTTAAAAATTTGACCAAATTTTTACAAGTCGTGTCTAAATTAATATTAATGTTTTTCTTGATAATATACTGTCTTGATGTGGTATCGTTTACAAAAACTGTATTATATTTAAGAGAAAAAACAACAAAAACACAAACATTTTCATGTTAAAAAATATTGAAAAATGTCTATAATATTTTCATATTTTTGTTTTTCAATTTCAGTACTCTTGTTAACAAAACTTCTTTAATAAAATCTCTAATACCCACACTACATACAATATTTCTTAACTATTGTCAATTAGTCATACAAATTACACTACTTACACTTTTAATGGAACATCTGTGAAAAAAAAATCTGGTCTAGATTTCTTTGATGTAAATGCAGAAATGCATTTTACTTCATACATGTATCTATTTAGGATAGAGGTAAAACATAGCATGAAAATATTAGAATTATTCATCATCGTTCATAGTAAAACTTCCATTAAACCATTTCCATATGTTTACAGACATTCCCCCGCGTAAGTAAGACAGAGTGTGTGAACATAATACATGTATAGGTTGTTTTTTTACATATTGTATATTATTATTATTATAATTATTATAATGAAAGCCCCGCCCAATTTATTTAGTAAATTACAACAAGTATGCAATAATCAATTCTTTTCGTTATCAGGTAATCACAACTACAATTTATTTGTGCATCAAGTTGACTTTAACATGACCTTTCTAAGAAAAGTTACAATGAATGGCTCCATATTTGATATGTATACATGTGACATTAATGTGTCATGAAAAAATATAAAAAAAAGACCAATATCATAATCACCGTACAAAGATTGCCGTACTCTATAACTATAACCGACTGAAGAAAAAGTTTCATCACCACCATCACCAAGAAGAGAATAGATTTTGGGGAGGCTATGCCTCCCCAATGTTAATACCATTTGTCAAATCTTACTGCCGCGGTAATCAGGTCAAAAAATAGTACCTTGATTTTTTTAAGCTGACTCATCACTCATCACAGACATTTAAATTACAATTATGAATTATTAAATATGAAAATGTTTTCATTCTTTAACTTCATATCTGCAATTTGTAAAGATAATAATTCTCTGAACAGTTGTTTATTTTTTCAAAATCACTACTCCGTGACGTCATACTGCCGTGGTAATCAGGTTTAGGCATACGTATGTTGGTCATAAATAGTTCTGGTATGAAAACGCTTCTATATTATAACTTTATCAATATTTTTTTAACAAAAAGCATAAATGAAAATTTATAAGTATATGCTTTAATTTGGTGGCAAATAATCTTTATTATTTTTGATAACAATTTTCCAATTACTACGCAGCGACCAACTGTTTATGACGGGTCATTAACTAGAACGTTGCAACACCGTATTCTCAATATCATGCATGTTCTTTTGTTGTTATAAACCATTAATAGTCCTTAATATTTTTTTAAAGACAAATGATTGTAAACTGTCGCTTACATCGGTACGGAATTCCATAAACGACAGCCTACTGTTTACTGCCAACTGCCTACTGTCAACTGCTTACTGTCAACTGCCTACTGTCAACTGCTTACTTTCAACTGCTCAATGCTTACAGCGACTGTTTACTGTTTAATGCTTACTGTTAATTGATAAATGCCAACTGTTACACCTGTCTAATACACGATTAGTTGCCTGAAAGTAAATGTTGGCTTTTTATGTCCTTCTTCCAATGTGTGTATATGTTACAATGAGGCCGTTTGAAACAGTATTAGTCAAGGAATTACTCTGTATCATTTATGAAGACTTTGACTGAAACCTTGGAACTTGTTACATTTATACATGTACATGTATAATTCTCGTTTTACTAAGCAGAAAAATAAGTATATATCTTAGCAGGCATCTGGAACTTTTCCCAATCATAGACCTTTAAACTGTATAAAAATGTTATCAAACCAAATATTACAAGTTTTTCTGTCATTAAATCTTTTTCGGTTATTTTGAGCTAACAAATATAACTGCTTGCTTAATGATTTATACATGTTTATCCCTGTTCAAGCTTAGATACATCTACCATATAACATGTATATTATAATATTTGTTCATTGAATGATATTGACCCTACCCTTTAACTATAGAGCTAAATGATATTTTAAAACGGAGGCTTTGTAATGTCATCACAACGGTCAGTTTTATGTTCGTATTTTGAAAATAAAGCTATAATGCTTTGATAAAAAACAATCTAGATAAGGTATAGTGCTCAAAACATAGATATATAGATTTTCAGACACAATTATATATATCAAAGCACAGAAGGCGCTGAATTTGTTTGGGTCTCAGAATGTCAGAAAGGTGAAGGTTGTGAGATAACAAACCAATTTGTTTTTGTATAGCCACCAATGCTTTCCAGCGTTGTGACGACCCAAACAAATAATCAGTCACGTCTCGAATTACCAGTAGTTTATTCTGATAAACGTTAAACGTACTGGGAGAGTATACACACTTCATGGTCCAAATCATGCATGGAACCGTTTAGTTCTATCTAAAAAAGTTCATACTTGTTCTGGTGATTGTAGACCGAACATGTATACCTTAATTCTACAAAGCCTTAGATTTGCCTCGGGAAAATGTTACTTTAGTAGATGTTAAAATCTTATTCGACAGATCGAAGCATGATGACTAACATGTCAATTATTGTGTTATAATTGGAAAGTCGATGCATAATAAAATCATTGAAAGCTCTTTGAGTTTCTTGGGCATTATTAATACAAAGTGATGTTAGTATTTGTTAAACGATATGATCAACTGCGGCATCCTAAATTTGAGTCAATGTAATGCCTTCCGCATGTAATTTCTTAGTTTTTGCAGTATTGCCTCTGTTACATTTTGATTTTTATAATTTATGATAAAAGCATTAAAACCACAGGATAGAAAACAGATTAATCAATATATTGCTGGACGGCCGTAATTTTATTTCATTGTCTTAAGAAAAGAGTGTTTAGGTTAACTTGTAAAGCTGTTTTGAAGAAAAACAATCAGATAACTTGCTAGATATTGGAGCTTCAGATGTATTTTTTATGGAACTAATAATATAACGTTATCTTGATCTTCCTAATGCATACTTTTCGCGATCCCATGCATTAAAAACTGATGGACTAAGACACTGTTTAAATGCGAACAATGTTGATTTTTTTTCCAAATTGGTCATGTAAACAAACTTTGCTTTATGGTTAACATATATATAACCATTTTCAATTCATTTTGTCATAATTTTGTTTTCCGGGGGGGGGAGGGAAAGCTAAACATAAACAAAATTACAAGAAAATTATGATATTTTATTTTTAAAGAACTTTTTTATTTTCAATTAAAACGAAAACAAAATACACTTATTGATAATAACACCACATAAAAAGTATGTTTAGACCAGTAAGCTAATATTTTCTTGTATACGCCGTTATTTAAAATAAAAATTATGACACGCCTGTAAAAAATCAAAATCTATATAAAATATTTGTAAAGTTTCGGGGAAAGCAATTAATATAAAAGCAGAATTATAATTAAAAGTTCTGTTATGAATTATATAATTGTAATGAAATTATATTAATGTAAATATACTCTGCAATATAAAGTGATATACACGTTGTAAGAATGGTAACTTAAAAATGCTTCATATTATACCATAGGAGCTTACACTATCACGATGTCTTAGAACTGTTTACCTTAGTTGTCAAACCTTTAAAACCCTGATAGAAATAGCAATGACTTTCATTGGATGATTCTGGCAAATACGAAGGCAGATTTGCTCATTGGTTTTACTTGCAGTAATTGCAAAAAGAAATAAAAAAATTAGCAACCTTAAAGTTCACTTTTAAGTGTGTTTGTTAACATGATACATGTAATTATAAAAATAATATAAAAGATGGATTTTAAACAAACACGTCAAAAAAAAAATTGTAACATTAACATGGTCATTGTGTCTATCAGAAATGTTTAAGTAAATTTAAATAGTTAAGAATCTATTATTTCTCAGAGTTTTTCAATAGCACAATTGAATTTAAACAAGAGAATAACGATGGCTTTTCATAAAAGTAAAAACTGTAATTTATCACTTCATGTTTGCACTCTTTATGTCATTGAAATATTGAACGTTTTCGAAACAATTTGAATACAGCCAAGTTCGTCTTTGTTAATGCTTTTAGAAGGAAGCCGAGTTAAATTTGCCTATAAAAACCAATACATTTATGTAGTCTTTTTACTCTTCCATTGTAATTTCAATATTTTCATACAGGTGTATTGGTTCTGTTACTTGTCTGTGAAGTAAATGAAAGTATAGGCTGTTCCTCCATTGAAATGTTTCTGTCAGGTTTATTATCCTCTGTACTGGAATAAAATTGATTCTATAATTAACCTTCAAAGCACATGTCTTTGAAACATAAACTAAAGAGTGCAATCAGCTTAACAAAAATGCATTACATAACATCTAATAAGGAATTACATATTTATAAGCTATAATTAACAGCCAATGAAAACTGAAATATATTGAAACATTAACATGGTCATTGTGTCTATCAGAAATGTTTAAGTAAATTTAAATAGTTAAGAATATATTATTTCTCAGAGTTTTTCAATAGCACAATTGAATTTAAACAAGAGAATAACGATGGCTTTTCATAAAAGTAAAAACTGTAATTTATCACTTCATGTTTGCACTCTTTATGTCATTGAAATATTGAACGTTTTCGAAACAATTTGAATACAGCCAAGTTCGTCTTTGTTAATGCTTTTAGAAGGAAGCCGAGTTAAATTTTCCTATAAGAACCAATACATTTATGTAGTCCTTTTACTCTTCCATTGTAATTTCAATATTTTCATACAGGTGTATTGGATCTGTTACTTGTCTGTGAAGTAAATGAAAGTATAGGCTGTTCCTCCATTGAAATGTTTCTGTCAGGTTTATTATCCTCTGTACTGGAATAAAATTGATTCTATAATTAACCTTCAAAGCACATATCTTTGAAACATAAACTAAAGAGTGCAATCAGCTTAACAAAAATGCATTACATAACATCTAATAAGGAATTACATATTTATAAGCTATAATTAACAGCCAATGAAAACTGAAATATATTGAAACATTAACATGATCATTTTGTCTATCAGAAATGTTTAAGTAAATTTAAATAGTTAAGAATCTTTTATTTCTCAGAGTTTTTCAATAGCACAATTGAATTTAAACAAGAGAATAACGATGGCTTTTCATAAAAGTAAAAACTGTAATTTATCACTTCATGTTTGCACTCTTTATGTCATTGAAATATTGAACGTTTTCGAAACAATTTGAATACAGCCAAGTTCGTCTTTGTTAATGCTTTTAGAAGGAAGCCGAGTTAAATTTTCCTATAAGAACCAATACATTTATGTAGTCCTTTTACTCTTCCATTGTAATTTCAATATTTTCATACAGGTGTATTGGATCTGTTACTTGTCTGTGAAGTAAATGAAAGTATAGGCTGTTCCTCCATTGAAATGTTTCTGTCAGGTTTATTATCCTCTGTACTGGAATAAAATTGATTCTATAATTAACCTTCAAAGCACATATCTTTGAAACATAAACTAAAGAGTGCAATTAACTTAACAAAAATGCATTACATAACATCTAATAAGGAATTACATATTTATAAGCTATAATTAACAGCCAATGAAAACTGAACCAAAAGGACCTTGTAAATGAACTCACACATTTTTGATTATGAGAGAATGTTTAGCCTAAATTTCACCCGTGATTTCACCAGTATATTACAGATATTCTTCTAGAAATGTATTACATTGTCAAATGAAAATTTAATAAACTATGAAATTCTAAATGAAATAAGGGAGTGTTGACATAATGGTCCAGATCTCCGCCTCTCAACCGAGGAATAGTGGGCTCAAGTACGTCCATGTTGATTGTTGAACAAAGATTCTTTGTGAATAAAATATTATTAAGTTGATTTACCCTAAAATGAGTCCTATATTTGACAATTTATCAATCACCTGTGCAAGAGGCACGGGGAACCATTTCATAACATAATCAATGCAGTGTGCAATGGTGGGACATACACAAGTCATTGCAATGAATTCGAAATTACAAATTATTAGGCTTAATTATAAAATAATCATTTTTAATTAACTTACCATTGTTTTCCAAGCAGATTTTTTTCAACAAAATGGCGGGCGCACATGTGTGTACATTCGGAATACTTCTATTTGATCCATACATAGACTTAGACTGCCAATAAGCAGTTAGCAGTAGGCAGTGAGCAGCAGGCTGTCCAGTTAGCAGTAGGCAGTGAGCAGTAGGCTGTCGTTTGTGGAATTCCGTACATCGGAGACATGGATCATGCTTGCGTGATAACAAAGGAAAACTAACTTATTAGGAGGTTGTACGCGGAAAACGCTCATAAACCGCTATATCATATGGCTGTTAGTAAATATTTTGCATACATTTAACTACAAATTCACTGATGGTGATGAACATGTAGTTTTAAAACACTATATTCTCGAACCATTATCGCCGAAAAAAAAACTATTTAACTACAAAACCCGTAAGGACCCTCCGACAAAATTTCAGCACACGATTTTATTTTACTTTAGCAAACTAAAAAAGCATTACATATATTTTCATCTTATATTATTCATTAATCAAAGCTTTTAACATAAAAGTATCTTGTAAAAATATGTCTGGCAATTGACAGATCCCTACTCTGATTGCGAAACAAGCTCTTGCAACTTATATTAGTCACTTTCGAGTTCGCTTCCTGGAACTAACCAGTACTGGTGTCATATGAAGAAACAAAGCTCGAACCCATGATCCCTGGGTTTAGAGGCAGACACCTCAACCACTAGGCCACCGCTCCCCTTAAACTACCAATGTTAGTTTCCGACATTTTTCTACTGCATTTCTGCTACAAGAAAGGAATGATGTTTCCCACAGAACCAAGGACCACCCCTTTTAAAACCAGGAATTCCTTAAACATGCAATGGAAATAGATCAAATTTTATTCTGAAGAGACAAATCTCACCGGAAAGCTGTTAATGATGCCACTGATTCTCGTCGAGCAAAAAATCTGCAATTTTATATGATATATTTAAAGTTGTAGAGAAGAATTTTCAGTTTACACTTTACAAAACTCCCCATGTGTGGAGAGATCCAGTAATCACAAAAAATTGTACAAATATTGTTTGGTTTGGTTAAGCTGAAACTGTAATAGTTTGTTTGTACCCCCAGATAAGTTAGGAAAAATCCGAAATATTATTAATTCCGGAGCAAGGTATGCAAGCTGTCACATGCTATATAAGGGAAGACTTTCTACCCCAAATAATGAATCTCGCAAAAAAGAATAATCTCATAATCCAGTCTATCTATGTTTGTATTATGATAAGATGTTATGTAAATGACCTAAGTGTTAAAAGTTATTATTAGCATGACTATCTTTTTTTAGTCGAATTGTCTCTTTAGATTAAAGTGCATGTGTTTTTCGTATACATGTAATTAGATGTTTATTTTAACGTTTTGGATTTGTTAGATAGAATTATGTTTAGACATGTTTTGTTACATAACATTTTTGTGGAAACTTTCACATTTTTTTCTCATATTTAAATGCTTAAAAAATAATGGCAAATTTGCTTTTTTAATTCTAAAGCGTTGTTTTAGGTTTTGAGCTTAACTGATACATATATTTTATTAAGACATGTAAATAAAAGTGACTCAGTTGGTCTTTTCGTATTATGAAGCTGCTGCTATTACCTTGTTCATGTTTTTTTTTTTGGATCAAGTTTTAAAATTATTATACTTTTCTGTGTAAATGAGGAAACATGTTAAAAGTCCATCCGGATTTAAAGTAAATCAATCATTTTACAAGTAACATCAACCTGTCTTAATCTTTTTTTTTAAATATTAAATTTAATCAACACATTCAACATTGATTTACTAAAATCATTTAAATAATAAATAATTATTAAAAACCTAAAGTACAGTTGTTATTTTATCTTAAAAGCAATAAGAATTGGTAATATTTGAATAAAATACTATATAAAATAACATATAAAATACATTCTCTTTTAAACCTGCCTTTTTCATTTCTCAGATTCTACAGTGCTCACGTGTAATATATTATATACTGGCGTTAAATCATATCATCTTAAAGTTTCATAATTTATCTGGTGAAATAATGTCTATATGAAAGTTAAAAACATTGCCACCAGTATAGTCAGGCCAGCTTGCATATCCGTGCAGTCTGGCCAGGCTCAAAACACTGTTGGCTGATCAATTAAAATATTTTCATCTTGATATTCACAAAACAGCGATAATGGATTGTTCCAAAAATATCTAGACAAGTCCGTTTAAAAAAAATCATCAGTACAATTATCAAATGATATTGCTTTAGTCACGTTATATTTTTTTCTGATTAGAAAAACTCGAAAGAATTGCAAGCACAATTTCAGCGCGAGGCCGAGGCCATTTCAGCAGCCGAAAACAAACCATACGAATCACCATGTGTATCTATATATACGCTCCTCAAGTTCAGATAAAATACAGCCATTACCTACCACAAGAAAACAAGTGAAAGCTTTAGCAACGTAAGTATTCTATACGGTATCGATTTATTTATAGAATAATAAAAGGGTTGTTTATTTATTTAGGAAATAAGTATGAATTTTGAGTGCGTTGTACAATAATGCAAGGTTGGAGTTGAAATGTGCAGGAATATTTAATCACGAAGGCAAATAGCATTTGAACAATAAAATGTGAATCATTGCAATACAATGCAAGAAAAAATTGCTATTCTAGTATGCTTATAGAACGAGAATTGATAAGAAATAATGTTGAACTACATGTACTTAAGTGGAATTGTTATTTTCCTTGCATAATTTGATTGATTTACGTTGCTTATGATGCAAAAGCATTCCTATTTTTTATACCAAGCATATATTGTGTAATAAAAACAATAATGTTTAGTTAAGCGTGTTAGAATTTTTCATAGGCATGAGTGGAGTTAGAATTAGTGAAACATGATTTGTTATTTTGTTGATCTTAATTATGCTAAAAAGAAAGGTTTTGTTTTTTTTATTGAAAAATTGTCAAGATTTTTTAGTTGTTTATTCAATGTAATATGGTTTAAATATGATATACATTGGTATGGTTGTCACTTTAGTTTTTTTCCAGATTTGTTGAAGATAAAATGGGAGGTACAATAGAAAGAGGTCAACTTAGTCATTTTGGCTGGGAATTACCATTAAGTCAAATAAAATTTGAACTCAAATATAATGTAGTGCCTCTTGGTAAAATCAAAGCTGGAATACATGTACACAGAGCATTGTTGTTTTAGGTAAGTTGGCCAATATACAAATGTTCTTAAAATGCAGGTTGAATTGTTATTCTATATGTTTTAGTAAGACAATTGTGATCATGTACTGGATTTGTCACTGCATTAGTTTATTTTTGTGCACCATTTCAGTTTGAGGATAGTTTATTTGCTTATACCCCTACTGTAAGTTGTAGTTTTAACGGGACATAGTTGTTAACCCACCATTCTCTAACTCTAGAAATCTTTGTCTCATCTCTGACCCTATGAAATATTAACAGGTTTTTATTGTCATCTCTTTGTACATGAAAATGTAGCTAGAGATAGCCGACTGTTTAACATCCTGTTAAAAGATTGATCCCCCGATTTATTTTGCCAATTTTCAAATGTTATGAACCTAACTAGCAAAATTGACGGATAACCTATGTTTCTACTCAACTTTTGCAACTACGAAAGTTCTTACATGTTAAGAACCAAACTAGCCAAAATCGACGGATGACCAATGTTTCTACTTGACTTGGAGATTTTGCAGCTAAGAAAGTTCTTTAATTGTTATGAACCTAACTAGCTAAATTTTACAGATGACCAATGTTTCTACTTGTCTTGGAGAGTTTCTAAAATAGTGTGCAGAAACACACCTGGTAACTTATCATCAGTCATGGCTCGCCATATGACTAGACATATATTTTTACCGATGCTCAATTTTGAGATTCATATGGGGTTCCACCCCCTTTAACAGGTTGGAAAAAAGATATCGATTATATATATAGAGAATATTGATGAATGTAAGTTCAATACTGAATTTATTACACATGTTGAAAAAAAAATTTTATACGAGCCTCGGGCGAGCATAATAATGTAGTGAACTTACACGAATTTAATAATCTTTTTATCACATACCCAAAATAAAGACCGTTTAAAATGAAAAAAGAGTAATTTTTCATTTAGCGCGTCCTTACACTTTCTTTGTATAACGCTAATGACGTCACGTCAAAATATATGCACGGCCGTGCCATACCATTTTTACGGAGACGCAAAATCGGCACGGGTGTGTGATTAATAGTGATTAGTGTACTATTATTAAAGAAAATGAATCATTCAATGTAGGAGTTGATATTGATGGCGAAAGAAATTGTATGTTATTATATGCTGACGATATTGTGTTGCTTGCTGATAACTCAAATGATTTACAGTGTCGTATAAATGTTCTTAATGACTTGTGTTCTATAAATGATATGACTTATAAGTGTGCATGTATAAATATCTTATAATGTGAGTCAAAATTGACCCTATGCTGGAATTTTTTAAAAATACAGCTGAGAGACAAGGTATGATATTCCATTTATTTAAGTCTATAACAAACACAAATTTAATGAACATGCGCAATAAATGGGATGTTGCGTAAATTGCAAATGTCGCAAAATTTCAACACCTGTAATCTCTGTTCTATATTATCGTATGTCTATCTTGACTTCAAAGTATCAACATGGTAGTTTGATTTATCGTTGAACATTTTATTTTGGAGTAGATTTTAGTTTAAGAAAATTGGCTCGTTACTGGGCGATGGTCTGTTGCACTCCTGAGGGAAGTTCAGGAAAGACTGTTTTCACTGGTTTCTTTAATGGTTATCTTAGCACCGATCATAACCAATACGATCTGTTTGCAACTTCGGTTTTATATTTAAAGGCTTTATAAATGTGTAAAGAACAACTTATGAGCACAAGTCCAGTCAGCGCCAGGAATCTTTCTGAACATCTATTAACAACATCAGCGTAATGGAATATCACTAAAATCTAAGTATTAAATGTGATAGAAGCTATACAGGGTAAAATGAACCGTCTCTAAGAAGTTTCGGTGCAGTGCAATAACCATCGCCTAGTAATATGCGAAAAATGTCCAGCAGTGAATAAGTCTTCCCCAATATTATGAAAAAAGATTGGGTCAAATGGATGCGACAATACTCTCAGGTTGTAATTGGCCGCCAGGGTGAGCATACGGTATTAGAATAATTTTTAATCATACATTTATTTTGTGACATTGGGTAATAAAGCATTTTTACATTTATTGGGCATATTTATTATTTTTTTTATTTTTTTTTATGAAATATAATAAATGGAATATCATATCATGTCTCTTAACTGTATTTATCTAAAAAATAGAGCATGACCATACCAAAATTGACACACATATGAGACTATTTATACATGCACACTTATAAGATTTGTTAAGTGTATAAATTGTGAAAAAAAGTTGTTCATTTTAGAAATGTCGAGGTTGCTAGATGTAATACTATGTTAACTTGTAGCAACGATGTATTTGAAATTGTGGACATATATAAGTATTTTGGTATATTTTTTATTGAACACTTGGATTTTAATATAACCGCTAAACATGTAGCTAAAAGTGCAGGAAGAGCCTTAGGTCTTGTTAAAGAGAAATGCGAAAGTTTAGGAGGCGTTCCATAAGCCGTTTACACCAAACTTTATGATTCCATTGAGTGGCCCGTGATAAACGATGGTGCAGCGGTTTTTTTGGGTAACGGGCCTTTCTCATGTGTTAATGCCATCCATGATAAAGACATTTTGTTCTTTTTGGGTGTTGGTAAATAAATACCAAACGCAACACTTGCAGGTGAGATGGCCTGGCAACCACCATTTGTTTGTCAATTGAAATCTATATTAGCGTTTTAGGCGCGTTTTAGTAAAACAAACTCGTCCAGACTGTATAAGAGAATTGCTCTTTGGACTAATGGTAAAGGAAACAGCAATTGTTAAACTTGCTACTTTTGTGTTCAGTCAAAATTGTTTGAATGTAGACTCACCTAATTTAATGACATTTCTAACCATGTATCAAAACATGCTATTGTTGATAGTGCTATTTCTTTTTGTTGGATCAATATGTATAAGACTGGAAACAGCTTATCAATAGATCTGTAGGTAGTTCAGGTTAAGGAAGAAAAAAACTAAAAACATATTGTACTTTTAATAAAAATGATAATGATATTCTACATAGACGTAAGTAAATCTTATCTTGCGTGCGTAAGTGCATGCAGGCGTGCGTGTGTGTGTGTGTGCGCGTGCGCGCGCGCGTGTGTGTGTGTGTGTGTGTTTCAAACTTTTTTATCACATATGTGCTCCTCTTTTAACTACAAAGTCGTACTACTTTATTCCTACCTTTGTTTACATACGATTAGAGAATCTGTTCCTTAGTTTTATCATGTAAATTGTCTTTGTTATAAAATGGTATATATTTTTATACATTTGTATCCCTTGTAATTCTGTATTAAATGACTATATACATGTTCTTAAGATATGTTTTTATGTTGTATTAAATGGCACCATGTATAATAGATGAGACTTTAATAAATAAATAGTTTAATATCAATTATATGCCTCTTGAACAATAAAAGTTAATGTAATTGTAACATCTGATGTACAGTGATCAAAGATCTCTTATATAATGTACAATAAATATCTATATTTCGCATTAATTGATTTTGAATATAGTGTTTATAGCTCTTTGTTTGAAGGTAACAATCGCATAATTAATACCTTATAGACTTCCTAGAAATTGCATTAAATCATATAAATGATAACAAATTAATATAAAAAACAATAAATAACACTTGTAATCTATTTGATTTTATATTCTTAAACATTGCATATTTGACAGCACAGAATGTTAAGCAAATGTATCGAATGAATAAGGCATATCAATGTTTATAATACACAGGAAAAATCATAATAACACATCTAAAACACACATCTGTAATAAACATGGTCGAAAAGCTATTCTTTACTGGTTAAATATTGAAGATTGACAGTAAAATGTATTTATAGTGATATGAAAATAAGTTGAATCTGTATTACTCATTTATAAATAATTGAATTTTGAGGCACAATTAAAAATGATTTTAATATACTTAATTTAATACAAAGAACCTAATCATGTATTTAATTGCCCCTTAATCAATCAGCTTTCATCTTAGAATAATCACCAAAAAATCAAAATAAATAACGCTATCATGAAACATAGCTTTAATATATTACTTATCTATTATACAAAATTGTCAGTCTGCACATTTCAATTATACCGAAAAGTTGGTCTGTGCATATTTTTATACCGTATAATTTGTCTGCTTGTTTCTATTATACCTGGGTTTCGGACTGTTCATCAGTTGACTCGCTTTTAGTAGGAAATACCCAACTGCTATGATAAGCTTTTCCGCAAATGTATGGAATAGTCCCCAAAAAGTGCAGAAACGTGGATATTCTGTGGATTACCATTGCCAAGAATTGGATTACGAGTACAGACCCATATACAAAAAGCACAGCAAAACCTGCATAAAACAATAAGATGATTAGCATTTCTTTTTCATAAAAGGCCATGTTTTATAAAAATTTACATTTTCATTCAGACACGTGTCTTTAAACTACTTATGAATATTTCAGAATAAAAATATATAATAAAGGTCTGTTAGCAGATTGCAAAATGTCTTTGTATTTTTAAACTAGAAAAAGGTGCGTCAACCTACCAGTCGGATTACTTCCAAATACACCTTCTAGTAGTTTTCCCATGTCTGCTAGCGTTGAAATAAGTATTGTCCACAGAATGTTTATCATAGCAAACATTAAAACCCAATTGTTGCGGAGCTCCTTTAGTTTCACTATATAATATGAAGAGCAAGTAAACTTACGACTTAAAGATACCCAAAAAATAAACATAATTATAAAAATCATGTGATTAAGGCTATGTGGCATTTAAAGCTTAAAAAATAACTTACGTCATATTGAAAATTTAAGCTTATTAATCTATATTTTACGTTTGAGACCTGCTGGCACTTAAGGAATATATAATAAAAATAAGATTGTCTGAGTGAAAGAAACAAGAGCGAAGACTGCAGAGTCAACTTGTAAAATCTTTCATTTTTGAAGCCTCTAACATCACCTCAAGAAGCAAACGTGAAGCAAAACCATGAACGTAATATAGGGATCAAGAAAACAAAACACAGATATTAACTTCCTCGATTACACATGTTAGTTAATTCTTTAATGATAAATTAAAAGATTGTTCTTTCTCTACTTTCCCGCTACATATGACATTTTTGAAATGATGCCTTAATAGTTGTAGAGTAGTCTACTTAATTTATATAGCAGTAACTGTTGTTTTGTAATTGAATTTACAGATTGGAATATGAAACTGGTTGTACGTAATATTACACATACATTCTGGTAATTTTTATCATCCTGCCAAGACATTTAGCCTTTAGTTCTTTTATGCTGGAAGCTTAAGCTTGAAACACACTCAAATTTGTACCTGGAACCTACCAGTTCTAAGAAATTCAGTTATGATAGCATATATATCGCAAGAGCTTGATATATTTTTCAACAAGGATTTGCATGGATTGATGGTGTTAAATCTTTTTGACATATATAATTTTTCCTGCTAAATTACATCTCCTGATAATATGTATACATGTAAAGATTATCATTGCAGATTAGTACGATGCGAAACGTCTTAATTTTAATTCTAAAATACTTAAACGTTTCAAACCTTTTAATTTCAGGTCTGAAGCATCGCCACATGTCACTGTGTATTTTTGTTGATCAATCGCCATTACCAATCTTCTAACATGACCTAAAACATAAGATACAAAACGTCCGCCAAGTTGGTTGCCTGGCACTTTTATGTCAGTGGCATATATCAATATTACGGAAACGGTCGATATATCAACATTACGGAAACGGTCAAACCGTTACTCGGAAAATCTACCGGCAACAATATCGATAGTTTTGACTGATTTTAGTGTTTGAACCTGAAAGTAACTTCAAGGTCTTCTAAAATCAAAAGAATATAAATTCTAGTACTAACTTCTCCCCCCCCCCCCCCCAAAATGTACCTGTCTGAATGCACAAATTTTTACTGGCTACAATATCTTCGGCTGACATGTTGTGACGTCACCGTAATATAATCAGGTGTAGCTACCAGTGCGTCTAACAGGTAAGGGTGGGTTACGCATGAAGATTAAATTAAAAAAAAATATCGGCAAAATAAATCTATACATTATTTTTTAACAAAATGTGTGTTTTATTAAATACTATTAAAAAGTACCTATGTGTTTAACCTAAAATGAAATGGTTGCAAATAGTCCGTACAAGTACTATTTTTGATACACAACATGTATCAATTGGGGTTTGCCTTCTTGTTTTACTGCTTATGGCTGCTATTGCCACTCTCTGCCACTGACTTTATTTATACATGTATATTGATATGACAATTAGGAACGTAAAAGAATTATGGAAGGAAACATTTTTAGTATACATTTTAAATTATTTAGTATTTGTACAAATAATGTTTCTTTTTATTTTACGGGTGATATACTAGTATATAGTACCATAATAAACCTACTGATAAAATTATACCGAATCGTAACAAACAGAAAATGATTATCAATACAATATTCGGCAAGCAAGCAAGCATTGTAAAGAAAAGAAAAGAAAAAAAAACGGAATCCCCTAAACACGCCCGAAACGGTATATCTGAAACATAATTACTCATGAGTACCGTAAGTGCAAGTGCTCCCTTGCGTCGGTTTAAACAGAATTCATCACTAATGCATAATAATGTTATAAGTTTAAATTTAACAGTCACAGATGTGAGCAAAATACATCGATTATCATGGAACTTATAATGTTAGAGGTGCAGTCATTATAACAGACTATTTCTCCCATCTATCTTACATTGTTATATTATTCTAGATCTAAATTACGGTCACTAAATTCCCTTCTTGCTGCGTTTTTATCATAAACCCCGTTCAGACTGTGCGACAATTGCATTTTACGGAGAACTTAAATTTCTTAACTTGTAAAAAGGCCAATCTGACATTCCATTTTATAGTCTGACAGGGATAAGAAACTGTATAAATAGATTTGATTTCTCTTTGTTACTCTGTTGGACAGCTAAGTGGTTCCTGAATGCTGTCGGAGGCTGCATTCTGCTCTCCCTTGTAGATTTTTGTATTCATATTTCATTATTTAAGTGATAATTATTTTTTGAGTGAGCTTAACGGTTATTAATAAATGTTTACTTATTTATTGTCGTGTTTATTATGGCAGTGTGTAAGAGATTTATGTTACTGACATAGATATTCGTCTACGCCATTACAGACAGTCGAAATCGGAAAATAGGACAGCTTATATTGATTTCATTTATTCAAAACCACCTTACACTGAAAATTGGAAAAATGGATTTAAATACTAGAAAATCACAACACGATAGAGCGACAGAGCGTTGTTTTGTCCCATACCATACCGAAGCAAGATTTCACAAGAACAATGTGTAGCATTTCTCCCTAATTTAAAGCACGAAGAATGTCAAACCGTGGGATATATTACAAATAAAAACACCATGTGCATGAACAATCAGTAATTTTTTCCTAAGTTTATCGATGATAAAAGCTGCAATATTTTCATGTAAAATGTGTTTTGATAGTTGTTATATGATTCATCTTGATAGCGTGCTTATTCAATCGTGAAAAACAGCTGCGCTGCATCATGAAAAGAAATTTTCAATGCCCGCTAAAAGTGATAAAGATAAAAAAGTATTACAAATGTTTTACATCTGTACTATCCATTGAAATGATTTTATAACGTTTAAGTTTGTTTTTGCACGGCATTTAATTACTGAAATCTCTGATTTTCAGAAGGAAAAAAATCTTCCGATGACCAAATGCCAAAAAAAAATTATAAAAAATATATATATATACATTGTATATATGTACTGAAATTCATAAAGTTTTCAGTATATTTAACAATATCTTCGTTAAGATACACAAATTTTCATAATTATTGTTTTAGATTATTACCCCCCCCCCGCCGAAAGGCGGCAGGGGATATAGAAATAGTCTCCGCCCGTCTGTCTGTCCGTCCTTTAAACTTCATAGGTGGATGGATCATATTAAGGAGGATTGCAGTGCACAAGAATGATAACTCTACCCTGCATAATTGTTCAGTTATTGTCTTTTGTTATTTTTCAAACTTAATTTTTGACCAGAGCATGACTCAAAAAGCCTTTGAGATATCGAGATGAAACTTCACGGGTGGATATATCTCACTCAGGAGGTGTGCAGTGCACAAGAATGATAACTCTACCCTTCATAATTTTTGAGTTAATGCCCTTTTTCATATTTAATTTTTCACCTGAGTGTAGCATAACTAAAAAATTCTTTGAGATGTCAACATGAAACTTCATAGGTGTATTTATCTTATTGAGGAGGAATAATATGCGCAATAATGATAACTCTACCCTTTATATTTTTTTAGTTATTGACCTTTGTTATTTTTCATAGCTTTTGTCGGGAGCTTAGCTCTAAAATGTTAGAGATATCGACTTGAAACTTCATAGGTGGATAGATCTCATTGAGGAGGAGTGCATAAAAAATTATAACAAACCCTGCATTTCTTTCTTTTTCAGTTATTGCCCTTTGTTATTTTCAGCCATCGTATTCACATAGGTTTCAAATCTGTAGTCACTTCAGCCATCAGTTTTCATTACCAAAAGACCTCTTTAAATTGAATTATTCTGCACTACTACATATACATTCTTCAAATGAGCAAACACATTCGACGGGGGATGGTCATGCTAACATGGCTCTTGTTCATTTTTAAAATGCCCTACGGCTAGCCTCAATGTTCAGTGCGTATAGGCTAGTTGTATGTGATTCACGTACTGCATATAACTTTTGGCAAGCAAATACAGGCCCGTTACGGCTAGACACTACCATAAATAATTTATTTCATGCTTTCCATGTGTTTTATGTAATATATCAGATGATTCATATTCTGATAAACCACTAGTAAATTTATAAAAATATATTTTCACTGTAGCCGGACTTATATCTGAATGCGGATGAAAAAAAATCAAACTAAATGTGTATTAACAGGCAGAAAAAATGCCGTCATACGTAAATTTGCTTCTTTATGAAAAGAAAGTCGATGTCACCATATATTCATGTTAAAGATGTAACAAAAATAGAGAAATTTAACAGAACTATATTTCCAAATTGATGATGTGACGTCATGATGTGATGACGTCACAAAGGAGAATGCGCGACGTTACGCGGCAAAATCAGTACAAAAATACTAAAATCACTTAAAAAAGCATGAAATAAAAAGAAAATTTATTTGTGTTACATATAAGATTGAAATATATTTCATTCGTGAACACCAGCTATTACGCCACTCGTGAAAATATTGCATCTGGTGTTCACTCAGTGAAATTATATTTCAATCTTACACGCAAAACAAACAAATATCCTCTATGTAAACAATAGGCCAGTTCGACATAACATAAAATGTGAAATGAAAAAAAGCTGAAAGAGAACAATGTATCCGGGTAGTAAGACGAAACAGTCATAGTACACGTCAAAGATAGTTTTTACAGTGGGCACAATTCTTCATAACATGTATTTATAAACAACCATTTATTCAGCAATCTATATATATTAACTATAAATTACGACCTATACATTTTTTAAACATTAACGTTGAATAACATTTAAAAAACATTATACGCGAAAGTAAACCATCAACACAAGTCAGTTTTTGTGTGTGTTTTTTTCCGGCATCACGAATTTGCCATACTGGACTTCGATCTATATTAAAACTAGACAAGTACGATCCGTATAAGTTGTTAACTAAGATATTCAAGTCCTGTTCACCTATAAACTAATATATGTCTAAAAGTCAAAATTTTGGTTGAAAAATAAAACTGAATTATTGAATCATTTATTTTTCAATATTAAACAGACTAATGTGATAATTACAGGCAACGATCCACTTGGTCCATTAAGCTCCCCGCCCCGGCACCCTGACCTTATTTTTTCTATCAAATGCGCATTTAGAGTAAAATATTGCAACAAACTGACTTAAGATAAATGTAAATTTTTAATTGGAAATTAGACACTAGCTTAGCTTCATAAAATTATTCCAGTGGCACTTTCAGTAGATTACGCTGGGTCATTGTTGAGGCAAGTTAAGCGTCTACATAAAACTGAGTAAATTAGCCTTAGAAAAGAGCCACTTACTAAATACATCTAAATACATGTACTTGTAAATTATTAAAAGCCTCCCTTGAATGTGATGATGAATTTTTTCGTACATATATTCAAGTAGTTTTAACTCTTAAATCTATATAAATACTGAAGCGTAAGTGATGTTTGCATTTCTTATGCATTCCTTTTTACGGTTTATGTAAAACATTATCAGGGTTGTTTCCCTGCCTCTAGCAGAACCATTTAGGAATATCTGCCCCTCTGGAAAATTCTTTTAAATTCATAGTTTCCCATAGAAATCAGTTAAAGTGACCTCATGTTCATTTCATCATTGTCAAGTTCACCTGAGTTGACTATATATTTCAAAAGAGTGACTGTTATAATGGGGATTGACCAAAAGTTGAGTTTGAAAATGTTAAGAATAAAAAAATAAAACATAAAATTTAAAGACTGTCCGTCCAACTCGAGCGTAAAAGGTAATTTATTTGGCTAAGTGAGATATTTATCTTTATGGGAAGTATTTTATATAATTGAAAGAAATTATTGAAAAATGTAAACTTCTTTTGACTTCACCTATCACTCATTATATGCACAAGGATAAACACAATGCCACTTTTTTGTTCCTTCCATATTTGCATAAATAATGTGAAATTTCTGTGAAAAATACATAGACACTTCAATTTCAAAATGTGCACATTAAATGTACCAAAATCCACCAGTTAACATGTAAATTTTATTTTGTCCTTGGGGAGCACCCCTAAACCCTCCCATAAAAAGGGACTTTGGTCATTTCAAACATATGCCCCCAACCCCCAGGTCCTTATCATATAGTAAGTCTATTCGAATAATATTCTGACCCTTAATCAATCTTACCCCTATTTTATAGTCCGCACAATACATGTGCACTGTTCCACCACATTCATTTTAAATGCCCCTGATTCTTGGTGGAAAATATTACATTCCAATCAAATATTTTATTTGACGAAAAATGAAACAAATAAAATTAAGACTATTGCAAAGTTTCATGTCACTTGATTTAAAAAAGACTGGAGCCTGATTAACTTTTTTTTAAGTTCAACTATTCGAGGAATAGTGGTGATATCCTCTCGTCTTGGTGTCAGTGTCCGTGTTGGCGTACCACTTTGGTTGCAATTTGGGGGCATAACATAGCTTGTACAGCATCAAATTTCATAAACCACTACAATATTTGCCTGTAATTTCACAAATACTTTTTTAATTTTCCGTAATAGTACATGAAAAGCCAATAATACTAGCACGTTTTGTGTCAGATTTATGGCCCATCATTAACCACATAAATCTTGCTTGATTTCTTTTGTCATGTAAAAAATATCATTGAAGATTAATGATCATGTGTACTGAAGGTATTCATTATTCATTTGAAACTAAAATCGTGTCCTCTGTCTTTAAGATTATAATTGGATGCCACATTCCAAAAAAAATAATCAAAACTGGTGACACTAAAGTGGGTTGAATTATGGTCCTCTGACATTGATTTTGACTGATCATAAGTCTTCCGTGAACTCGTAAAATTTTTGGTCAAAGGAACTCCACTGAGGACCAAAAGCCTAAAAGATATGTTATTTGATTGTTTACAAAGATCAGCTGCGGCATTTAAAACAGAATTAATAGCCAGATATAGGGGAAATAATTTTCATTTACCTTTTTTAAATTCCCCCAATTTTTGAAAGCCCGTTAAAAATTGGGTTTTTAAAAAAACTTTTTAAAACAATAAAGGTTGTTGAAGGAAACCCAAAATTTTTACAAAAACTGTATACAATTTGGGACATAAAAAATTTTGGCCCCGTATCAAGCTTTAAAATTTTTGGAAAGGGAATTTTTAAATTTTTTAAATTTTTAGGTTTTTTGGTTTTCAACTGATGGAGTTTGAAACCTTTTTTAAAAAGCATACCAAAAAAAATTTTTATTTCGTTGTAAACCGTGGTCACGACAAATACATACTTAGAAGTGACAAAATATGTTTTTAAAAAAAATTTTTAAAGTTTTTTCATAATTCTTCAAAACACTCACTATCATCGAAAAAATGCGCAAAAAAAACTTTTATTTCGAATCAAATCAAATATTTTTAAAATTTTAGATACAAAACCTTTTGTTTTTTGAGCTTTTTTTCAATTTTTTTCATATATATTTTTACTTTTTTTAATCCCGTAAGACTTTTTTGCTGCCTTTAAAAAATTTTCTTTTACTCTTTAACCCCTTTTTTTGTAGAAAACCCTACACTTTTTCCCAAATTTTAAAAGTTAAAAATAAAATTAAAATGACATTTAAATTAAAAATTTTGGTCCCCAGGAGTTTACACTTTTTGACAAAAAAGTCAGAATTTAATTTTTTGCATTAATTTTAAAAGTTCAAAAATTTATAGTGTACAGTACTTGTAGCTGTTTACGTACTCAAAACACCGCTTTTTTTTTCGAAATTTCTTTATTTTATTTCATTTTCATGCAGCGCAATTAAATATAAAACCCTAAAAAACGCCATTGTGTAAAATGTACCTACTGGAATAATCATGGGAATTTCATATTTCTTCGGTGAATCTACTTCCTCTTCAATGTTCTCCAGAAATTCTTCTTCTGAAAAATTAAGTTAAAACAAAGTATTCTAGACATGTTTTAAGTAATCCCAATGAGTCTTAAGTGCGTTTATACATATTAATTGAGATGTTATGAAAAACAATAGTTTTGTAATAACTTCTTTGCTGATCTTGTCAACTGTTTGTTTATAATGTTTATTTTCCCCAAAGTTAATTGTTTAAAGTTTGTTATATAGCCTTGTTCTAAGTCACGTGATCAAGGTGTAAACATATGTTTTTCCCGGTTCTTGAAAAAGATGAAAATTTGTTCAATTTTTGGATATTAAAGATATAATATGTAGTAAACTTTTTGTAAATGTGTGATAAGTGTATTTTAGTGTTGTTTTGGCATATTTTTTGGAAACTAAATGGAATTTAAAGGGGTGGAATAAAAAGGAATAAAAAAAGGAAACATAGTGACAATTCAGTGAAAGATGAGCGAAAATCAGGTAGTTTTTACACAATCACCAAAAAATTTAAATACCGTGAGAACTTTTTGAAAAAAGAAAATTTTAGTTTTATATAGGGGGAAAAAAATAGTTTGTTTTTTAAATTAAATTTTTTTTGGGAATTTTTAAAAACGAAAATAAAAACCCGGGTAAATTCCATCCGAAACCCCGTAACTGAAACAAGGGGGGGCCAGTTCCCCATCAAACCGCTGATATAAAGAAATCCCGGGGAAAAAAAATCCCAAACGGGGAAAATTTTGAATAAAAATTAAACATTTTTTGAAATCTCGGAAAAAAAAAAAAATTTTTGAAAAAGTTTTATTTTAAACTGGGAAATTTTTTATAAGGGAAAAATAAAAAAATGAATTTTAATATGGTCGAAAAAAATTTGAAATTTACAGTTTTCTTTTTGGTTTGTTAACCCAAAAATTTTAAAGAAAAAAACAAAAAATCAAGGGTAACCCTTTTTTAATTCTTCAACCCCAATGAGGAAAAACCTATATTTAAAAACTTTGGGGGCCCCCAAGGGGAAAATTGAAGAGTAAAACAAGTATAAAAAACCTTTCGGGACAGATAAAAAAAAATAGGTTTTTTTATTTTTAAAAAAATAAAATTTTTAAAAAGGACAAATAGGAAATCAGGGAAAAATGGAAACCCTAAAAATTTTGTCCCCAAAATTAATTTTTTTAAATGAGGGAACTTGTAAAATAGGTTTTTGGACTAAAAGGTCCCAATTGTTTGTGAACGAAAAAATTTCCCAAAAGAAAATGAAAAGGGGGAAAAAGGAAAATCCAAAAAATTAAAAGAACGGGCGGGAAAGGGTAAAAAAGGATGGCGCCATTTTAATTTTGACTTTGGAGGGAAAAGGCTCGAAATATGAAGGGGGAAAAGGGTAAAATTGGTATTTTGTTGAATTTAAAGGGTTTAACGGAAAAAAAGGAAAACCGGTTTTTATTGTTTCGATTTTTTTTAAAAGTTTTATATTTTTTAAAAATTGGGAAACAAAAACAGAACTTGATATTTTCAGGTTTTTTTGCAAAAACTATACAAAAAAACCCAAGCCAAAAGGGCCCAAGGGCGTCGCGGGGAGGGTTGCCTTTTATGGATTTTTCCCAGGGGTTTTAAATATTTTTAAAAACCTTTGTACTATAATATGGTTTAAACGTGAAACTTTTTTAAAGTTTCAAAAGTTTTTAAAATATGGGTGTAGGTTTCCCCGCTTTTGATGTCAAAATGTTGCCAAATTTGATTTTTTAACAAAATAAATTAAAAGTTTTTAAAAAGAAAAGGGCCAGAATTTTTTTAATGGGAATTTTTTTCGGGGAAATTGGCTGTGAAATGATTTTATTTCCCAAAAGTGTAAACTGACTTGATTTGTGATACCCCCGACCCCCCTTGTGGCCCCATAGAAAAAATTGAACCCCTCGGTTATGACTGTTAGAGTTGAAAGCCCAGGGGTTTCGTTAGTAAATGGTAAAATAGTGATTTTACGGCAAATGCACGTTTTTTTTCTACCCGGGGCATAAAACCAAAAAAATTTTATTAACAAAAAAGTTTTTTTCCTGAAAGTTTTTCCCCCTGTGCAATTTTTGATCTTTTTGTTTTCACCCTATTTTTTAAATTTTAATTGTAGGAAAAGAAAAGTGAAAAACAGGGGAAAAAATGAAAATTTTTTTAAATGTAGGCCCCCCCCGAAAAAGGATATTTTCCGACAAAATTTTTAAAAAATTTTAAAAATAAAACGAATTTTTTTAAATGTTTTTTAATGATTTTCCGGAATTGACTTTTTTTTGGGTTTTCCCCAAGTAAAAAATTTTGCAAAAACCGTTTTTTTAAAAATTATAGTATAAAAATAATCATTTATTGAAAAATGTATTTTTAAAAAAAGGAGTGGTTTTAATGATTTTTTTACAAAAAAAATTTGTATATAAGAAATTAAAAAATTTTTTAAAAAAAAAAGTTTTTAAATAAAAAGCTTTTGTTTTTTTATAAGCTAAATTAAGAATTTTGGTTAGAAAAGATTTTTAAAATTTAAAAAAGGTTTTAAAAAAAATGGGGCTTCCCGTTTTAAGCAAAAGTTTTTTTGGGAAAAGTTTTTAAAATGAAAAATTAAAAAATTAAATTTTCCATTAGTTTGTTTTTTTAAAGTATTTTTCAGAATTGGGAAAGGGTATTCCAAGCAAGAAAACAGGGTTTCCCGGTTTTTTCCCCGGAAACAATGATTTTGAAATTTTAAAGGGTTTTGGATATTTTTTAGTAAGGTATTCTGAAATAAAATTTTTTGGAAGAAACCCAAATTTTAAAAAACAAAAAAATCATGTATTGTTTTCCCTTTTTAAATGAATTTTTATAAATGTATTGATTTTTTTTCCCCTCGATTTTGGGGATAGGTTTTTTAATTAGGGTATTTGGGGGTTTTTCCCCAGATAAGGTTTGGTTAAAAATCCCCCTTAAAAAAAGGGAAAAAAATGATGTTAATAATTATGGGGAAATTGAATTTAAAGTTGTCCTATCAAAAATCATTTTTTTTTTTTTTTTTTTAAAAAAAAAAATTTTAATAAAATACGGTGAAAAAAACCATGTTTTCAAAAGCCCCTTTTTTGGGATTTAAAAAAGGGTTGATGTTTTATTTTTTCTTATGAAGTTTTTAAAAAAAAAAATAAAAATAAAGTTTTGTATTTTTTTTTTGTGACTTTAAAAAGGTTTCGTTTGTAAATAAAAAACCCCTTTGGGTTTAAAATTAAAAATTTTGGGGGTTTAAAGGGGTTTTTTTACGCCTAAAAAAAAGAAAATTTTAAAAGAAAGTAAAATCGTGTGAAAGGTTTTAAATGTTTTTATGAATCTTTTAATTATGCGTTATACCCAAAGGGGAAAGGGAAATTTTCCCCGTTTTCCCCTTTTTAAATGCGGGAATTATTTTTCGGGTATAATAGTTTTGATTTAAAAACGATATTTTTTTGTTTTTTCTTTTCCCTGATAATTGGCTTTTTAAAAACCCAATAAATAAAATGGGTTTTGCTTTATTGAATAAATTTTTTGAAAAAAATGGAGCTTAAAAAGAAAAAATTTGAAAAAAACCAAATTTTTTTTAAGGCGGGGGGTAAAAAACAATAAATTATTTTTTAAAAGGGGAACTTTAATTTTTGGGGAAGTTTCCAAATTATTGGAAAAATTTTTATTAAAACCTGATATTTTTGTTTAGTAAAGGGAAAATTTATTTAAAAATCAAAAAAAAAAAGTTTTTTTTTTTAAAATTTTCCCTTGTTTTAAACGAAATGCGATTTCTAGTAATTTAGTATGGTGATAAAAAAATTTTTAATAATTTCCTCTATATTGATTTAAAAAAGATATTTGATCCATTTGGTTTTATTTAGTAGTATTTGAAATTGTTTTTTTTATGTTCGATCAAAAACTGCAGTAAAAATAAGGGGTTCGTTTTGTTAAAACAAAAAGCCCCTTATTTTATTTAATTTTTTCTTTCCCTTTGGGGGTCCCCAAAATTGGGGCCGAGGGCTCTTTAAATTAAAAGAAGGGTGCCCTAAAAAAAAAAGAAATTTGGGCAAAGAATAAAATTTTTTTTAAAAAAGGGGGAAACGGGATAAAAACCTGTTATTGGAATGGAAAAGAATATTAAAAGGGGGGAACACCAAAAGGTATTTTTAAAATTGGGGTTTAAAACCCCAACTAAAAAATGGTCGAATAAAAAAAGACCACAAACATACACACACAACAATTGAAGGGGTCAGTGCAAGATGGTACCTAACGTTATTTAACATTATTTTGAGAAAAGGGTCATTTTATGAAATTTTAGTTTTAATTGAAATATTTTAAAATTAATTCACTAATAAGTAATGTTATTAATAAAAAGAAACATTTGAAACCAAAGTTGTATGTTTTTACCACATTTTTAACCATTTTATTGAAAGAAAAGTTATTTTATAAAATGTGCTTATGCAAAAAACGTTCTAAATCCTATGGAGTTAGGACCTTTAGTTAACTTTTAAAACAATGCATAAAGTATTTGAGCTTAAAATTTTACATATCTTTCAACTTTTCAATTAACTAAAAGGTTATCAATACCCCTAATGCATTTTTCAACATTTAATATTAAGCTTAAAAAACTTAAGGCGTATCAAACAATTCATCAATTGTATAAATTGTATTTGTTACACATCCTTTAGTTGATAAATTGATGAATATTTGATTGATTAACTAATTGATTAATTTGACTGGCTACGGAACAAAAACAAATGAGTTTTAAACATATATTCTCATAGAAAGAAACAAAACTTTAGCATTCAAGCCAGTTCAAATATAAAAGAAACCTATCTTACGATAAAAGTTTTGTTTTAATAATTCAGAATATAATTGCATGTATTTCAAAAATATTGTGTGAAGGAACTGTAACAAACGTATTTTCACTAGCGACTACATTTAAATAACCTAATTACAAATATTATAAAAGATGCACCAGCTTTAGCTGTATAGTTTCAATATCTCAGAAATGGTCTCGAAAAAATCAAAACAAAAGCTACCAGAACATGCCTTTGTCGCTAAAATGTAAAATATTTAATACAATTAACATTAACTACCTAAATCATCCTAAATGCTCAAATTTAAACATTTCCTCTTAAACAATAAATTTTTTGGTGATATACATGTATAGAAAAACTCTAAACAATATTTTTAAGACTTAAATGTCTTCATGCAAAATTTTAAAAAGTGATGATATTATGGTATATGTGCAATATTATGTTGTGCTAAACGAATCTCAAGTATCGAAAATGTAACATTTTTTTATCAATTATGAGCTTACCGTTTATACCAATTCTTCCCAAGTCCTCCTTTGAAATACCGCTGATAAATGACGTTTTCTCATATCCATTTTCTTTAAATTTCTGTGCTTCGTTAGGCTGAAAGAATTCCAGGACAAGAGCAATTGCATATGTTTCAATTTAATACCCAATTATCTATCATGTACAAAGTTTATTACGTTTTGGTTAGCATGAGCAGACATACCGACATTTTATATATTTTTGGGTTCATTTTATTAGACCATCTAACTTTTTTCTGCGCTGTTGCAAGACATTATGCCCTCTGGTTAATGAAATCACGAGGACTCTCTGGTATTATCTTAAACATATCAAATATAAAACAATACCTGCGTTTGATTTAAATTTATTTTAAACTGACGGTACACACAGGAAAACGTTAAGATAAAATGGATAAAACTTAAGTCAAAACCAATACAATCAATAATTCATCACCGTAAGCATGTAACAAATAATGGAAGCATGTAAAAAAATAATGGTATCGATTACAAAATATTCCATCTATATATTGATACAATTACTAGTTCAAAGTACCCTATCTTGTGAAAATTCAAATCTTTGTGTTAAATGACTAGAGCTTTGTATAGAATCGCCGGTTCGTGGAAAATCGATACTATGTATAGAACTATCGGTCTTTGCAGAATCACTGGTTTCTGTTGAATCACCAGTTTGCTTAGAATCACCAGTCTGTGCAGAAATGCCAGTCTGTGTAGAATTACCAGTTTGTGCATAATTTCCGGCTTGTGCGGACTTGCTGTAAAGAAATATTCATGAAATTGAACTGTTTCAATATGCTATACTAATTCCAATTTAATTCCATCACATTTGCATGTATAAATCCAATCTGCAACCAAAGACTTTTTCAAATTATTAATTTAAATATATTGCTTTGTTCATATAGAATAATAATGTATAGCTGGTGATTTGCAGCTGAAAAACAGAACAATTCTTTCACGAAAATATAATGAATAAATATGCATGCTACAATGTATTTACTTTTGAAATTGTTATTTTATCTAAAAGACTATATGTTAAGAAAAATGTGTGACATTTCAAATATGTTAAAGGTACAAATTAAAAATTTTATAACAGATGTCAATTAATGATGATGTAACCGGAATATTAAATGCGTCTTTTCCTCTTTGTCCAATCATTTGTGCTAATATTTAGGTCTATAAAGCTGTCTGTACTTATTAGGTTGTAAAACCTCATGGCTGGTATTTAATGTCCAGGTGATGATTGTTGTTATAAATTCAATGTTGCTATTTTACATTATTTTGTATTGAAATCTAATCGGCCATTTTGTTATTTAAGAAACAAAGATGTTGCTATTCTGTTGGTCAGTGTAAAATGAATCCGATTTGGAAATTTAGTAAAGATAGAAAAAATGAACAGTTAGATTTTGGATTTCCAAGAGATGACATTGTGGCTTTTCACTAGATATAATTGCTACTGTTTTGAATATCTATTTGTTACTTCTGTAACTCATTCATTGTGTCTATATTTAGGAACAATAGAAAACGTTCTATTAATAGTTGATGTTTAAAATAGTCTCAAGGCAACATTGAACTGGGCTTTCCTTGTGACGAGTCTATAAACAAGAGTTGTCACAGGAGACATTAAATACAGGACGCAGCAAGGAAGACAAAGCTATGAAAGAAAAATCAATTATGTATAATTATGTATTAAGTTATAGCGAACAAATAACATTTGTTAACATAAATCCCAAGTTCAAGGGGGAATAATTCTGGAAATAGTCAAGCTAGAGTTATGAACCTTGTCACACAACATGTGGTTAATGATAAGAAATATATATTTGAAGTTTGAAGTAGATACCTTAAAATGTAAAGAAGTTATAATATTTGCTGAAGAAAATCCTAAGTCTATAGAGAGATTATCTGAAATTATTGCTTCAATAGTTATGAACCTTGTCACATAAGACGTAATTGATGATAAGGAATAAGTATTTGAAGTTTGAGGTTAAATATACTTTTAAAACTAAAGAAGTTAAAGTAAAAAATAATTTCTTTCAAGTAAACAAATCTAAGTTTATAGGGAGATAATGCTTGCAATATTGGTGCAACAGTTATGAACATTGTCATATAACATGGAGTTAATGATAAAGAACATATATTTGGAGTATGAAGTTGGTCCCTTAAGAAATAAATAAGTAACAGTAAAAAAGAAAACTTTTAAGAACAAATCTAAGTTCAAGGATCGATAAATCTAAAAATCCTGATGCTAGTGTTATGAACCTTGTCGTGAAAAATATGGTTGATGATAAGGAACACATATTTGAAGTATGAAGTTGATCTCTTAAGAAATAAATAAGTAGCAGTAAAAAATGATATTTTTTAATGACAATTCTAAGTTGAAGGAGAGATAAATCTGAAAATATTTGTGCTAAGATGTGGTTGGTGATAAGGAATATATTTGAAGTATTAAGTTGATCCTTTAAGAAATAAAGAAGTAACATTAAAAGATAGTATTTTTAAGGAAAATTTTAAGTTTAAGGGCAAATTAATCTAAAAATATTGATGCTAGAGTTATTAACCTTGTCATACAAGAAGTGGTTGATGATAATGAACATATATTTGAGGTATGAAGTTGATCCCCTAAGAAGTATAGAAGTACATGTAACAGTAAAAAAGTATTTTTAAGGAAAATTCTAGGTTCATATAGTTGATACCTTAAGAAATGAAAAAGTTATAGTGAAAACTATTTTACTGCACCAAAACTGTAATCTGAAATCTGGACGCCGACGCCGGCTCTCCATATACTTCTTATTGTGGAGCTAAAAATGCTTTAGAACCTCCTTTAAGCATTTCTTCTTGTGATTTGTTACGGTGAAATCGTTTATTTAGTATAAACGTAATAATTATAAAATTTTCTTCTGTGATTATTACGATTTTTATCACTTTAATTTTCTCCCTTTCAATAACTTTCGCGATCTCAAATCTTTTTCGTATTTTCCTAATTCATTTCACATTTACGATTAAATCAATTCTAATTATTTTCCTTTGTCTCTCATTAATACTTACAAACATATAAAATTGAAAGCCGATCGTAAACATTCTCGAAATGATATGCCATACGAGTCTTCTCTAGTTCCTGTCAAAGATAAAATGAAACATAATTACTTTACTACGTGTTCAGTGTACATTGATTTAACTCTTTCTAGATTGCGTACAAGACTACTAAGCAAGTGAATTAAGCATGAATCAATTATATTGCCTTAAACCTATATACATAATTTTAAAACATTGACTTTGAATTACATCACAAACATTGTTAAGAAATAGAAATACCCCATGAAGTGTCGGTAATATTGCAGATACTGTAGATCATCAATATCAAATAACCAGTCGGCAATCCAAGCAGGTAAATAATGCCGTAAAATATAGCCCAAAACTCAGTTAAATGTAACAAAGCAGTAACGAAAAATATAATTGCCATTCCTATCAAATACACACTTGTTGAAGACATCTTCATATTTTCACTGATAACTGAAATATGCATAAAAATAATAAATAAGCTACAATTGGCATTCACAACCTGAAGTAATGTTCATTTAACTTAGGATACGATGCCTGCTTTTTAAATTTGTCTTTTGACGTCTTATCTGTGATATGCAGGCTTCATAACCTCTGATCCCCTTTCGGAATTCCATTTTATTAAGTTCCGCCCATTGTTTTCTTGTTTAGGGCACACGTTTTTATTACTTGGGGACCATATGCCGCTTTAATGGAATGGATCTTACGTGTCACATTAAAGGTTCAACGATTACCGCCATATAAACACATCTGCGGATGTTTCAAAATTAATAATTGTACCAGTTCATGTTAAATGGTGAATTCTGCTTAAGCCGGTACTAGGGGGTGTGGACGGTAGTTTGCACTTGACAGTACCGTCCATTAACAGGCTCAATCAAACCGAGCCTGCAACATTTTCAATTTTGCCGTGTTGGGCTTTCTTTAAAGATTCTTATTTTCTCTATTTTATTATGCAAACCCGTGTATTTATTACAGATTCCAGAGACAGCACGTGTATTGCAAACTTGGCATGCGGCCGAGTCATGAAAAACAATAACATATGCTTGAAATTTGTCTAGGTGTTTATGTTGATTTGAAATATTTGATTATCAAAATGTGTTAATGTATATGGCTTACAGGTTTTCATAGCTTCCGCTTTGACAATGTTATGAAAGAAATAAACTGGTCATATTCATATCTTGAGATTCAAAATATACATATTCTGGTCAATTTTTCAACTTTTAATTAGTTAAGTTTGACGGGATTGATTACTTATTCAAAATGTTTTCAAATGTGAAAGAGTGACATACAGTTTTCCTCAGCTCCTGACACGCCGTTTATATCAGTTGAAATACCAACAACTGTACCAACTATTGCTATCCCCATGAAAATTGTATATAAACAACAAAGTAACCTCCCAACCTATAAAACAATGATACTATGTTGTATTAACTAAATACAATTTTGATATTAAGCAAACAATTGGCTTCTTTGAATGAAATACAACGAAACATCAAACATATTGAAACTTCATAAGAAGAAAACCAGAATGGTACATTAGTGATTTCGTTACGATACAAACATCTGCAGTAAAAATTTAAGACTTATTGTTGATAAATATCTAAAGTCGTACCAAAACCTTATTTGAAGATAATATCAAATTCGATCTTATGATCAAGTTTATTTTGAAATTAATTTAGAATTAAAGTAAAACCTGTGTAATGTTTATTTTTCTTTGCAGTAAGACGGACGGGTCGTGGTTATGTAAAGTGAAAGGTCTTAATATATGTTATTATCATTTATTTGAAGAAATCAAAGAATTATTCAAAATTTATATGCAATTTCACAGGCTTATGGAATTCTGCCTTGACTGATTCATATCCAGCGCTATTTTAGAATGCTATAGTCAAGGAAACGAAAGATCATACATAATGTATACCATTAACTGTATCTTTTGCGGGAATAAAATACACACTATTGCATAGCAAATGCATGCAATGATTTGAATTGGTATAGTGACAGTCGATGACCAATCCTTTCCATACTTCAGTCCCCCTTTAAAAGTAAATAATTTATAAATAATAAATCATTATTTGCATAACAATTGGATTTAACATTTTTAAAAGAAATTATTTAAATCTTTAATGATATCTTGAAGCAAGTAATAATTAACAATATATGCTTGTGAAAGCGGTTTATGGATAATACTTAAGACAGGGTTAGGGTTACCCAGATAGTTAGGGTTAACCATGTAATTTATATTGCTGACATTGCAAATTAAGGTAGAACGCGACACTTTGCGAACTTTCGAGTAGCGTCTTGAAAATTGGCATGCAAAAAATTGACCATATTTCTGATTGGATTTCATTGATTTTATTTCAATAGTTTCAGCCAATTTTTATACACATCACGTCAAAGTTGACCTCCAAAGCCCGTTTTTGAACATGACGTCGTTGCGTATCCTTGGCAACTGTTACGGGTATTTCAACGCCATTGGCGGACAAAATATCTTAAATCCTACAGCATTCGACGGAAATTATTTTTTCTTTTAAGCAGATATAAAATTTATTGTTTTACGCCGAAAATAGTTTGAGATATGGAAAGAAAATTGTCAATTTTGTGTAAAGTTTGACGTTCAGTTTAGCCGCAATTTTCGGCTTTAAAGCGGCTTATTAAAAAAATTCCTGAAATAAATTTTTGATTTTTTTCTTTAAACGTCCTTTAAAATGTATACTTAGTCAAAATAACTAAAAAAATTAGGGGGTCAACGACTCAATTGTTTCAATACACGTGATTTTATTTCCCCCACCCCGTGAGTAATTTTGTAACGAAATTCGACGTATGCAGATACGTTTGAGACTTCAAAGTGCGGCAATAATGTTCAGCTTATCAGGAGAATTGTTCTAGAGTTTTACTAATACATATAAAACAACAACAACAATGTTCCATTGCAAATTCTTAAAATTGTACGAAAAACAAATGAATTTTTTCTTGTTTTTAAGCATCATTAATAACTTCATAAGGAATTGTAAACAGACGCATGTAAAGAAAATGACGTCAGGCGTTCAACGGGAACGCGTTCGCTGCGCAAACAAAAATAAATACAGCTGAGAGTAAACATTTGCGGTGTTCCTTTTTATTTGTTTGGGTCGTCAGACCAAACAAATAATGGTAGCGAAATTTCAGAGTCTAATGTTGTTAATTGCAAACGCCGAAAGTAGTCCACTTTTTTGAAGCGGTTACTTCCCTTTATATGTACACTAATGCCGAAACATTCAGGGGAGATCACTGCGTAAAGATGGTCAAAGACAGGCGAATTAATTTTCAAGCAAAATAATTCCCGAATGGTCGAATATTTCTAATATTGTTTTAATTGTATTTTCTGATCGAAATTAAGTAAATACAAAACGGACATTCAATCTCTAACACAGAAGTTCACAACAAACCTAACAACAAGTAGTTCTCAAAACAGTTTAAAACTAGCGATTTAAAAGAAAGAAATATTTTTATTTTGTTACAAGTATCCAACAAATAACAACGCATTCAAAGTTTAAAAATAGCGTTGGCTAATATAATTGTCAATAAATGCACAATCACAAATTACGCGGATGAATATGATTTTATCAATGAAAATACTATTTTTAGCGATGTCGATTTACCGAATACTACACAAACCGAGTAGTGGAATATATAGATTCTACATGTCGGACTGTTTGGGCGAGAAGATTTTCGCTAAATTATTTACTTCAATTTTAAACAACAGGTTTATCCTGAACAAAATACCTCGAAATTAATAAGGATACCAAACCCGAAATGCAATGGAAGTTCTAAATCTAGAATGACTTGATGTTATTCAAATATTATTTTATAACTTCTCCGTGGTGCAGGGGTAACGCGCTCGCTTCAGTGAGAGGTCTGGAGTTCAAATCCAAGTCGAGGAAACTTTTTTTTTAAATTCTTTTTTAAGTGTCTTTGTTAAGGAAGTAGCCATGATATGCAAGGATAAAGTGTAACTGTCGTAAAAAAATGAACATAAATGATTTTTTGATGCATCTCTAGTTATGCAGAATTCCGTATGTTTCAAACTCTGGTGCCTTGCAAAATGAATTATAATACATAAAAATAAACTTATACAGGAAAATGCATACAGATACTCGTATACAGTACGATTAAGATTGCAAAGATCAGAAAATACCACAGAACTTGCATCCCTTTGATTCTTTATAAATATAAACAACAGTTAAAGTCGTTACAAGCCCTAATTTAGAATAATATGGTTTTCTTCAGGCCGTTCACATATAAATTCACCGTGGCTGAAGGGTTTTCGCGCTCGCCTATGAAGCGAGAGGTCTGGAGTTCAAATCCCAGTAAAGGCAACTCATTTTTTTTTCAAATTGTTTAAGTCAAATAAACATTGGATTGCATATCAGTGTTGCAATAAGTCTTATAGCCAATTTACTACAATTAAAACGCTGGAAAGCATTGGTGGCACTATACATATAATCTCACAACCTGCACCTTTCTTACATTCTGAGACCCAAACAAATTCAGCGCCTTCTATGCTTTGATGAATAATATTAATAAACTTGAATCGAGAAATATGCCTTAAGGAACAAAAAGCAACTATATATTTTTATGTAAATTTAGAAATTTACGGAAATTCAATCATAAATTAATACGTAGTCTACAAGAAATTCTGCAAATCTATACATTGTGCATTACACACACTATCAGTGATATACTGTGAGTGATATGGTTTTTATTTCAACTATTAAAAACCAAAACTTGAATTTCAATTGTAATCAAAAACTATTGCAACAATTTGACAGAATTAGCGAAATATTGACATTTAAATAATATATTATATGGTTCATACATGAAACTTAGTCAATTATATTAGCGTGAAGCAAACAGTGATGCTTGAAACGTTAGCTCAGTGGGTGTTGGATTACAGATGTAGCACGTTCGATTCTACAAGTATCTGTAATACATATTCTCTCGTTTTGCTTATTATTTTAGAATATCACAATGTTAAAAATAACGATTAATTGAGGATTCACCGTAAACGCTGTATTAAAAACATAACTATCAAATCGGCCTTTGCAAAAATTCATTATTCACTGTACTGTGTAGCCAAATTTATGGTAGAATTTATTTTTAACAGGAAAATTTTGAAACAGTACTTTAAACATGAATTATAATGAAATGCTGTAAATACACGTCTGCAGATTTTAACGAACCGGCGGCCCTGAGCTAGATACTGCACAAAGGAGTGTTGCGTTGTAAATTTTTATACAAAATACAGATATTTCAATATATATTGTCATTTTTGTTTGTCTGTACATGCTACGGGCACTGTGGAGGATCTGTCGATGTTTCACTAACTATTTAATCAGTATGCAACTGACATGTTAATAAAACCGAGAAATATTACATTTTACTCAAAGTTTTACTATTTAATGTTATTCTGACAAATGTCAGATCAGACTATTATTTCTTTCCTCTTGTAGAAAGTGGGTAATTCTGAAGTACATTTTTATTCACTGTTTTATATACAAAATCTGTATTTACAAGAATAAAAAAAAACAAATTTTGGTAATATCTGATCGTGTAATTTAAAAAAAAAAACGTAATTTAGTAAATACGAACTTCATTCAAAGTTCCCGCATATTACGAGTGTACGGATCACGGTAGATTAGTCATATACAGTACGTATTGCATGATATACGGTCCCGTTCATCAAATTTCACTTATTTTTACCTATACGGAATTCCGTACCCTTAATGGTATCCATATATTTTTTCGCAGTGGTCATAATAGCGTAAAATGCCGTAAAAAGCGGGATTTTTGACACAGGGCGATCGTTTTAATTACATCAAATAACCAAACGCCCCGTGATAGCGTGACTTTTATCTAAAGGGGTGGGGGAAATAAAATCACGTGTACCGAAAAAATTGAGTCGGTGACCCCCTAATTTTTTAAGCTATACATTTTAAAGAACGTTTAAAGAAAAAAATCAAAAATTTATTACAGGAATTTTTTAATAAGCCGCTTTAAAGCCGAAAATTTCGGCTAAACTGAACGTCAAATTTTACACAAAATTGACAATTTTTTTCCATATCTCAAACAATTTTCGGCGTAAAACAATAAATTTTATATCAGCGTAAAGTAAAAAATAATTTCCGACGAATGCTGTAGGATTTAAGATATTTTGTCCGCCAATGACGTTGAAATACCCGTAACAGTTGCCAAGGATACGCAACGACGTCATGTTAAAAAACGGGCTTTGATGGTCAACTTTGACGTGGTGTGTACAAAAATTGGCTGAAACTATTGGAATAAAATCAACGGAATCAAATCAGAAATATGGTCATATTTCTACATGGTAATTTTCAAGACGCTACTCGAAAGTTCGCAAAGTGTCGCGTTCTACCTTAATGAGGACGACAAAGTAAAAAATCTTGGTTTTCGGTAAAAAATCTTTTTACCTACCAGATAATACAAGAATAATGGAGCTTGGTCCAATAACAGTTGAAAACAGCAAAACTATTTGGTAAACCATGAACAGAAATGGAACATGTAATTTATCTGTTTTGCCTGCAAATATATCATCAATTATGAAAATAGTATCATTTGTAAAATAATTATATCTTCCTGATCAATTGCTTTCGAAATCTTATCACAAACATGATAAATGCTAAACCACCCTTACAACATTATCAACTAATTTGAATGGAAACAAATTAACAAACACGTTCATACATTTGCATAATTTTTTTAGAAAGACTGCGTATTCTTAGTAAATGACGGACTTTATTGATAAAATTACTTTTATTTTTTTCTTAAAGATTATAATTTAAGGCATGTATATTAACATAATTGCAAACGGAACAATTACGTTTACCGTTACTCCATTCCTTGATCAAAAGCCATTGATTAGCCATAGTTGAAACAATCCATCGACGTCTTTGTTTGAAATACTCGTCAAATGATTCAGGGCAATGTGTATAATCCTTTGCAGTAGCACAATATTCTATTCTCCACCCTTTCTGTACCTTTAAAGATTTCATGAAGTAAAAAGATCAATGTAACAATGTTTTCATCTTTAAGGGAATTTCAAAATTTCTGATTCTTTATTAAAAGCTATCTTGTTTCGTCCGTTCAACTGATGTCTATTTTTTTTGCTGATATTAGATGGAAAGAGCGTAAGAACTTGTTTACAATGATTACGGTATATCTATATCTTAATACAAAATCCAGTTTTATATAGACTCCGATATGCAAAATCTAGACTCACTAGTACAAATGTTGCTGCAATGAACAATTGAGAAGCTCCGCGCAAAATAATTGCGCTCATTACAGATACCTTACCAAATCATTCCTACACGCATGTCATTTTCTTTTTAGAATAAATAATTTTGTACATTATTCCGGATGTTAAATTTGCATGACTAAACTTACCTATGCACTGCTCATGTGAGAGGGGCCAGATATTAAATTTAAAATAAAAATGCTTTCACTGATGCCTACCTGGTAAGGACAATATGTAAATTAGCCAAAACAAAAAAAAACTTTAATCGACTTTATTTTTCAAAATGTCCATTGCATGTTTCGCGGCAAATGGTATATCATTATATAACAAGAAAAGCATTTATTCAATGTATAGCATCAAAGGGCGTTCAAGCAAGAAATGCAAAAAGTGACGATGAACTTGTAGACATCTGATGACCAGATTTTTCTTTTCAATGGTTAATTAGATTTTACCAGAATTGTATATCATAGATAAATGGGCAGACGGAAGGCATTGTTCATCTTGAACTTTGATAGGCTTGATAGAGATTAGAATATTAAATGTATTTTTTTTTCGAACATACAAAACAGTAGGCAAAACAAACAAAATATGATTTTTATTATTATAATTGTAACAAATGAACAAACAGTATATAAAAATAGTAATAAAAGGGACTAATATAGTAATATTGTATGCTTTTTTTATGTCAAATTTTAAAAAATGTTTCTAGTAATACTTGGGACTTAAGATGCAGTAGTTACATTTCAAGTCCCAGATATATACTGAAAGTAGAACAAACACTGGAATGAAAAATTTGGAATAAATTTCAAAAAGACCAATTTCATGATAATTTTGTTATACGCGTTAACAAAAATAATGGTACATTAAAATCATGAATAAATTTGCAGGGCATGTTGAGATGGCGAAACATTATTTATCAATATAATGGAAGACTGTTACCTGAATTTTAGACAGGAATGAAAAAATTCACTAGAACACACAAAACATCATGTTCATGGGAGTCAATGATATTAAAGCTGGTTGACATTTGTGATAAATAGATAGTTATTGATAATTGATTTATTGAGAGATCAATCTACTATTTTGTTGAATTGCTTCAAATTCCTCGTCTGACCAACCAGTGTGTTTACATTCATTCCTATCAATAAACCTATAACACCTCATATTAAAAGTGCAGACGGATGTTTCTGTTGTTAAAATGTCACAGTACTCGGCGAATCAACATCCCACTCAAACTACCATAAAACCGATTGCCTTCAAACAAAATAGTATTAACTTCTTACAGCAAAACTTCGGGAAATCAGCGTAAAAGAAATGTCAGAAATACAATCAGGGTCTTAAAAAACAAGAAGGTATTAATTTTCCAGAAAGAACCTACGAAAAAGACATTTTTAAAATGATAATACTATGATACAACAATTCGTAAAAATTGCCTTCTTAAATTTTGTTTCGATAAATTTATAACAAGTGCAATTTATTGTTGAATATGTTTTCATTTCATTTCGTTTTCATTTCATTTCCTGCAAAATTCTCCAGTTTTCTATTACCATAGCGCGACACGAATGACCGTTTCGTTTAGTTTCAGACTCGCTAAACTAAAACTACTTCTATAAATAGATTTTGGGACTTGGAAAATGCTAATTCAGGTAATCTATTTATATCTTTCGAATTCATGTACAGCGGCTGAGGCGTGAAATGTGTTCCCGTTCTCATTTATTGATATGACATGCTGCGATTCGCCGAAGGGGAAACCAATATAAGACTTTACATAATGGGAATCTAAAGGAATTATTCGTTTCGACTTTATTTTTAGCTGTAAAGGGTCCATGGACAAAAAATATAGTAAACACAAATAGCTCCGCGCCTATTGGCGCGGAGCAATTAAAATCGGGCCTTAATGTTAGTGAATTCATTTCGAGTAAATTTATTAGAAGTTTCAATGAAAATATCAACAAAACACTAAAAACAATTTAAAATCGATAAAAAGATAACAAATATATATATTTTTATAAAATTCTACAAAGCAAAACCACAATAAGTAAATAAACATCCATAAACAACAAAATTTATAGGCCTAACATCGGCAATAGATTTGAGCAAACATTCTTACCAAAAGCGTACATAACCATCGATCTTCACCCATATTTTTTGTTAAAAATTCCCCTGCTTCTTCAATATCTGTAGCATACAGGTTTAAAACATCATTGAGTGCACTGCATCTATAGACAGTGAAACAGCCAGGTGCACACAGGACTGTACCAAGCACATGCTCCGATACCTAGAGTTTACAATATCAAATTTATATTTTGTTATAAAACATGATAGCCTGTAACGTAAAAGTAATGATATACTTATGAATTATTTTTATGTCTTATATTTTAGGAAAGTTCCCAAGAGATATGATTATGAAAATTATAAGACGAAAAAGCATACTTTTAGTAACCAGTGACCAATTGCATACTCGAACACTTGATACCACACTAGCAATCCACTTCCAAGTGGATGAGTTCTAGCACATACAGCACCGACTTTTTCATCACGTATCATTAAGTCAAGAAGCGCTTCGACACTTTCAGGGGTGAATTTGACATCTGCATCCGTTGTTAAAATGTACGAATTCTCTAATATATGCAACAAGTAAACATAAACAAATGTTATGAAATGTTTTCACCTGAATTTATATCTATATCATGACTTTATAAGACTAGATCTTACTGAAACACCGTGTATTAACTTTTACCAAGTAAGAAATGTTACTTTCATAATCGGCTTTAACAAAGAACTGTTGATCCTATAGTAATGTAAATTGAAAACCTCGTTACTTTGTTCTTTTTGATTATCTGATGTGTACATTTTCAAAAGAAAGGTCCCCGAAGTATGATACAACTCATAAGTAGAAATTGATTATCAATCTTCGACTGCCCTAAATTCGTCCCTGTACTAGAGTCAACATCCTTACTTTATTTTTCAGAAAGTCTAAATAACAAATGTTCCTTTAGGGGGCGTTTAATTCCGATCAAAATAAGCCGAAGCTTTACGTAAAAAAGCCGACCAATTTCCATGGATTATCCGCGTAATTTGCGATTGTGCATTTATTGACACTTCTATAAGCTAAAGCTACTTTTAAACTTTGAGTTCGTTGTAATTAGTTGGATACTTGTAACAAATTTGTTTTCTTTACTTTACATTGCTTGTTTAAAGCTGTTCTGAGAACTACCTGTTGTTAGGTTTGTCGGGAAGCGCTGTTCCTGAGATTGAATGTCAGCAATGTATTTCCTGATCTGCGATCAGAAAATACAAAAATGGGTTTTGTATGGTGGTTGTTTTCTGTCAGTCCCTAATTTTGCAGCTAAGAGGGCAACAATGATATTGTTGTTATTTTGTGTAAACCCTTTCAAATGTGACAGCACAAAATAATGGGAAATAAATTAGAGAGTTGCACTGTTGGGTAGCATTCAGGTGACAGGACATTAAAACGCCACATTTTATGCGACTTTATGCCAGATCTGTGACAATTTACAAAACAAATTTTATCGTGACATGAAAAAATTGTATGCTCTCGTTTCTTCTTTATTTCGTGTTCTCATTGATGAAGGACCAATTTGCGAATTAACGACAACAGTAAAAAAGAGCATCATATAAAATAAAAAAAATGATTCTCATTCTGTCACTCTTTCGCGGTGTTGCCACTTTAAATGCAACATATCCAAATGGCATAAAACATACACCATAGTTATGCAAAGTTTATTATTCATCATTAATTGACAAAATAAAAACAACAACAACAATTTATTCACTTTAATGTAGATTTATCATGCAGTAAAGCTTAGGGAAATCTATTACTAATTTGAATTGTCTTTTTTTGTTAAGATGATTTTTTTGACTTGAAAAAACATTTTGTAACATTTTGATATAAAAATTAATGTAATTTATTGACACATACGAACGTTATCAATTAAAAAACTGCTTAGTTTATACTCCAACATGATTAGTCCGCCATTTTGAAAAACGACCGACGGGCATGAGCCGCTAAAAATTGTGTTATTCACAATTATAGCAAAGGTTGGGTAAAATAAAAAGCTGAATTGTGAACATTAGAATATGGGACAGACAATTTATTAGTTCTTTACTTTTAATAATGAATGTGTATGGTTATGAACGGCAAGTTTTAAATTTGTACTATTCCTTTCCAGGAAGATTTCGGACAATTTGACCTAGTTTTCCCAGAAATCGACCATTTTCAACTACACATAAAGATCAGTTCTAGCACATTTAGAAATAAAACAAGAAACAAAGTTTTACACTTCTGACACGTTTTAAAAACTTTTTTTCATGAATTTAATAATATTAGAACGTTACAGGTTTTTTAAAATGCCGTACGAAAGATACAAAATTTGGCGATTTTGCTCATGCATATATTCTGGAGAAAATAAATATTGTTAGAATATATAAAAAAAAACATTTTTAAACTGGACTAAATGGAAAAAAGGGAGTAGAAGTGGTGATGAATATGTCGCAATGAGTAAGGCGTTAAGAGGAGGTCCGTCTAGTGGCCCAGTAGCGGAGCAGAATGAGCTCAAATCAGTAAGTGACATTATTTGTGAAACGAATTCTCTTCTATTTGATACCTCTTCAGTTTTTACAGAGAGTGATATAGACAAATCTGCGATGGCACAGAATACGGTCTCTCTTAGTACTGAGACGACAGTAGTATCAAACAGTGACATAATGTCGTTCCTGATAAACTTGGAAACTAAAATTGTTCGTGTTGAGACGCGCCTTAATAAACTTGATTTGTTGGAACACAAAGTTACTCAATTTGATAAAGACATAAAAACTTTGTTCACACAAATTCACGATCATAAGAAAGTCACGACTGATAGTTTACACGGATAAGACGATCGTGTGAAAGGGTTGAATTTATCAGTGTTCAGTATCAATCGCGCATTGAATCTTTAGAGAAAAAGAATGATTCTCTGAAAGACCAAGTTACCTACTTGAAATCTCAATCAATGCGCAACAATTTCATTTTCGGGTATTTAAGGAAGAGGAAGATACAAATCTTGATGACGTTATGCGTAAATTCTTTGTCGATAAGTTAAAAGTGGCACAGAGCATTATTGATTTTATGAAAATAGAGCGCGTACACAGATTATGCCATGTCAAGGGTGAACAAAATTGTCTACAAATTCGCGTATTTCTCAGACCGTGACTAGCCGCCAAAACAAGCTTTAAGATCACACAGATTATTTATTGCACAAGCACTTCCCTCCTGAGAGTGTCGCTAGTCGCGGTAAACTGTTACCGAAGTTGAAAGCTGCTATAAAGAATAAGAAGAAAACCTGCTTGTTTACGACAAATGTACATAGACGGAGTGAAGTACGAATAGGATTTATTGGAGGATGAACTTCTTAGTATTCTAGTATGGAATTTAAATGGTTTAACTGACACAAAACGTTCTGATTAAGATTTTTTCCATTTCAACTGATAAAGATATTATTGTTTAAATTGAGACATGGACCGATAAAAAATCAATGTGTCTATAAAAGGCTATCATAGCTTAATTTATATCGAAAGTTCAGACATAAAAGGGCAAGACGTAATAGTGACGGAATGTCAATTTATACACGTGAATGTCTTAATCAAGATGTATCTATAGTTAAGAATAATTTTGACACTATTGTCTGGCTTAAATTTGATGGTATTTTTTTTCATTTTTGATAAGGATGTTTATTTTTGTTGTTTATATTTATGGCCGGATGATTCTCCTGCTGCAAATGTTATAGACGCTAACCTTTTTGATGTCATAGAACAAGATGTTTTTAATTTTGAACAATCGGGTCGAGTATATGAAGCAAGTGGTTGGAACTGTCGTATTGGTAATAAACCTGACTATATCGTTTGTGACAAAAATATTAGAAATTATGATCCGGACTTTTATGTTCCCGATAATTGCCTTGATAGGGCTTGACTTGAATACATGCAATACACGCGATCAAAAAATGCTTGACTTGAGTAAAGCAACTGGTTTGCGGGTAGTTCACGGGAGATTATGCCAGTTTGATAATTTTTGTGGTTTCCCCTTTTATAGCCGCGACGCGCCTTCCTCTTTCCGATTTTGATACGCTTAGTATGTTCGAAATTTGTCCCTTTAATATATTAATCATGCTGCTTTGAGATTAGGTATGCGAGCGATCAAACCATTTACGGAGGGTACGTTTAATTACAATAAATCTGGCGTTCACACAGTTTACAAACGGAACATAGAACACAAGGAAATTTTTCGGCGCGGTCTTATAACCAAATTACCCGATTTCAATAATCTTATGATTAGTGCGCACTGTAGTGATTTAAATAGAATAGATTACACAGCGGATATGTTTACAAACATCATTTCAGAATTTGCGTCGCCTCTGTTCAAACGTGAATACACTCCCCAGCAAGTATGATAAGGAATGTGTCGTCCATAAGATACTTTATAAACGCGCGTTGCACAATTATAACAGTAATAAGTCCGAAATAAATAGAATTGAACTTGAATTGAATTGAAAAGTATAAATATATAGTGCGCAAGAAAAAAAACGCGCTTCCAAATTAAAAGAAGGTAGGAAGCTTTCGAGTTAGGAAAAAGTAAACCGTGTGAGTTTTGAAAACACTTTTAATCTAATTTGAAAATGATATAACAGTCGAACATTTTAAAAATTATTTCTCAGATTTGTTTTATAATATTCCGACAACTGTTATAAATGAGGTTGAAATTTTTAACGATGATAATGATTTAAATGTACATAATCCTCCATACGATGATCTTAACTTACCTATCTCACTAGGGGAGGTAACTGCTGCAGTCAAGCGACTCGGCCGAAACAAATCGTCATGCCCAAGTGATAATATTTTAAATGAATACTTGATTGAATCGATTGATATCATTGGAAGCAATCTAACATATCTTTTTAATATTGTTTTTAATTCAGGTTATTTCCCAGATATATGGGCACAAGATTATATAATATCGATCCACAAAAGGGAAGTAAGAATGACCCCAACAACTATATATAGGGGCATTACACTTTTGAGTAATCTTTGAAAATTATTATCCGGTGTCTTCACAGCTAGGGTTGAGAAATTATTCGAAAGTTATAATATTCTATCTGACGCCCAGTTCGGTTTCAGAAAGGGTCACAACACCGTAGATGCTATATTTACATTACATAACCTCATAGAACATGCTCTTTCTCAATGGTCACGTAAGTCATGTGTATTTGGTGATCTACAAAAGGCTTTTGACTCCGTTTATCGGCAAGCACTATGGTTTTAATTGTATCATTTTTGGTTGGATGGAAAACTTTTTAAATGTTTAGGTCTATGTATAATATAGTTAAGTCTAGTGTTAAACATTCTGACTCCTATTCTGATTTTTTCAATATTTCCATTGGATTGAGGCAAGGCCTAAATAATTTCCATTATGTTTGCCCTTTTTCTTGAAGGCTTGGAACTTTTCTTGCAGGGATCCAATAAATGGGGTTTATCTATTTATGATATGTGCCTTATCATACTGCTATTCGAGGATGATATGGCAATTATTTGATATTCTGTTGAAGATTTACAAGCCAGTTTAGACAATTTATATGAGTAATGCCAGTACTGGGGCCTACAGGTTAATACATCTAAGACCAAAATAGTGGTGTTTCGTCGTAGGTGTGGGCTTAAATGTAATGAGCGCTGGCAATTAAATAATGTGCCTCTAGAAATAGTTAATGACTTTAACTACCTGAGGATGGTGTTTAATTATACCGGCTCATTCGTATTTAATAACCAGTACATAGTCGCAAAGGCCTTACAAGTCTCAAAGATACTGATAAATGATATAAAACAATATGAACTTAGCAATTCGATATCGCTACAATTGTTTGATGCTTTTGTGGGATCTATCTTAAACTATGCCTGTCCGGTTTGGGGCTTCACTAAGTCTAAGGAGATAGAACGTGTACATCACAAATACTGTAAAGCGAATTTGGACGTTAAATTAAGTACAAGTAACGTGTCGGTCTATGGGGAATTAGAGAGGTATCCGTTATTTGATACTAGGTTTACGAATATAATAAAGTATTGGTTTGAATTACTGAATACGGATAACATTATATTACAATTTACAATTTACGATAATGCCCGAGACAAATGTGAAAATTGCACAAATAACTGGTTATGTAAAATTAAAAAAAATGCTTGCGGTACTTGGTTTTGCCGAAAAATGGAATTTTCCCTACAGTGTATTGGTGAAACAGTTCTTACCTATTTTTAAACAAAGACTTATCATTTGATACTTACAAGAATGGCGTGCATATGTATCTAGTAATAGTGTGCTCAGACATTAATATTCATATGTAAAAGAACAGTTTTGGTATGAATTATATTTAGACAAGATTAATAGTAAATCATTAGGAAGCGCTCTTACACGCTTTCGAGTGTCCTCTCACAGAGTCCGGAAGGTATAGTCGAGGCCGTGTAGAACGTCACGAAAGAACTTGTCAATTCTGTGATGCTAACGAGCTCGAAGACGAGTGTAATTTTGTTTTAAAATGCAGTGTTTATGAAAATCTACGTAGCCAATATAGTAAACGTTATTTTTACATTCGGCCCAGTATGGAATAGAATTACTGCAATCTAAAGGCCAAAAAGTACTTACAAACTTATGTTATTATTTTCAAAAGGCAGACATCAGACGAAATGATAAATCTAGAAATCTTCAATAGTATTATGATGCTCTTTTGATTACATATACTGTGATGTTCTTTTTTATATTATATAAATATTTTGTCAAACAAATTCGATTAAAAGCGAAGTTATAGTTTGTTCTCCACTTAAAATTATTACTCTTCATTATTCATTTACAGAAGAAATTTATAGATATAAAATATATAATTGATAAACTGGAGTTTTGTCAGTATCTGTGATGTATTGCATTGTATGTATTAAATATCCCATTGCTCAGTATTGTATTGATTGTGTTTTTTCTTTATGTGTGTTTTTCCTATATTGTAAAATAAGTGACCTAAAACTTTATTTTAAAATGCTTGTTATAACGATGTACCTTTGTGTGTTATGAAATAAACTCTGTTCTGTTCTGTGTATTTCTTTTTAAATCATTTACATGTATTACGACCATGCAACATAATTACCACCCAACAACATTTGTTCATTGCTTCATCTGGTGTAACAAATTGACCAGGTCAAACGATTTCATAATCTGGACGCTTGATTTACGATATACCGTAAGTATTCAAACTTGAGCATGATTGGGATTGCATTTCTTAAGCTATTATGTGAGAAACAATTTTGTCGGTAATAAATAGGTTGTCAATAGCATTTTAATTTAATTTATCGATGGAAAGTATGTCAAAAGTCGCTAATTTCACCAAAGGACTTTAAAGCGCGTTTCATTTAGACATGCAATTAATGATTAATAAGTCTATTGGTCTGTGTGAATGTTATAACATTGAGTTAATAAAATTATGAATCAAAACCTAAAACAAAGTCGAGGACATGAGAACATAAACATTTAGTTTAGTTGGACTGCATAAGTTCTAAAAGTTGCTTATCCACTATTATACCAATTCACTATTAAGATCACTTTAAGTCAGTCCTGTTAGTGGTCTCAATAGAGGGAATTAACTTCATGTTTAATTTAATTAAAGCTACAGCCTTTAAAACTATATAATTGATATACAGTGCATCACATTCCAATACAAACAAGAGCACCACATAGTCGTGGCAATATAGCAATATAAGCCCGAATGCAAATTTTTTGAAGTAAATAAAATGTAATATTTAAAGAAATCAAAACTAATTTTGAACAGATATGATACTCATTTATATAACGTGTCCAAAACATGTTTTATTTCAATTATCAATATTAAGATCTACAATGATACATGCCAAAGAGCTATGCTCTTGTCACATTAAATTTTTATGACAATTATATATGTCACAGCTTTTGCTGCGGAGTACAGACCTTAGACATATCACCAGTCATGCCCTTAAAAAGCTAATTTTGAAGCATCGAGGGGTGTTTGTTTACCTCCATGGTGATGTGTGGTGGTGTTGGTGGTTGTCACTCCGGATCACGGCAGTAAGCCATATTGAATTTACTGCAGCACGGTTCAACCACTGCAACGTTCCTGGGAAGGTTGTCAAGCACTTTACCAGTACTAGTTGCCTTCATTTTCGCAAGGAACTGAATCTTCTGTACATACCAGAGCAAAGGTACAGTGCGAATGACCGTAGAAAGGGTTTCATGATCAATTACAACGAAAGTGACCTGCGCCGTCCGGGAATCGATCTCGGGTCGCCCGCTTCATCCAAAAAGTGGCGGCATGGACGAGTGGTTAACGCGTCGGACTAGTAATCTATCGCTAGCCGCATGGGTTCAAATCCCGTCAAGGGCAAGTAGTTATTTCCTTGAGACTCATGCCGCTCAGTACTGGTTGGTTCCAGGAACGTATTTGAAAGTGTGTCTATAAGCTTATAGCTTTCTACACAATGGAACTGAAATAAGTTCTGTATAAACCAAATACATATAAATTGGCAGGAAACATAATGATTATTACATTGTAATCTCTCTTTGTAATATTTACACTAGTCTTATATTATGATTTTGAATGAGTCAGTGTGACCTTGATTTTAAACTGAGGAAGATCAAACCTGTTCTCCTTACATCCTCTCGTTATAGTTTATGATAACATTTCTGCCAAGTAGTTTCAATTTCTTTCAACCGGTTCAAAAGATACAAACCGGACACAAAAACGCCTACATAAATCTATATAAAATCAATTTTGACGTTTGTAGTTCACTGTCTCAATATAAGATATATTTCTGCCCAAAAGTTTTAATTTCTTTCCATCAGTCCAGAAGATACAGAGTGGAAACATAATTTTGATATTGATTGAAAATGACTAAGTGTTACCTTGACCTTGACCTGAGAAAGGTCAAACCTGTGCTTAGTACATAGTCTCATTATGGTTAACATTTCTGTCAAGTAGTTTCATTTTTTTTCCGTCGTTTCAAAAGATACAGACTGGACACGAAAACGCCTATATACGTCTATATAAATGAAATCCCCGGGGTTGGGCCAATTTTGATCATAAGAAGTTCAAACTTTTGTTCTGCAAACCGTCTCAATACATGTAATATTTCTGCCAAAAAGTTTTAATTTCTTTTTATCGGTTCCAAAGATACAGAGCGGACGCATAATTTTGAAATTGATACAAAATGACTAAGTTTGACTTGACCTTGACCTGAGAAAGGCCAAACCTGCAGTCTGAACATCGTCTCATTATGGTTAACATTTCTGCCATGTAAATTTAATTTCCTTCCATCGGTTCAAAAGATACAGACGGGGCACGGAAACCTGCTAACAGACGGACGGACAGATCACCAGGTGAATAACAATATACGCCGATATTCTTTCGGGCGTATCATGACTAAAACTATTGAATACTACTCGGACCTCGTACATGATAAATATTGAATAAGACAGAAAAGAAAAAAGTCAAGAACCGCACGTTATGAAATGACATTCAGGTCTGTCTGTGCGTTCACGTATGCAATTTGATCTCAGATGAACTTTTTTATCGTTGAAATATGTATATATACAAACACAAAATATCACTCTTTAAGGATTAAGCAAGGAATTAAACGTTGATTTTCGTAAAGTTTATTCTTTCTTTTCATTAAAAATATATAATTGTTTTCTGATAACAATTATCATTTCATAATAATTATTTAATAGCAATATGTAAGAATATAAATATTTAGATTGTATTAATTAAAGAATAGTCGTAGGCTATTTTACTATAAATAAATTGTGCAGTCAACTAAAATGACTGTTAATGATGTTTGATGAATCATAACCTTACGTTAACAATAAATCATTACTCACGATGACTTTGTACTGTTTCCTTGAGAATATGTTTCATATACATAACTTGACTCCATCTCTTTTTGCTCTTGACCTTAATAAACATGTAATATTCAATAAGTTTTGTCACTCTACATTTGTTTTGGTACGGTACCAAATGACAAGGATATTAATATCATAATCATTGTATGGCGTGCCTACCAACTGTTTTGAAAAATGAACATTATAGTTCTAATACGTACTTTTAAGCTACTGCTTCTACACAGACATTGTTAAACAATCATATTACTTAGAATTAAGGCCCAATTTATGAAAAATAATTCAAACTTTCTATATGTTTTGGATTTCTTAATCACATTAATACCTTATAAAGCCTGATTCAATGCTTATTCTACCTTTTGCACTGAAAGCCATCTTTCTTCACCCTTCTTACATTTTTTTTTAAATTTTATCGATGTCTAGTCTGTCTTCATGAAAACACACGATATAGGATATTGTGATATAGTACCAAAGCAGCTCTTTAGATTGATATAAATTCTGATGATTTTTAATAGAATAACTCAACAGTCAGTATATAAGATTTTTTTGACATTACTGCATAAACCTATTAATGATTAACTAATCACCCTTTTTCCAAAAAACTTTTTCACGGGAATTGCAATCCTGACAGAATGTCTTCATAAACAGTATTGTAAAATATGTGGATATGTAAATATGTGACGAAGGTTTTAAAACACTCACGTTCCTGTTATATTTCATTTATTTTAGGTACCCTTTTACATATTTCAAACAGATAAAAAGAATTGCTAATGGTACTTATTGTGTAACCTAATCGGTTTTATTTCCTATGGAAAAGACTTTATGTTGAGTCTCTTTCATTATAACAAGTTAATATGTTATAATAGCATAGTGTAACACTTGACAATACTTTTAAATAATACTTATATTTTGATCAAATGGTATACAAAAATTATCTTTAAGAACTTCAACTGAAAAAAACAACAAATTCTTTAAAAGCTTACTTCATCATTTTTTGATATTCATATGACGGTAAATAACAATGCTAACAACAATAACATTTTTGTTAAGAGAGATTACTTTGAGTTTGGTTAAGTAAATCATCCACATTCTGTACCTCTTGAAGCATTTTATGGAGCATATGCATCACAGTAAATATGATTCACTTTGTATTATAAGCATATTAACGGTTTAAACAAGTGGATCTTTTCATAATTAGCTGTATTCACAAACAGGGCTATCGCTAAATAAATTACGAAAATATCTTACAAAATTCGTAACTCGATTAAATTTCAAAATTCATTAGCGATTTGAAAACTCTTTTGTGACCAGGGATAAACAAGACTGATATCAATGGGGATGTAATCTATTAGCTTCATTAGAGTTTAGTCATGGTAACATTATTCTGCAGTCTTTCCTAAAATTACAAAACATTTTATGAAATGTGATTCTGACTTTATTATTTTTAGACTGACTTCATGATTTGAGTTTAACCTCATGTCAAAAAAATTTTGCATCTGCAGGATAAAGGTTGAGACGGTTCTTAAAATCAAAAACCGATAGGGTGTCAATTGTCTAACATTTTATCTTCTGCTTATGTTGATCCCAAGCCATGCAGGAATATGTGGAAATGAAAACAGTAGATACTTTCACTGATAAATAATCGTTAAATTCTAAACCAGCAGATTAATCGTTACCAACTAGTGATTTTAAACCTTTAATTCATCTGAAAGGAAATAAAATTGGGACAAATCTGTATTTGACAAACTTGGTGATATCAACCCTTTTCTTGATAAATCATCAACTCTACCTGTCTAGAACCGCCATGATCAATGTGTTCTTCTTTAATATAGTACTGAACATACAGTTACTCATTGTTACCTTTTAACAGGAGCGATGCTCCATTTTTTTTGTATAGTTTGCAATAAATATTTTACTGTCAAATATTTTCTTCTCTTGCCCACGTTGGTGATAGACTTTATCGAGTCAATTCACATAGGTAAGTTTTTGCCTCAGTTCCATTAAAACCTCTGATCGATAATTAAAAGGAAGCTATCGAATATTCTAAGATTGAACTAACCATCTTTGACTTACTAGTTTAAGGTCTACTTTTTATAGTGTTCGGCGTAGTATGACCTGTAATGAATTAGTGACGTTGCAATACCCGAACAAAAAACGCTCTGCGATCAATAAAATTCTTCCATATAATTTTAAATATGTCATCAGCTACTTGGTGACTTTTATTGGATAATAAAATCTAAATGTACCTTTGAATTGTCTTTGAGATGAATTTTTAGTGCTCTAAAGTTTTCTTTTGCACCCGTTAACATACCATAGTGAGTTTTCATACTGGTGTCCCTTGATGTTACTGAAAAAAGTACAAATATCTCTAAAATTAATGCAGGCATAAACTGAAACAAAATACTTAAATCTTTGGTTTAATTAATATCCATAAGTGAGAAATTACGTTGATAAGTCAATATCAAAATTTCGTGCTCAGGTTTCCTTTTTTACAATCGGTAAAACTTATTTTCAATCATTTATCAAAACGCATTTTAAATGGTATCTATCATTATTTTATCTTATTAATGCATGAAGATAATGTATTTTGGACAAATGTTCTATTCAAAAGTTTGCCAAAGAGCCGGCACATTCGGAGCAGCTGGTAAATTTATATACCATAATTTAAAATTTTAAAACTTAGATATCCTTAAACCCCTATCTCCAAGCGGAGTACACCGAACGAGCTTAAGTCCTTGTACAACATTTTTGTCTTTTTTGCATAAACTGTCCTTAATGACATGTATGTAACCATTCATTTAAACACCATGTCTATCTGAATATAGACTATGCGTGCCAACGATAAATCATGTAGGTAAACGACAAAGTAACTCAGACGGTCTTTTTTAAGATGTTTAAATCGTTTGAAATTTTAATAAGCGTCCAACGTATAAAATATGATTTATTTGTTGGTGACAAAGATGATTCTTATTACTTCATCCAGTGTTATGTGACCTTTTACTGTTATGATTCTGCCTTGTCAATTTCAGTAAGTTTTAAATGAACCTCCTTCTTTCATATCCGAGCTTGGGACCGGTTATGGTACGTTTCTGAGATTTCACTCTTCTTCCGATCACAAGCAAGGTATTCAGCCGCTTCAAATTACAGCCTCTTGTAGGAGCAGACCTGTTCTATGAGTAGAAAATTATGTTCTGACTACAAAAGTATTGAGTAGTCGAAATAATTGAATAGAACTGTTTTCAGCTGTTTTCGTTGACTTCGAGAAGGCGGTCGACAATTTACACCGTGACTCACCCAGGTGGATCTATTGTTGCTGTGGCATCCCACTGAGATTGGCCTCTACCAGAACTTTAAATGCATTGTGATATTTAACAATTAGCTCTCAGTACCCTTTTGTAGTTAAGGCCGAAGTGAAGCAAGGTTGTTTATTGTCGCCTTTGTTTGTTCCTTGACAATCGACTGGATCAGGGTCGTCTGACAAGACAAATGACGGTGTAACAGTTGGCCCTGAACTCGTAACTAGAGGACTTGGACTGTCACGATGACATTGGTCTCCTACCTAACAGGTTTCAAGACATCCCAAAGAAGAAGTCCTTCCAAGCAACAACAAGCAAGATAGGACTAATGGATAATACCAAAAAAACACTGGTCCAAACATCATTTTTATCAATAGGAAGCGCTGGAGAACAAGCAGGAATTCACATATCTAAGGAGCAAACCACGGTGGGAGGAGACTGCAACAAAGATTTCGGTATCAGGATAAGTAAGGCAAACCAAGCATTGTTAAGCCCAACATGGAGATCAATTATAATACTCAGAGCCAATACTAAGGTCAGGATCTTTAACAACAATGTTGTCATCGTCCTTCTCTAAGGAACAAAATACTAAAAGATGCGTCTAGAAGTCTTTCAAAAATGAATCCCTTTTACAGATCACCAAGACTTTTTTTACCCAAAACTATCTCAAACGAAGACCTGCTTAGCCAAACAAGAACGTCAACAGGGACAGAAACCATCGAAAGAAACCCCTGGCGATGTCTTGAACATGCCACCTTACTCGTTTCCTATAATTGCTCTTCGATAGACAACCAACGGAAAAACTGGAAAAAACTGAGAGAGACCTGGAGGCGAGCCACTAAGAAGAACCTGAACAAGCTTGACTAAGGAGACAGCGTGATAGAACCATGTGGAGATCAATTGCAGTCGACTCAAGCACGAGACGGCGCTGTTATGACATAAGTAGTTGCTTTGTTTATATTGAATACCAGAATATTCGAGACAGATACACAGTTAGTAGCAGACACAGGGTCAGAAACCATACACATGTCACTTTAATTTGTTTCAGGACATTAAACGTTGGCTCCATAAACGCAAAACAAAAATGGCAAAAAGAGCAAATGTTCTCTTGGACTCGATCATTGCATTCAGTTCAGGAAGAAAAAATTGAGAAGACTCAACAGAGTAGTAACAGTCCAGTCCAATCATTCATCGAACCCGGGTATCACGGAAACTATCAGAAATTGCGAAATCCGTCGATAGAATTTCCTTTTTAAGCTGTTTCAGAAGTTCCAGTATTCTTGTATTCAAGAACTCGAAATTCAGCTGATAACTTGTATTTAAGTTTGAATGTTTTATTTCTGGCTAGCCGGTTTAGCTAGAACTGGATTCATGCTAGCCGGTACAGCGATAGCAGTTAGAAGTCTTCCAGTTATTCGATTCTCTGGCTAACTTTAATTTGAAAAAAAATGAATATATAAAGGAGGTTATAAGTTCAAGACAGAAAAATATTACTACATCTACATTATGCCTTAAACAAAACATAACTACTTTTTCCTATATTTATGAGTAATACACAAACTAATGATACTAATGGGGTTAGCTAGGAGGTTTGACGATTGAATAAATAGACAGACGAAAAAGGGTGAAAAAAGGGTGATCATTTACAAAAGAAAACAACAATATAACACAACAAAAACATCAAAGACTGATACTTTGCGGCCAGGGCACGTTTAAAAATACTACAAACATGAATTAAGTCTTCTGTGTGCTAGGTATGAACACTGAAAAGACAAAGGTCGCTCCTAACATCAACATACGAAAAAGTATTTTGATGATTCACATTTATCATTATCAGATTGGAAACAAAACATTTTGATAGGACTCTATTAAATTATGGTTAATAACATATATTTAAAATAGTATGCCAGTCGTTTTTAAATTGGTCAAGATTTCCCCATTAGGTAGCTTTTTCTTCATTTACCTTTAAGAACATATGAAATATACTTTATAGCACCAGCAAAAGATAACATTGTTTTATCAGTTTTACATTTAAAAATATAAATTTTGATATATAAAAGAACTTAATTGTTTACAACATTATTTGTATTGTTTCCTTTAATATAACCAAAAGCATGGTTTCTTTATTCAAGTTTTGCATGTTTAGTTTATCTATACAAATTTTGTGTATTAGTTTATTGCTGTGAATGCATTACCAAAATATATGTTCTATAGTTTCATCATGAAGATTACAAAGGCTACACTAGGGACTGTTTATATATTTCATTTTGAACAAAAGATTATCCTATGGATGAAATAAAATAGATAAAAACAGAATCCCTAAAGAAAGCTCAACACGGCAAAATTGTAAAATGTTGCAGGCTCGGTTTGATTGAGCCTGTTCATGGACGGTACTGGAAAGTGCAAGTAACCGTCCACGCCCCCTAACACTGGCTTAAGCAGAATCCAACATTTAAACACAAAGCTGGTGATATTTTGAATTTAGAAACGTCCGCCGATGTGTTCATATGACAGTCATCAGTCTTACATAGAACCATTGTATATAAGTATCTTTTGTCAATTTGAATGGTAAATTATTTATATTCTTCCAGTATTCATCATCATTTGAGAGGCATATTTTTTGTGACCATTTGACCTGACAAACGAGCTTGCTGGAATTGACATTAAGCGAATCGTACATATATTTTGAGCCTTTTTGGTCTTTAATTATCCCTTTTATGTGTATTGGAATTGTTGGTAATTTCTCTCTCTTAAAAGTTAAAGAGTTGAAGCAGACATTTTGAAAAAAGTTTGTGACTGCTTTTTTAATTCCTAAATATAAAAGATGATAAATATTAACATTGTAGATCTTGCTTAATTCTTCTGGTGTATAAAACTGGCCATTTTCATGTTTGATATCATAAATACAGCGAATTTCCTTATCATACAGAGATTTCCAAAAAATACTTTTATTGTCAATAGTAATGTTGTGATTGTAAAATAAAGGTTAAGTTACAAATGTCTTCTTTATCAAATTTCTGATGCTCAATAAATAATGAAAATGCATTGAAAATGTGTTTCCAGAATTCATTTTTGACAGATTTTGACATTTTCCCGACATAATGCTTTCCACACATGACTAATTTATGTACATCAATACCCGGTATTAAAATACTTATCCAACATTCATCACTAGACAAAATTCTTCTTATCCATGTAAGTTTTAACGCATTCATAAAAGCATTTATATTTACCATTCTTAAAGCCTCTTCCATGTAATCTTTAACTAACACATTTTTATTAATTTTTAAGTTCTATTCCAAATAAAAGCATATAATGTATCATTAATTCGTTGTATATATTTATCCAAAGGATTCGGCTACATTATAAATAGATGGTTTAGTTATGAGATAAGTATTGTTTTTATTACTGTTCTTTTACCGATTGGAGTCAAAGCTCTTCTATTCCATTGTTTAATCATTTTTTCTATATTGGTTATAATTCTTTAAAGTTATGATCTATCATTTTTTCAAGATCCACATGGAATGTTATTCCAAGCATTTTGAAACTAGTTTCGTTCCAATTCAGTTTCCATCAAGTTTTTTTTGCTATCACTTCTGTACTTTTAATGCCTATCCAAACAAACTTTGTCATTTCAAAGTTCGCCCTGAGTTCGCCCTGAGCCCCAAGATCTAAGCAGAAACATCAAGAGTGGCATTTAAAGATTGTGCTGTTCCGTCTAACATTAGAGTAGTATCAGTAAATGTTCAGTCTGTGAGTATGTTAATACGAGGGATGATCAAAAATAAACCGGACTGTTACTGGCAATTGAAGAATTTTCATCCTATCACTTATTGTTATATATCACATTTAATCGGAAAACAATACCTGTAAACTGATACTATATCTAATCCGATAACGCAAATAGCTTGTCCGTAACAGCGAATTCAAAAACCATGGTAATGCACACCCGGCGCAGTGCGTAAATTCGCCTTGACATGAGGCGCTTTATGCTGCGTGTATTTTACAATATGGCACATTTAGATTTCAAAATACGCCAAAACGTCATGTACAATATCTTTGACGTTGTCAGTAAAAATGACTTCATTTAAACCATATTTATATTTACAATCACAATTCAAACGTCACATGTTAATGAAATACTCGCGTTAAAACTATGTCGTCGGAATGTCTCGAAAATCGATCAATAGGAAAAATTTGTCAAATGTAAGACGAGAAACTGTTTAAAACTTAGAAAAAGATTATGGCTAGCAAGGGAAAAGTTCCAGAAAGCCACAGCATATTTTTTGATTAGCTTAAAAGATTAAGAAAAGATAATAGAGAAATAGAAAAAAGTAAGGGAGAGACAGAAAAAAGACATTTTCAAGGACGTTGGTGACGTCAATCGCCAAGACGTTGAAAAATGACAGTCCATTGACTGCGGACATTGTCAACGATGTTCGATAATAACTACGGGACGGTGCAATCAACTCTGAGGATCTTAAAATGATAATAGTTAATGCATTAATTACATGTATTGTATTCTTGGTTTACAATTGTATCAATTATTTTCTCATTTTACGCAGTAGTGTTATTGAGAAATTGTGTCAACAATTTAACAGCCACTGTTCAAAATGGCTATGCGTTTTATTTATTTTAAAATAATGACAATTTTGATCATAGTTGTATTATTCTGTTATTTTTTTGATGTATGATACATTATCATTCAGCATCATTATTTTACATTATTGTAATTTATACATAATATAGTTAATTTCATGTGCGATTTTTTCAACAATCAAGTTACAGAAGGAAATAACGGAAGTTTGCGTCATTACAGGAGTTCTTTATCACCATTCATTCTATTACAATACAATATGATACCCACTTGTACAGAAATATATATAGGCAGGAGATCCACCGCATCAATAACATAACTGTACCACATATTGGCCTACTCCGTGAATGAGTAAAAATCTGCTCCGTTAAGGACAATACGCTTGTGACGTCGTTAACGTCAATTTTAAAGTTATACCGTGCGCCGCATTGCTTTACATGTGCATGCCAATAACAGCACAACTTTTTTCTTTGTTAATATTTCTTGTTGGTATTTTTTGTATCATTTAGAGGATAGATTCCGATTTATTTTTCGTGTATTGTTATGCAAATTCATTTAACAGGTTAAGAATCATTTACAAAGTCCGGTTAATTTTTGATCATCCCTCGTATGTATTTCTTATTTTCTACCGATTTCAACTTAAGGGAAAGAACTTTTGCACATAATTTAAATATATAGCATGAAAGAGGGTCGCCTTGACGACAGTCTCGCTGTACATCGATAAATTTGAATAAGAATCCATATTGACAAACAGCTGATGTTGCATTTTCATAAAAGATATTAAACCATTTTTACAATTGATGCACCAAAATTAAAAAAAAAGATAAAGTATTCTGTACAAAATCCAAAGATAGCGAATCGAATGCTTTTTCAAGTCAATCAGAAGAAGTAATCCAGGAATATTATTTTCTACTGTATAATTCATAATATCATAAAATTATATCAGTCTAACATTTTCTCTGATAAATCTTCATTTTATAAAACCCGTTTGATCTTTGCTAATAAGTTTATTTAAAAATATTTTAATTATGTTTGCAATGCATCCAGATCCAATATTATATATAGTTTAAAGTTAATTGAAAAGTTTAGATTTATTCTTCTTAGGTAAACATGTAATTATTTCTTGTGTTTGAGTAATAGATAACTGATTGACATTATATGCTTCATTTAGACCTCTTACAATATAATGTCCCATTTTTTCCAGAATACTTTAAATCTGTTCCAAAACCAGATGAGCCGGGGCTTTTGTTGTTCGACATGTTTCTTAAAACAAATGATGCCTCATGAAAAGTTATATCACCTTCTAAGTTTTGGCTTTCTATGTCTGTGAATTTAGTATTATTAATTTTACATATAAAGTCATTAAAATCGATGGTTCATTAGATTCTCTTTTTTTAACAGAGATTCCTTATATCTTTCTATTTCTTTTAAAATGTCTTGCTGATTTTCAATTATAGTTCCATTGTCATTTTGTACTCTATAAGTGTTTTTGAAATGTAATTATATTTTTCTAAATTGAAAAAATATGTAGTAGGTTTTTCACCTTCAAGGGACAATTTAGCCCTAGATCTTATAAGGTATACCTGCATTCGTTCACTATTTATCTGAGATAATTCATCTCTTAGTAAGAGCAGACTATCAACATTTTGATCTCATAAATTGGCTTCAATAGAACTTATTTCTTTGAATATTTGACTTTCTGTGTCTTTTCTTAGTTTATTTTTATGAACTTTAAGATATTGACTTTCCTCTAATTTCTAAAAGTAAGGTTTCTAAGAATAGCTGGTCATTTATTGAAAACTGTATTTCATTATCTGGAATATTCTTTATATTGTCAATACTATAAACCGGTAGAGCATATTGCATCTTTATCTTATCTATCACCTTATTTCTTGCTTCAAGATATTTTAGACATTTTAAAAGAGAATTATTATGTTTCCAAAGACCTTTACCATGTTTAAAGTCATCAAATTTCAATTTCAGTGTTAAAATACAATGTAGAGTGATCTGATTAGAAACTTGCGTCAATACTATGTTGCTCTACAAATTGTTGCATTGCTTCACATCTTAAAAAATCAAATCTTGCCTGTTGAATTAGCCGTGTTCGTCGCCAGGTGTATCGCCGTTTACTTGGAAGGAGTTTCTCTTAAAATATCAACCAAACAGTACTCATGCATATACTTTATCATTGTAGTCCTTGCATTTTTATTATTTAACCTTTTATAATTGCAATAGTCAAGTTGCGGATCAATGACCAAGTTATAGTCCCCACATATATTACAATATTCATAACTTATTTTCTTACGTTTTTAAAAACTTCTTCATAAAATTGCAGTTGATCAGAATTTGGACCATAAATGCTTACAAGTATGAGGTTTTTATCACAAGTGGTCAAATCTAAAATAATATAGTTTACATTCTTATCAATAATTGTGCTCTTAATTTTGTTTTCAATACTTCTTCCAAACAAAATAGCTACACCTCTGGAATTAGATGTTCCATAGCTAAAGTAACATTCACTGTTCAATTTAGCGTATATTGATTTTTGCATGTCTAAAGTAAAGTGAGTGTCTTGCAAACAGTAAATATCAGATTTATTTCCTTTTAGTAAACGAAATACTTCTTTCCGCTTTTTTATACCATTTAAACCTCTACAGAAATTGTTCAGAGATAATATTTAAGGCCTTTCATAAAACCACGTTAAAAGGGCACCACTGTAAGTTTCTTTTTTCACAACAAAAAGTTTGTAACTCTCTGGCTAACTTAACGTATATGTAAAAAAACACTTTTTTGAAAAAAGATTGATCGCTTAAGAGTGATTTCATGTATAAAATAATTCATAATTTGTATAAATATATAAAAGAAATAGAAGCGAATGAGTTCATGTTAAAAACGTTGAACAAATAATTTAGACAAAATACATATATTTAGATAAAAAACATATCAAATACATACCAAACACTTCATCTAAAGCATCAAAAAGCTGCTGCACATATTTTGTTTCCTGCCCTTCTTTTATTGCGTCATCAAAGTAGATATGAAATTTGACTTCAAGTCCTCTAGCCCCCAAAACTTTGTCGTTGACAGATTTGAAGGACTGTAGAAGTTGTTTCATTTCATTTTTGTCCTTAAAGTTAGATAAAATTATTTACAATGTCTTTAACAAATTCAAACATTCTATAAGAAATATAGCATTCCTTCACTAATATTTCATAATAAAGTAATGTTTAACATGAAATTTAACTTCACCGGATGAGCGCCAAAAACCAGTACTCTGACGAGTGACGTAGCTATTGAAGTTCGCGATGCCTCATTTCGAGTTTTGATCTCATTTCTTCTTTATAACCGTGTTTATTACCAACTGGTAACCTCAAATTCAAATTTCAGACGAGTTAGTCATGATACAAGAATGTCTGAGCAATGAAATAAGTTCAAAATGAACATGAGATTGCGTTGTGCTATTTGTGTTAACTATATTTTTTGTCCATGGGCCCGGATTTGACCAATAAATCCTTTCGATTTACAGCTAAAAGTAAATCCGCATTCAAGAACTCCTTTCGATTTCTATATTGGTTTCCCCGTCGGTGATTCGCAGTATGTCATATTAATGAATGAGAACCGGAAAGCAGTTCTGCTGTACATGAATTCGAAAGCTATAAATAGCTATAAATGTTCTGATTTTTGACATTTAGGTTATAAATTTGTTATTTCCATTTTTTAGTAGTACATGAAATTATAATTTGTTACATTTTGAATGACATTTACACACAGCATATCAAGTATACTATTAGTGAATGAATTTGTCAATAAAAAGAAGATTTCAGGCATAAGACTTTAACAATTTTGCTTTTGATAATTATTTTTAATTTATATTTATGAAATTAAATGTTTAATAATAACATGTTGATATATTGGTTGTTTTGAAATAATTAAACTTTAGTTTATAAAGTTACATTTAATTAGCGTCATTGGAATAGCATACCACTTTGTGAAAAAGAAAAAATAAGGGTATGACTGGTGACATGTCCGGGGTCCGTATTCGACAGCGAAAGCTGCATTTTGTGGCCTTACGAGCGGATGGACCCTTATTAAGCGTAGGCTATAGATAGATATCATCATAACAACAGAAACTTTGCTCTGCAGTTTGAACATGAAGTGTAATGTTTTTTATGAATGGTTTTAAAGCAATTCAACAAAGAATATTTATCCCATTTATTTATTGGGTCGTCAGACCAAACAAATAATGGTAGCGAAATTTCAGACTCTAATGCTGTTAATTGCAAATGCCGAAAGTAGTCCGCTTTTTTGAAGCGGTTACTTCCCTTTATATGTAACACTTAGGCCCACAAATTTAGGGGAGATCACTGCGTAAATATTGTCACAGGCGGATTAATTTTCAAGCAAAAAATTCCCAAATGGTCGAGGATTTCTAATATTGTTTAATTATTTATAGATATACATGCTTATAGTAAGCGCCATGATTATTTACACGAGTGTTAAACAACAGTTAGCGTCGTTACAAACCCTAACTTAGAATAATATGGTTTTCTTCAGCTCATATACATTCACCTGGCCGAGGGGTTTGCGCGCTCGCTTAGGAAGCGAGAGGTCTGGAGTTCGAATCCCATTTAAGGCAACTCATTTTTTTTCCAATTTGTTAAAGTCAAATAAACATTGGATTGAATATCAGTGTTGCAATTAGTCTTATAGCCAATCTACTACAATAAAAACGCTGGAAAGCATTGGTGGCACTATACAATTAAATCTAACAACCTTCACCTTTCTGACATTCTGAGACCCAAACAAATTTAGCGCCTTCTGTGCTTTGATCTTTTATATATTACCAATGTCAAATAGCTTTCATATCTTTGTCTCGCACGAACATTATGTTAAGTGAATTTCCTCATACCTGCCTAAATTTAAGGTAACAGTCTTCTATTATATTGATAAATACTGTATCACCATGTAACGCGTGTATAACAAACAAAAAATCCTGAATTTGGTCTTTTTGAAATTCATCCCATTTTTTCATTCCAGAGTGTGTTCTACTTTCAGGATTGAAAGAAACCATTTTCTTTTTAATTTGACATGAAAAAATGCATGTAATATTACTATGTATATGTTAGTGTTCATCCGTGCTGTTCTACTTCGACGGGAGCGATAGCGACAGGAGAAAGTTTCTAATTTCTGTAGAACAACACGGATGAATACTAACATATTTAGTGTCAACATTTATTTGGCCTCATTATCATTCAATTTATTACGTCACTATGAGGTTCTATAAAGTTCTATGAAAAATAGGAGTCGACTATGGACGAATTCGATATAGTATCGACTTTTGTTCTTCTATGAAAATTAACGCACAGAAATACAGCGTTTTCATTGGATGACAAATAAAGTTGGATACTAAATCATAATATTAGTCCCTTTTGTTACTATTTGTATATTTGTTACAATTATAATAATAAAAAAACAGACTTTGATATTTTCATCATCTTATGTTACTGACTACAGTAGTTACACAAACAGAACACAGTACAGTCATGTCACATAACATTTACAAGTCTTGTAAGTCTTGTTTGTATTCAATGGAATTACTTTCCTTGCCAGGCAGGCATCAGTGAAAGCATTTTTATATTAAATATCTTTCTCCTCTTTTTAATTATGGACAGTGCATCAGATAAGTATAATTATGCAAAAAATGGTTTACAAAACATTCGGAAAAAATCTACAATAGTACTTAATCTGAATAGAACATGACCTGTGCGTAGGAATAATTTGGAAAGGTATCTGTAATGAGCACATTTTTTTGCGCGGAGCTTCTCAATTGCTCTCACAGTGCTGCAACTTCCCAATGGATTGAGATAGAGTTAAAGGCTTTTCAGCGTTGGTTAAACGTTATTTTATGATCGACCTGGGGTCATTTTTAGCCTCTCACAAGTTCAAAATTATCTTGGCGATGAGCGGGACTACCGCTCACCTTCAAACACCCCTAACAGAAGGGGGCACATCCCCTTGCTAACAACCCCCTGATGTAACTTTTGGATAGGGGGCGGCGCCGAAAAGGTGGTCAGTAGTTTAAACAAAATTTCTCAAATGAAAACATGTGTTTGGGGCCTAAATAAGGCATTTTTCACCATTTGAGACACAAAATGGGGGTGAAAAAGACGGTAAATTGTGTGTATATCGAGTAATGGGTTATAAACAAAAATTATAAATGTTGTTTTTTCAATGAATATGCTTAACAATAATAAAAGATGAAAAAATTACTCATTCATTCCGTTTAACAATTATATTATTAACTGTTTTACCGGACAAAATCATTTAAATATAACACTTCAGTAACAGATTGTTATCCGTTTTCAAATTGTTTTTAAATGCAACGTTAATTGTCACATTTTATTTCGATTGAATTGATTAACACTGTATCTGGTTATATTATGCCTATTGAGCACCAAAAAATGGCAAATAATAAACAATCCTTTTCAGATGCGTTCAGCCAGAATTTCGGAAAACATGGAAATATTTGAAAGGCTGTGATACGAACATTTGGCTACTTAATGATCTTCCTGGCAGGTAATTATCATTTGTTTTACCCAATGCGTTACAGTTATTGCTATAGTGTACCTAAATATATCTTATTGTCATGAGGAAGGCGGTATTTCATTGAAGGTCTCACCCCGGTAACATGTTGTAGTCTAGAAAGAAGTTCTTTTAAATTTTGAAGTGACCCAATTTAAGTCGTCTGTATTTTGATTGGTCATTATTTTTATTCTATTTTATTGATTTGTGTAGTTGTTGTGTATCATATGATGACTTTAAAAATTTTGTGTATTCTCGGGGAACTCATTTGTTGGCGGAAGGATTTAAAATGTACTACCCACCAGCAGTCAGGAGTTTTTAAAGGGTTGTATTTAAACAGTGTTACAACAGAATGAAAATTTCTGAAAAAAAGTAGATTGCTTACATATTATATTTCGGGCCTCATTTGACTAAGATAGTGTTGACGTTTAAAGTTGAAGTTTAAAGTTGCCAAATCCCCATCCATTACTTTTAAGAACACACTAAAATGTGTTTCAGACTTTAAAAGCTTTAGTTACGATTTCAATAAATATATATTTTAAGGAGAAATGCTTACAATCATTGTATGGATATATCTGTAGTAACTGTTGTCGTTTTTTTCTTGTTGTTAGATAAAAATAAATACATTAAAAGAAAAATGTGTGAATTGATTTTTGCCATAGAACATAATCATATCAATTACATATATGCTGATAAAGCGAATACGTGTAAACAACAAACATTGTATCTCTTAAACACGCAATAGAGATTCCACTATATATAATTTTTATTTTTGTTATCATTTATTTTTGCTATCATATAATTGCATCATATTTATATTGTATAATATTTGTATTGTTACTCTGTAATTATAGTTAAAAAGAATCTACGTAACACAGTTACATAAAAATAATGTCTTAAATATTAATGACAATGAAAATACTTGTAATTAAAAAATAATAAAATGTTGAATTAGTTTTCTAGCCAAACTGGGATAGAAGCCTCTATATGTGCTTATACAATTGTTAACTACTTGTGACACACATCATATGTTTGTTGCGTTCCTTGAACGCCGCCATTCCTTTTTGATCTTGTTTATCATATTTTGGATCGAGTGGATTGAGTAAAAATGACGAAAAATATCTGATATGTGCAATAAGCAATCTTATGCCTAACATAAAGTTATATTTTTGTTTTAAAAAGAATGAAACACAAACTGTATAAATAACTCGTACCTCTCTATACATCGTTGTGCAAATAAATAATTTTGAATTCTCGGCATTTTCATGGGGTTGCATTAAAGTATTTCTTCTTCCTAACATCATCCAGTGCTCCAGTAAAGCCGAGTTATACATTGGTGTCCAAAATAACTATAACAATATATTAAAACGATTCATTCAATAATGGTATGTTTTCCTTGCAATATATTGCTGAAATATCAAACTTCACCATGATTGATAATAAATAAAGATGCATATTATTTAAAATCCTCGTTTACGTATAGCTATGATTAAAAACGAATAATGTTAATGTTAGTTTTACATTAATACTTTATTTTAGTTTTACATTAATACTTTATTTTAAGCAGCTGGTCTTATTTGTACTGTGAATAAAGTATAAGTTCGTTGTTATCAAAATTCCAATGAACCAATCACATTTCAAAACATGAAAAAGTAATTTAATTGTATAACCTGATTTTCTCTTAACATTATATTGAATTTGTCCTTGAACAAAAATTTCCACGTTGTACACACATTTGCCAGAACAAAGAATAGCGTAGCAAATATAAGATATTTTATGTCTGTATGTGTAACGATGCAGTTTTCCTCATTACCTAGAAAATACAAAACAGAAGAAATTTTCAAACTACTAAAATTAAATACTTGTCAATTACAGTGAAAAAGTACGAATTTTACAATTTTGTTTCAAACATTATTGATTAATTTTGAAAAAAAATTTAAGTTAACTCTCAATCATGTCAATCGAGCTTAATTAGTATGTTTTCAGAATGTGGTAGCAAATTGTAAAAAACATAAATCCGTTTTAGGAAAAATACATCAAACTTTAAAATGAAACAATTTGCATTAAATTTAATTAAATATCAAAATAACGTTTAAGTAACACTTTAAACAAACCTGGCAGAAGAAGATAGAAGCGACATGATTCTTGAACAGCTAAAATACCTACAGAAACTGGTGTAGCTAGTAAAAGGGGGATAGAGAAGCCAAGTATTTGTGAACGTGTTGTGCAAGCTATATAGCCGATAAAATAACCTAAAATCATAAAACAAGTATTTCATCTAATTTTCCGACATATACGATTTTATGTGGTCGGTTTTGTTTAATTCAATTATCATGATTATCTAAATTGTTTCAATATATTTTCTTCTTTATCTCCTAAAATATGACTTGATGTAATAAAGATCAGATGATCAGAACTAAGGTTTTAAATTCTCATTCTATAGATAAAGCAAAAGAAAAGATAAAAAATAAAGGATTTTTTACAGTATAAATTATTTGTACTATTTTTTAGCATGTCATTAGCGTTAAATCTCGTAGTGCTGTATATCAAATATGAAACAATACTTTCCGAAAAAACCTGACATAATGTGTGTGTAGAAGTATAATATTTGCTGTCGGCTGCAGTTAAATAGCGTCAGCCATGCATTCTTGTATGAGGAAAGATTGACTGAAATGATAAGAACCATGAAATTTGGTCAATTAAGGGTAAATAGCTAATACATGCACACTTGTATATGTTTCATGATATCCTTTTAGCTCTAGCATATTTGCAGTTCTTCAAAAACTTGTTTTACTATAATCACAATGCATTCATTCGTCAATTTTTATCATTAAAACAAATTTATCGCGAACTTTAATTCAATAATTAAAATATGTATTTGTGTTCTTCATAATTGCTAATATTTTAGTATATTTCTACATGCCGTAAAATTAAAATAAAAACAATAAAAATTCAAATAAAACGATAAATAAAGTTTGTTTTGACCACTACAATTTCATATGTTAAAGATCAGAAAATAATGTTACTTTGAAATCGTTTGAAGTCTTAATTTAAAGTTGCCACGTGACATTTACAGTGCCACGGTGACAAATAAACAAACCAACATCATATTTGTTTTATAGATTATCAGAAAACATATACGGGCCTTGCATCCTCTTAATAGCATACCATTTTCTAGCTTTTCAGGGAATGGTGACATTCCGATTTCGCCGGCGTAAAAGATCAGCATAGAAAATCCAAGGGTCGATATCGTTTTCACACAAGATAAAATAGCAGTCAGTTCCCATGTATCATCTTTGTTTTGAGATAATAGCTGATAACTGCCCTGCCAAATTAGAACACATTTAATTTAAGGCTTACTTAATACATTTAGGTAGTTTATTTCCTGATTTCTTCATCTTATGACAAAACAAAAAGAATTCAACTTCTGAGTAACTTAAATAGATAATATATTTTATAAGTGTTTACTTTTCTGTCGCTTGCTGACATGTTTGATTTGATTTGTGTTGAATGCCCACGCATGAAATCGTGAATGAAAATCTTATAAAAACAGGAGGGCTTGCAAATGGTTTATGAAAAGTCTTGATGTGATCAATATCAACTTTTAGTTCGTAGATATTTTTAGTATATTATTAACCACAAATAAAAAAGTATACATACACAACATGGTTCTCCTAAAATGTATTTTTGAACCAAAGGAATCCAAGCTATTGACAAACACACGATGGTAAACGGCAAAATCCAAATTTTGAATGATTGAATATGTACTATATTTTCAAACGGAAGAAATATACAGACAATTCCAACAGCAACAAACGAAAAAGTCGCAAAATGCAATATTTTTTGTTTACAAGAAATAGTTTCTTCAGAGCAATGGGAACATCTAATACATTTGACAGCTACTTGGAAGAAAATTACGCAATTCATCAACAAAATGACATGATAAGTTTTGCAAAGTCCTGGTATATAAAAGATAAATAAACAAAGTCCAGCTGATTCCCAAACACTCCATACAGTCTGAAATCAAAAATTCAGTTTTAAAGAATAAAAAGAAATGAAAAAGTAAAAACACAGTTTATGTGATAACTATCATTTCTACTGAGGCAATCGTAATTATATACATCCTGTAAAATGACATTGCGGTTTCTTTTCTTCGTATTTTGGAAATGAGTTTTTTCATCTTTGTATTTATAATAAGTCATCCAAAACCATTTGTCCCATCGATATGTACTTATTTATTAAATAAAATCCTATTAGAAGAAAAAGAACACAATGGTTTAAATATACATGTATGTTTATAAAAAAACTTACCGATTTACATATAATTTTCCAATGTGGCAATTTCCTGTTCTTTCTTATTCCAAACACCACGGATCAGATTTATGATATGTGGCACGAGCGCTATTATTTGTAGCATTATAAATACTCTGCATCTTGATATAAGATCAAAGCTGTCATTGTCGGCATTTAAAGTCATAGACAGTGCTACCAGTGATAATTTGCTATGAACCAGACAAGCTAAGAATAAAATTGCAATGACTACCGTAGACACCCATTTTATTGTAACTTCTTTAAAAGAGGCTGTGGTGTTGTTATGAGTCATGTTTGTGCCTGAATTTTGAAGATCAAACCATACCTACATTATCTGTACATCTAAAATAAATAAAGAAAAAAATAAGGTCAGCGAATTAAGCGTTTTAAGTTCCCGTTTCACAATTAAAGGAATTGTATTGCCTCATTTTTATTTAAACAACAATCAAGATTAAAAGCTAATACCTTATTTTCAAGTAAATTTAATGTCTAGAATAAATTTCAAATCTAGAGCAAAAATTAGTTATTAAATATCAATTCAACGAGACCTTCCTGTCGTGAATGATGTAGACAAGTCGTCATTTTGATAGTTCTGTAGTTATGTGCTGTAGCTTTATTTATAGAAGTCTCACATGTAACCGCTACAACTTGGGGACAAAATAATACTAGAAATAACACATACTGTGTTTTTTGTTGTTGTTTTTTTTTTTTGGTTCGGGAATTGTGTGTATTTTTGTATTCTGTACTGTGCAGTAATATTTAAATTGACGCTGCATAATACTCAATCAATTAAATGTCGACATCCTACGCTGTTTATCGAGAAAGATAACTAGTCTAGAAACATCTCAGAGTTGTGAGTATGTTACTTTCCTTTTGATACTCGAGCTCTGGTCTTTACGACATCTGTTTAAGTATTCACAAATGAAATAAATTTAAAGCTGCAATCTTGTTATCATCAATGCAACATAACAGAGAAAACCGAACATAATGATTATTAAAATTTGTGATAATGAAATGAATAACTGAAGCTACAGAATGTCAGATAAACCCCATCTGAAAGAAAACTCTTAAAATAAAAATGAATTTAGACCACGCCCACTCTCACATTTATTTTCATATTTTGCTTTTAACAAATATGAAGTATATTTGACTGATATATCACTATATTTAATATTTTATATTAAATATTACTTTTACTCTTTATTTATTTGTAAATAAAATGATTTACTTCAGATAGCTGTCTTTTCAATTATACGAGTAGTACTGCTTCTGATAATATTTACTCTTTCACTTCCATTGACAAGTCCGTGTGCATATTGTTCAACAAACACTCAAATGTCGGACAATATGCACATAGTCTTGTCAATGGAAGTATATTATTTGTATTATATTGGATTATTGGAACATGTTGTATGTTATGAGGAGGATCATCAAAGATTGATAGATAAATACAGTTTATTAAGTTGAATAATTGGATTACATTTGTGATTGATTTTTAAGTTAAATTTAAAGTCCTCTCGCGGCAAATGCATATATGCACATTGAATACTTTGTTTGTTTGTTGTTGTTTTTTGTTTTTTTTTATTGCACTCAGCATACATATTAAAATTGTAATCATGAATACTTTCCATTGGCATAACCGTGTTTGTACGGGTTTCAGCACATTCCTGACAGGCATCTGAATAATAAGTGCTAACATCTGTAAATGCATATTTATTCACATAAATTTGAGAGGATTACTCCCATTTGAAATTAAGATTAATAGAGTAATAAATGATGAAAAGAAGTTTAAATAAACTAAAAAAACACCTCTTACATCTGTGCGATACCGGATTTGTAAGGGTTATTCAAAAGTAATTACAGTGTACACATAATTTTAGTCGAAGCACAACTATATTTTAGTCTTCTTTCTACAAATATGATTTCCAAATTTGCTCATGAAAATAATAAAAATAATATTGACAGATGACTTTTGTTTCATGGACTTAAACACACTAGGGTCAAGAGAATGGAGAAAGTTAAATAGAGCAATACCTACTTTGATAATTTTACTGTAGGTATATAAATTAAACGATATGTAATCTTTCAAGGATTAGATAATGCATAATATCATTGGGTTTAAATGTCAAATTGTGTGATAATATGATTGAAATATATTCGAATATTTTAACGTAAGATAAAACTTTATTGGTCTTTATGAAATTTAAAGAGGGCTTTGCAGCCATAAATATTTGATCATTTATTTTATCAAGGTGTGCCATTTTGGGGGGGGGGGGGGTTGGGGGTATAAAGCCTTGAGTTAGGTCAATATTCATTTTGTTACACAACAATTGTCGATGTAGGAAATCAGCTCCGAACTTTGACATATAAACACAGTAAAACACATTAACAGTGTCCTTGTTCATTTTAAATATCTCAGCAGGGTTTGATCAAACGTTCGTTGAAATATTATATCAAAGACTGTTTGAGAAAAACATTTTAAATAATTCATCTAGCAATCGAAACATCCTCGGCTATTATACATAATGACCTCGGACACAACACGGACTGAAAGTAGTTCTACTACCCTTTTTTTTAAACAAAAACAGAGCCTGTAATCTTTGATAATGTATAACGAATTTATATATTTGACATACGCCTATATCGGTATAATTATAATTGTAAATATGTCTGACAATCATAACCAATTTAAAAATGTCCATTGATGTAGAATTTTTAACAAATACGAATAATGCCATGCAACCGGTAGACATTTGGTACTTTCTATTTCTACAACCATAATAATAAGTATATAAATTGCGTAAAATTTACTTTTATATCTTAAATTTACTTAATTTATATGGACTTTTACTCAATATATTGGAATAAACATAGTCAACAAGTATAAGTTATATAATATATACGAGGATTTTTTAATCACCGACTGGTATCAGCGTATGGGGCGACAACAAGGGTCAATCATAGGAAATTGATAGAGACGGAACGTCTCTTGACCCTTTTGTCGCCCCATGCGCTGATACCAGTCGATAAAACAGTTACATACCTACGGAATACCGTTAGGGCCATCGTGGTTATACGTTAAAATACAGAGGGCGACAATGCGAGAATGCGACAGTGCGATGACGAGAATGCGACAGTGCGATGACGAGAATGCGACAGTGCGATGGCGACAATGCGATAACGCGATAGTACGATGACGACATAGCGATCGATAGTGTTATCGCACTGTCGCCATCACACTGTCGCATTGTCGTCATCGCATTGTCGCACTGTCGCATTGTCGTACTGTCGTCATCGCATTGTCGCACTGTCGCCATCGCACTGTCGCACAGTCGTTATTCCATTGTCGTCTTTCGCCTTCTGGTGGACGGTTCTAAACTGCTGGCGAATAAGCTGACGGTATAGAATATGGGATAATTCTACTTTTGTCAATATTTTTTTCTTCTTGATTTTTCTTTTCCTTTTTACTATTTATTTGTTTGTTTGTTTTTCTGTATACTAATAATGTTTAAATGAAATCATAAATTAATAATAATAAAATTAATACTGAAAGACTTATACATAGACGGAAAATGTAATCTTTAATATACAATGTTATGGAAATATTTTAGATGAAAATGATCTTTTGTTGACATTTAAAAGATGCAAAAAAATCATTGTTTGTTACTTGTATAAAAAAGACAAACAACATATATTCATAGATCGTCATCAGTGGTTTTATTGTTTTGTAAGATGTATAATTTATTATATTACTAACATTGTAAATAAAGATACATGTAATTAGAAATTTACGTCAACACATAATTTTTTCTATATATCTAACATAAGTGGTCAACAATTTTCACTTAAGATTAACTTAACAGCAGATCACACTACAATGTATAAGTTTAACTGGTCAGCATATTGTACATATTGTTCACTTCGGCTATATATAAAACAAGTGGACACAGAAATCTAGTCCAATAGTAGACCAATTAAACTTATAGTAGGATCTGCTGTAAAGTTAATATTAAAGTGAAAATTGTTGACCACTTATGTTAGATATATAGAAAAAATTATGGGTTGACGTAAATGTCTAATTACATGTATCTTTATTTACAATGTTAGTAATATAATAAAAAATACTTATAAATGAATTATACATCTTACAAGAATGACGAATTCAATAGAATTATCAATATGATTTGTTTGTCTTTTTTATACAAGTAATAAACAATGATCTTTTTCCTTCATCTTTTTAATGTCAACATAAGATCATTTTCATATGAAATATTTCAATTTCATTGTATATTAAAGTTTCACACAATTTATTACATTTACCGTCTATGTATAGCTCTTTCAGTATTTATATATAAAATGTTTCTTATTATTAATTTATAATTTTAATTAACATTTCTAGTATTCAGAAAAGAACGAAACAAAAAAAAGGAAAAGACGAAAAAGATTTATTGACAAAAGTAAATTTATCACATTTTCTATACCGTCAGCTTATTCGCCAGCAGTTTAGAACCGTCCACCAGAAGGCGAGAGTCGACAATGCGATGACGACAACACGACAATGCGACAGTGCGGTGACGACAATGGGACAGTGCAATGTCGTCAGTGCGATAACACTATCGCTCTGTCGTCATCGTACTATCGCGTTATCGCATTGTCGCCATCGCACTGTCGTATTCTCGTCATGGCACTGTCGAATTCTCGTCATCGCACTGTCGCACTCTCGCATTGTCGCCCTCTGTATTTTAACGTATAGCCTAGATGGCCCTAACGGTGTTCCGTACTTACCAGACGCTGTACCTGTCGATAAAACAGTTACATATCAGACGATAAAACAGTTACAAATCAGACGATAAAACAGTTACAGAATAAAGACTCGGACTTCACCGGCTGATATCAGCGCATGGGGCGACAACAAGGGTCAATCATAGGAAATAAATCGAGACGGAACGTCTCTTGACCCTTTTGTCGCCCCATGCGCTGATACCTGGCGCTGAAGTCCGAGTCTTTATTCTGTAATTGTTTTTATCGCATGACCATACATTACCATGTATTACAATACATTTGAGGCGCTTCTGCCTGGAATACCAGTGTAGAAGGAACTGGACATAAATAATCTTTTGACGAGGTACTTTTTCTTAATGCGAAATATATATCACCTTTCCATCTCTTTTTTAATATTTATACTTTTATTCATTGTACATAAGAATCCCGGTGTATATTTCAGAGGTACATGTATATCTTGCACGCGTATGTTTTAAAACTAACGAAAATGTAGTGATTTTTACTTAACACTACTTCCATCTATTAATTATTACGCTAGAATATTATGTTAATACGTGTAGTGATTAACTGAATGGCTGACTGGTCAGAATCTCCTGTAAAACGAAGGCATTGTTTAAAGCAGAAAAAAAGAATAATTTGACCATTGTTTCAGATTTGTCCTCGAGGTCAGGATGCAGAAAATGGCGATTACTTTCCACTGGAGTCAACATCTTTATAATAGCTGCATTTTATAAAAAAAAATCAAAAAAATCCCGATGATGTGTAATTTTTTTTTAAGTTCTGTCAACTGGGTAATGTTTTGTTTTGCTCTTTTCCAGGTATACTCACTTTACTATTTGAAATGAAATAATAAACTTGGCATGCGCGAGAAAGTGTACTGATACCTCATTTAGAGCACCCCAAAGCGTACTGAGCACCCCAAAATTTTCCAATACTGAGGGTCCTTATCCGAAAACAGACGGAAAGTGCCGAAATGTTGCGATTTGATCATCAGGGTCACAAAGTGTGCACCTTCTGTTATTGAATATTATCCGTCCGACCTGACGGTTTCATTAGGAAATTTATGATTAGTAGACCGAATTGTATACAAATTTAATGCGTCACTATGCGGCAAAAGTTTTAAATATGATTCTAATTCTAATGTGGATTTAAATGAATTATAAAGTTTGCCTTTATTTGAAGATGGACAAATTCCCGTACCATTGCTGTTTGTATTGATATATTAGCGTGAGTGTTACTAGCGGACGTGTATTTAATGGTACATTTGTATTATATTGACTCCCACAGGTATGAATAGCCAGCTGAATCAAGTATTCTTTTAATGCACGAAGTCCATTTAAAGTTTGTCAGTATAAATACACGTTATTATACCGGTAAACCACACTCTTTTGATGATGTTTTCATTATTGCTTACAGAAATAATTGAATCGGGAATACATGTTTGTAGTAAATAACTACCCAAATTTGAGTTTGAGATGCATTCAATCCGCCAAAATTAGCAACAAAAAAATATCGTAAATATTTCTGCATTTACAGTACTGAAAAAGATCTGTCCTTTAAGTTTAATTTATACAATTTCGCACCAAAAAAGTCTTGATATTCTATAATAATGTGTTATAAATTTAAGTGTTTGTTGAACTGATATATTTGCTACCATATGACTAGTCTATTTACATAATTATTTACCTTTTGTTTGTGTGTTATTGTTGTAACAGCATTTAACAAATTCTTAAAATAAGGAATCAGCTGACTATCGTTGATAAGAATGGGTTCCCCATCAACTCTATGACTCTTATAATCTTTAATATTCTAGCACTTCCTTCTTGCGAAATCGAAAGTGACATTAATATTATGTTTCCATAATAAACTCCGTTTTCATGTCATTCGAAAAATCAACTGAAAATTAAAAGACATGACAATTAGCGGATCATTCAGATGTTTTACCTTACTTTTTACTTAGTTTTATTTCGTTTAAATTTTGCGCCCACCTAGATAAGATGGGAAGATCCCGAATTTCCGAATGTTACGGATAACAACTTTTATACGACAACACGATGAATATAGGGCGTCGATATGAAGTTTCTACTATTGTACGGAAGAAGTGTATCGTTTCTGCGTGTCAGTTGAAGGCGAATACTCGATAAGAGATCATATTATCGTGTCTTCGAGTCTTCGCCTTCGACTTTTAAGGGGCGAATACACTAAATGGCAGAAATGAGCCGTCATATGTATACATATCAGTTCGTCCAAAATAATTTCACAACAGTGAACTTATCAAATAGAATTAAGCATTGCATAATAACATATTCGTATAACACGTTAAAAACATAGAAATAATTAAACTATATTATATGTAGTAAAATAAAATATTTACCTAGATTTTCAAGTATTGTCTTTTTCAAATGACAGTCCTTACAATGCAAAGGACCTTAACCTACACATATCATGGATATCAGCTGATTAATATAAATGAATGATTATAAAGAAAAGACACAACATCACGTAACCTCTTGTGGGATATATATATAATTACAATATTTCAACACTGTGATAACAAATGTACTTAAGAATGTTTGTACTTTGGTTAGCGATATGAAACCAATTTTGTTTACGTGATGTCGAACATACACTGTTTTATCGTTTGGAGCAGATGTAGTTCTCCAGGAGCTATATTGGCCATTTATTTTTTCAACAAAGATTCTTCTATCATTATGCTTGTTTGCGGAAAGGTCACATACAGACAAAAACTAAACAACGAAACTAGGCCTACTAGCTTTGTGTTATCTTTTATGCTTACAGAAACATTTTAACTGGTTTCAAATTGGGGTCGCATACCTTGTTATCTTTGCCCTTGATTTCCTTTTTCAGGCCAATTCAAGGACAGGAAGCTTACACTGCAAACCTTATTTTTACGATTGGTATTTATATTTCTTTTTATCAAAAGTCAAAATACAAATTTTCATTGAATTTTATTTTTTTCAAAAATTTGTTCTTTTTATTCATTGTAAGTATGTAGGCTGATAATTAAAAGAAAAAATAGTCCATTTTAATCAAATTGTCACAGCTTTAAGTAATCAAGAAAAAAAAATAAATACTACAACTAAATTTTGCACAATCACTTAGAAGAAAGTCAGCGACATGAAAATCAGAAAAAGGCGGGTTAAAATATATCATTCTACGAAGTTAGACTATATATTATAATATAGATGGGTTTTGTTTGGTTATTGAAATGTTTAAAATTGTTCTATCTGCACTTTTTGTTTGTTAATTTGATTCTTTTAGATAAAACGCTTTTTATGACAAAATTGACGATAATGGTGAAGATTTATACAAATATGACCTTGACCTTTGAATGACATATATGGTCAAACATAAAATTTGATTTACAATTTACAAGAAAAGTTTCTTATAGCACTGTTTTCTTAAATATTCTCGCTCTGATGTGACTTTAGAAAATTTCGAGCGCCCCCCCCCCCCCGCTTAATAATAAAAGTAAGCTCAAATTATTACCCATGGAATAGGTAGTCTTAAATGTTTTGCGAATTTCATTGACAGATTTATATTTTTGACTTTCAACAAATGGTGCAGAGTCGGACGTGAAGAATTGAGGCAATAATTCGGACTACCTCTCTCATATACACTCGTACTAGTACATTGTTAAAGAAAAGATATATATAAAAATAAATGGAGGTTTAAATTGGAGATGTTATAACTGTGTTCTTACAGTCTAAACTAATTTAAAAAGCAATGTTCGGATCTAGCATATTTATGTTTAGGAAGATGTTACATTTTGAACGGATGCATACTTTTTGGCTACGTCAATCTTAATGACCGAAGTATCGTTCCCATATTGACCTTGCTTTGTAAATGTTCTTATAGGATTGTTTTTTTAAATTTATTTGGTAATGAACAATTATTGAATGAGAAATTTTATCTGTTTTTTCCATGTTTTATTAGAGCAATGCATTATAATTATAATTATATTTCGTCTAATAAATTATATGTACAACAAAACAAATAACATTAAAATATCAAATAACAATAAACAACATAATTAGTTATTGGTCTTAAAAGTCTAAGTTGTAACAAGCAAGTCTGCTTTTAGATCGTCTGCTCGTCTTCTGTTTCTCTCCAGCCGTCCAAGACTTAGACTTTACCCGGAAATGACGTAAATCGGTTGCATGGTCCTCGTGTAACATGGGCTTGTAGCTGATTGGATCACACAGCTCTTTAAATTTGTAGAAGAACACCTTGTAGCCGCCATCAAGTAGATATATTTCAGGAAAATTTAGATGTGGGTACCTGTCTTTGTTCAGCTCACGATCATGGCTTCTTAAGAAACGATACCTGTTAAGGAAAAAAATAGAGATCTAATGTGAAAAATATATAAATAAAGCCTTTGATAAATCAAAAAAATAATTATAGATCTAATATCTAAGATGTTAATATTTATAACATTAAAAAACTGTTTTAAGACGAATTCAACCGTTGTATCATGTATGTATATCGTGAAAACTTACATTTTTGGACCTCTTTCAGACGAAAACTCACAATGAAAGAGCAGTACACGTGGCTTCTCTGGTGACGATGTTTCTTGAAGCAATGTATTAACAGCGTCCTTGGTGTAGAGGTTTACAGCTCCGCGGATATGACCTCCCTGAAATTCGTATGGATACCGGCAGTCGACAATAGTAACGTTTTCTAGCTGTTTTGTGTACTTCCCCTGCACAACGCCAGCCATTGTTTCTGGTGAGATGGACTTAAGGTCGCTATGTTTTCCGGGAATTGTGGGTAATGTGTAACAACGACTTCCGTCCGCTACATGTTCACGTGATTCTAAACGTTCAACAGCCTCGATGATGTGATCCTGGAATAATAAATAGATATTATAACATTTAAGAGTGGAACGAAAAAACACCTGATTCAGTTAGTTCTACTTTAATGGTTTTCTTGGTTCAATAACAAAGATTCTTGTATACAAACTACGTACACACACAGATATACATTAGCAGGGAAGAAAACGGCGAAACAAGTTTGCTTTTTAATATTAATCATGCGAGGTTATTTGCAGCAGTGGAAGATTTGTTTTATTGTTCAAAATTTGGAAAATTAAGATTTCTGCATCTGCAAATATCAACATATCGGCTATTTCCGTTAGCTCTAATTAGGAATAATCGGCAAGGTGTTCCGAAGTTAAAAGAGCATCACAATTACGGTACATGGTTAACTCGGTCATATAGTTCTTGAGACATTGTAGCTATAGTATTTTCTGCCGCCAGATATTATTCTCAACGCTTCTTTAATCATGTGAGCACGCGCATTAGATGCATGTTTTTTGTTGTTTTTTTAAATATGCGTGACTCAGGGCACCATGTACAGTTGATGACATGCCGGTCCTGTAAGAGCGATTATCAAAATAGAACTAGCACGTGTAAATAACGACAAAAAATGGATACTATACGAAAAAAAAAAAAAAAGATAGCAAAGGCGAAAATACCGAATAAGACGTGTACATGATGCACCTGATTTCGTGCATAAACATCAACAGATCCCTTCGGACACTTTTGTCTATCGTGATAATTCTATAAAAAGCAAAAAATAAATTTCTTACAATTGAAATAGCTTGATATCAATACAAAATCATGTAATGTTAATATAATAAAAAATAACTTGCTGAAATCGTATGGTCGCCTTTTGATTTCTTCGTTGCAGGAGTTTCAAGCTCTGTATTGTCGTCTGCTAGTCGTTTCCCAGTAAACAAGCTTCGTCTAGCGTCTGTTGAATGGCGTTCCAGGGTGAAACGTGATGGAATTTTTATCTGCAATAAAATAAAATAGAAATAAAAATTATGCATTTTTTACTGCGGTAATTGTGTAACAAAATAAGATGACTTATCTGAATATTTGAATGTACAATGTATCTCTTATTGAGAGAATATAGTCAAAAATGAAACTTACCGAAAACTCGGCATCTGAACCAGCTTCCTGTTTGTCCTTTCCAAATGGCGTTATTACAGCCTCGATCTCATCCCAAATGTCACCGGAAGTTGTTTGCATGGGCGATTCCCCAGCGTTCTCGAACAAACGAAGTCTGAAAATCAAAAATACAAATACTGTATGATAACTGATTTTAATTATATGATTACTACAAATGCAACATTTAATGTTTACCATGTTGTTGCTTTTTTATGAAAAAAAAAAAAAAACAGTCCTTATACATAGAAAGAAGCAGCACTCATATTAAGGTAAATCAAATATTTCTAAAGGTGAGTTCCATATGATATTTTCTGTACATGCAAATTCTTAAAAATAAATTAATAAAAAGCAAACAAACAAAAACAATGGTATTCTGCAGAGTTACCGTCTAATTTAAATATGAAATTTCACTTACCGTAAAGACATTTTTTTGGTATATCTGATTTATTCGAATAAATATAATGAAATAAGATTTTATTAATGTATGTTATTCCTTTAACTGATGAAGTAGTTATGTTGCATTTTTTTAAAGAAAATATATATAAAGCTAAATACTCCCTACTCGTAATTATTAACTAATAATTTAGCTTCCGATATAGCTTTGAGCAGATTTTGTCTAAGCAATAAAAAGTTAACAAATTGTGTGTGAAAACATTTCCGCTTTCCTGTTTTCGCAACTTCTTAATTGCAATTATTTAAAGTGAAATTTTAACACTAATTCTTTTTCTAGCTTGTTTGACAGTCATTTCCATGGTCTGTCGAATTTAATTATCTGTAAATTAATAAAACGAGAACGATTCTGAATTATTTTTACCATACTAGCGTACCTTCTATAAAATTAACCTTTTTACTTTTAGAAGTTTTGATCAATGTAATAATGAAAGAATAAAGAATCTGTTAATGGTAAGTTTTTGTATATAATTGTGAATTTATTGTTACAGTATTAGTTATTGTTAATAAATGGCAAAAAAAATTAGTATATACAACATGAACTATTGCGCATTATAATTACTATGAACTATTTGTTTTCTATAAGTATCAATATGTATAGTATGAACTGTTTTTTTCTATGAGTATCAATATGTATAGTATGAACTATTTATTTTCTTTACGTATTAATATGTATAATATATACTATTTATCATGAACTCACATTATGTTTATGTTGTTACTTTATTTTCATGCTGTATCATACATTTTTGCCAATGGCATTGGTTTAATATATAGATGCTCATTGCCTTACATAATTTCAAGGTTAATGCTAGTACACCATTATCTGCAGCTTAATTAAACCGCAATGCAAATACAATTTTCAGTTATATTGTATGCTCAAAATCAAACCCATTCTATATTTTAAGATTAGTATAGATGAATTTTTTTAAAGATTAGTTAAGGAAAATTCATTCATCGTTTGATGACATAAATAAATTCGGTGAACTTCGTGACTTTCCGTAACTGACAGATGTACATGTACGCGTATAGTCATACACACGGCTGTCTTTATAACACACGGAAATTATCTATATACCGTATGCCGAAATTTGACGATTTTTTTATTCTTAAAGGAACTCCACATGTCAAAAAGCATAAAATATCAAAATTCTTTCATGTATCACCTTGATCATTTAAACAAAAAAAAATATGCAAAAGATATTAAGAAATATACTCAGGCGTATTTTTAGCTATTCATAGCCAGTTTGAGCGAAAAGCGTTGCAACGCTTTTCAATTATTGGGTTGATTTTTCACATTTTAAATAATTATTCTTGAGAGCGAACGTTCTGAACTTTTCCACACATGTTATTGGTCTAGATTTATACCTACTTTGATAGAACATTTATCTTGAAAAATATAATTCCAGTCCTGTCATGTAAAAAATATCAGCCCAGTCCCTTTAACAAAAGTCTTAACTATTGCCCAACAATGAAATAGAATCATTTTACAATAATTTCATTTTTACTGGAAATACGAATGAGAAGACCTTAAACTAATAAAAAAAACATGCAGGAAGGGTCATCACGTGAAAATTTTAGCAAATACCCTTGGCGGTGATCGAAATTTACCTAAACAAAAACAAAGACTGTCACGTGATCATCACCCTGAAAGTAAGAATTTTAAGTAAAATCAGATACATGTGAATGTTAAAGTCACATAACTTGTCTTTCTTTTCGTAATTACGAATATCTAATGGGTAGATCTACAGCACAATAAATATATGCAAACAAAATATAGAATATAAAAATGGTACGCAAAACTTACGTTAACGTGACGTTTCCGGGACAAAACAACTATACACGGAAATGACGTCAGTCTGTTTATACGTTGTCATAACATTAAGACGTCGTGGTGAAATAGGATGAGGAAAAAACACAATAAATTTGGTGAGCATTTTTTACTTTTAAAACTTCAATAGGTTTTCTTGTATAGTTTGAGCATAAATAATTTAGGATTATTTATTTACTAAACAACTATTTCATGCACCACAAAGTTAACAATCTCCAACATTTCAATGGGCGAACCCGCAAACTTCTTGATGATGTGAGGTTTACTTTTATATGTTTCTACATGATCATTTTGGTGTTTTACTTATTTAACCTTTTGTAACCATAACAACTGTTAGAATTTCACTTGGCGGGGATTCATTTTATTTACACTGTCTTGTTTATAGGAACATAGTGGGGCTAAGAGCGAGGTTTGGTGCACCATTAACCGGTTTAAACTCCCCAGTAGTCATTATTATGCTGCTGACCGTTCCAAGGCGGCGCCCCTCTGTGTTCCTCAGATGTATGTCTATGTTGTTTTATACTGTTTTGGTGACACTTTTGCTTGTGTCTCTTGTTGTTTCTCGTCTACGGTAAGTATCTTCCCCTTTGTCCCTAGTTTTTATTTATTTTATTTATCCCCCCCCTTCCCCGTGTCTCATGTCCCCTTCCCCTGTGCCTTTTGACTTTATGGGCCTAATATTAAATCATTTATTTGTTTTCTTTTAGTTCCTTATCAGTTACTTATTATTTATTCTTATGTAGTGGTTTGCATGCCCGTGCTCTGCCTTATGCCCTGTCCTATTTTTCTTTGGGGTCCTCCTGGGCTCCTTGCCGCTGGCGCTTGTTGCTGGGTCGGGTGGGGGCTGCGTTCATTGAACGCCGCCTTTCCTTGTCGATCTTGTTTATCATATTTTAACCCTCGAAACTTCGGAAACTGTTTTCATATTAGATCAAATCAGCTGTCGAAGAAAAGTACTTGGTTAACGACAAACGGTTTTGCTTCGTCGGCATGATTGCATTTTTTTAATCTGTGTTTCTCAGATGCACGTCTTTGTTGTTTTATAATTTGATGGTAACACTTGTGTCCATTCTTGTAATTTTCCTCATTACCTCTAGTTTTTATTTATTTGATTAAACCCCCCCCCCCCGGTCTCCTGTCCCCTTCCCCTTTGTGGGCCTATTATTCTTTTCTTTGAATTCCTAACCAGTTACAAATTATCTATCATTTAATAATTAACCTGTCCGTGCTCTGTCTTTGCCCTGCCCTGTTTTTGTTTGGAGTCCGCCTGGGCTCCTTGCCACTGATTCTTGTTGCTGGGTCATATGGGGGTTGCGTTCATTGAACGCCGCCTTTCCTTGTTGATCTTGTTTATCATATTCTAGTCTACGGTTAGTATCTTCCCTTTCCCGGTTTTGTTATGCTTTGGATTTGCACTCCTCCCTCTTCCCCGTCCCTCGGGTCCGCTTCCCCTGCGCCCCCTTGCTCTTACGGGCCAGTTTAATTTACTTGTCGGTTTCTATTATTTCCTAACAATGAAAATCAAACAACACAACCCCAACAGAATTCAGAATATCACTTAGTAGTAACAGCGTAGGAACAGAAAATGCTTAAATGGATTTTATTCTCCATTTATTGTGCAATATATATTGTCTGTATTATTCAATTCAGTTAGAAACAGAACTATTTTATGCATAAGCTTATTGTATTAGAACCCCGGAATCGAAATAAATTTAATATAATAAAGTATACGGAAGCAATTCAAATATTGCTATCTGTCTACCATAGCGTGTCTGTATAAATTTAAATTGCGGTATATTTAGAGTATTATGAAGTTATATACATTGCAGCTGGTGGCGGCGCTCCGGGACTACCGGCTGGCCCTGCGCAAACAGGTCGGCGGTCGGTATGCGGAGACGACTCACTAGAAGAATCGCAATTGGAGGCAGAGTTACATCGTCTCAAGCGGCAACTCCGCATGATGGAAAAGGATAGGCGTTCGTACAGTGAAGAAGTTGGAAATGCAATTAGAAAGCAAGAGTAAGAACCATCTGATATTTACATAATTTGTTTATTATTATATATATATTTATTTGTCATCCAATGAAAACGCTGTAGTTCTTAAAAATTATGCGCGTTAATTTTCATAGAAGAACAAAAGTCGATTGTATATCGAATTCATAATCGACTTCTATTTTTCATAGTATTTCATAGAACCGCATAGTGACGTAATAAAGTGAGTGATTATGAGGCCAAATAATGCTTTACACTATAACTATGTTAGTATTCATCCGTAGCTGTTTTACAGAAATTAAAATTATTCTCCTGTAGCTATCGCTCCTGTCAAAGTCTCTATTTTTTGTAGAACAGCACGGATGAACACTAACATACACATAGAGAAAGGGCACGTGAATTTTAGTTCAAGCTAATGATAGCTTCTTACGACAACAAGACGGTCTTTTAATAATATTATAACACTAACAGACCATTTCCTTGTTTCAATACTTTCTTATCTGTATTCTGTATGACATATTTTTGTATATAATCATCACATGATATCATAAGTATTGTATATTATGCTATGTGGTAGTCAATAGAGACGTCACGTCTTCTTTCAGGGAGGAGATTAACGCGCTCAACGAAGAGAGCCGGGACATGAATACAATTTTACGACTAACAACATGCGACCGGAACAGGGATGAGGATGATGGGAACATTCACACACTTATCGAGCTGACTGAAAAACTTGACGAGTATAAGAGACTTTGTAAACAGGAAGAAAGCAGAATTGAAGAACTGAGTGAGGACGTAAGTGTTAGTGTGTCTATTTTCACGTGTAAATATGAAAACTAAAAAAAAACGAGATAAAATTACATCTTTTCAAAAGCCCCGCGTATACCTGTACAATTGTTTCACACAAATTTAAACATGATATTTTATAAACGTCCTTATAAGTCAATGGTCAATAATTCGCGTAGACGTAAATAAAGTATCTTAATGTCTTTTTAATAAATGGAAAAAAACATGTTAGAACGCCTTTAACAAGAGCTGTCCGTAAGACAGCGCGCTCGACTTTTTTATTGCTTGCCAATAAAAAAAGTTTTTGCAGTAAAAAACAATACAAGAACTCTGTTTTTTAAAGTGAACTGGCCCTGAGCAAAGTCTTATGAATTTTTTCTTGAATGCGGATAAAACTAAACACTAGAGAAAGGGTATGAATTTTAAATTCAAAAGATGGCTTCTTACGAGAACAAGAGTCTTTTTAATGTTGTTAACACAAACATGACAGTTAGGCCATTATTCAAAAACTTTTACTGAATTCCTTCCTGGACATGTTTTGGTATATGTAAACAAGATATCCCAATTTTAAATTGTATATTAATCAGTGTAGTCAAAAAGTCACTTTCTCAAAAACTTAACCGATTCAACGAAGAGAGCCGAATTTTTAAACAATTTGACGAGTTAACCCTCCTTTCGACTGGACAGGGTGAGGATGATGGGAAACATTCAAAGTTTCAAAGCATACTCAAAACTTAAGAGAATAAGATACTTTTGTAAACAAAGAAAGCATAAATTGAAAAACTTGAACAGAAGGGTTTTGTTCTTTGTCTGTTGATGAAGTTGATGAAAACAAGAGTATTCAAAGCAATACTCAATCTTTTGAAAAAAGGGGTAAAAAAAACTTACAAGCTTCAACACCAAATTTAAAAAGGCATAATTTGTCATAAAACCCGACGTTATTTTCTGTCTAATGGAGTAATTCGGCGTAGGTAATTAAAGCCATCTTAATGTCTTTGAAATAAATGGGGTGGACGAAAAAAACAAGGTGTACGCCGAACGCCGAAAGTGGATACTCCCTTTTATAAATTCGGCTTAATCTCAAATGTTCGGGTTTTATTTATATACAGTTTAAAAATATTTTTAAACGTATTTAAAATAAAATTGGAAACATAAAATTTATTCTCTAATTAAACTATTTTTTCAAGTATTAAGTTAAATAAAAGAAGTGTCGTTAGGAATTTTTGAAATAATTAGAAATGTAATACGTTGTCCAAACGCTTAATTAAGATTAAGATAAAGATAAGATTGTTTTTACTATAAATTAAGCTACTTAATTGTAAGTTTATTGTGTGTTTCTAGTGACAAGCACCTGTGATCTTCATTAGCATTAAAACTTATTGTTAAAATTAGAGTATTGTCACTTTTCACCAGGATTTTTCAAATTAAATTCAAATTTCATGTACAGATACTTCGTAAAGTTCTATTTGAATGACATTGTTTTAACTATGTTTTCTACATAGATCGCACGGACGCAGGAGATGATCGACGAAGAAAGAAATCTAATTAGTAGCGGTACCCAAACAACTTTAGAAATGAAAATAGCACAACGACTGAGTGTCACTGAAAACAGGCTGGATCAGGTATATGGCATCCTTTCTCGTTAAGAATGAGATCGAGTTATATTGTAGACATCCCGTCTTTGATTTAGTATTATGTTCAGCTGTCTCGTCTTTAAATGATGTTACTTTGTGTGTTATTGATCCAGGGGAAGCAAATAAAAAACGCATCATGTTCTAATCGACTTTCTTCCCTTAAATATAATCAAGATGTTGGTTTAACCCAGTTTGAAAGATTTTGGAGATATATATATAATTATTTCGGTGAAAGTTCTTAATATTTTATTTCTTACTTAACAACGTTCTTTCACTATGAATGGTGCTTTGTACATCTTAGAAGGGGCAATATTTCGATATTTTAATCTGTGATATAGTTTGCATATATTAACCTTCAAGTATTTTGTCTTTTTTCTACAGGCCCTGATCAAGTTCAATCAACAGCTTGCAAAGAACGCCAAGCTTCGCGAGGAACTTGATCATTTGCGTGTGGATAAGGCAACATTTGATGCTATACATAAGAAACTGACTGACAAGCTGGAGCAGGCGAAGTTGTCATTAAATGACAGCATCACACAAGCTGCTCAATCATATGAAGAAAGGTGAGTTATTAGATTTGCAAGGTAAAAAACAAAAGAACAATTTCTCTCTCCCCCACATCCCATGCCCCCTTTAAAATCAACCTTTATTATATTTTGCTTGCCTTAGTGTGATTCCAAATTTGGAGTACATTTTATCTTTCTGATATTTTTAATATCTACTCTTATATTCAGGTTATTTAATTAAGGTTAATTCTTAATTAGAGAATTTTAAAGAGATTCTACAGACTCTATCTATAAGGTGTCTGTACATAACACAAGCAACTTGCATGTATTTAGTTTTGATTTTGTCATCAAACGTTCTAGACTAGTGGTTTGACCGCCTACGATGTTTATATAGTTCCTCGAATGGTTGGCAGATTATTTTATACCTAGTAACGATTATATATATATCGTGGGAAAAGTTCATAAAAGAAATAATGATTTATATGACTGTTGGCAGGGACGAAGCCCAGAATAAAATGCTTGCACTTAAAGAGCGCAGTCACAAAGATATGGCCCAACAGACTGTCGAAATGAAAGAATTACAGAGAATTATCATCCACGATGATAAACTGAAAGAGTTCATGGGGATCAAGGTCCATGACCGGGCCGATCTTCGTGAAGAAGAGCAAGCGAAGAAGGCTAAAGGGAAAGGTGAGACAAAACCAACGTAATGCGTTTGCGACCAGCATGGATCCAGACCAGCCTGCGCATCCGCGCAGTCTGATCAGGATCCATGCTGTCCGCTATCAGTTTCTCTACTTGTAATAGGGTTTGTAAGCGAACAACATGGATCCTGATCAGACTGCGCGGAAGCGCAGGCTGGTCTGGATTTATGCTGGTCGCAAACGCATTATGTTGGTTTTGTCATGACGCGGCTCATTTATTGTAGCACTCATTTGAATATTAACCCTTTCGCTGCCAGAGGGTTATTGTTTTATTAATCACCTATTTGCCAGAGTGTTTTCTAAGAAATTACTATATTATTAATATAATTATTATTATTATTTGCTGCTATTATTATTATAATAATTATATATGTTTCCAAATATGCTAGTATAAAAATAATTATTGTCGATGGTATAATTTTCTTTATATTTATTATTATTTTTATTATGATTATTATAGAACCAGCAAAAGCCGTCCATATGGCAAATACACCGAAAATAAAAGGGACGACATAAGCCGTCCCTATGGCAGTGAAAGGGTTAAATTCCACCTCGGTTCTGTCCGTATAGATTACGACAGTTAATATGGAGTAAATGACTAATGTTTTGAAAAGTCACACTATCTGAATGTTTATGTTCTGGTCATATCCGCAATAGCACAGCCGGTTGAGTGATTACCTAATTAGAGGTCTATTCTTCGATGCAAACCTTTGCCATTGATTTTAGACCCATTCTTTATTTTTGAATTATGTTTTAATGAATAGGGCTTGCCAAATGGTCTAACCGGATACAAAACAACTTAGAAACACTGATTTGTCTGTTTTGAATTGAATTTTATGACATTTATTGATTTTAATTTTAAATCTTAAACCATGCTATTTAAAAAGTGTATGGTCATTGCCAAAATAAGTGCAAAACATATTAAAAAAACAAAACAACAACTTAAAACCCCAATTATACCTTCAGTAATGCTGAAAATATAAATAGGGAAAAAACAGACATACGCGGTCTCGAGCTTACAACACATGGTTCATTTAGAAGTTTACACTATTGCGATTTATAACGGTCAGTACAGCTATTTCATAGAAACATATTAAATTTCATCAAATCTTACTGTGTACATCTCACGATCATTTATCGAAGCTTAATATATTGTGTGCATTGACCATGTAATCCGTATGCAATTGACAGGTTACTAAAATCAAACAATAAACAGTGAGTATTGCCTAATTGCATAACTGTTTGCATCGCCGGTTACCCACAATATATACCCCGCACATCTAGATTATGTAGTATGCATGGAATATGTACCTTTAATGTAGTATGTACGGAATATGTACCTTTAATGTAGTATGTACGGAATATGTACCTTTAATGTAGTATGTACGGAATATGTACCTTTAATGTAGTATGTACGGAATATGTACCTTTAATGTAGTATGTACGGAATATGTACCTTTAATGTAGTATGTACGGAATATGTACCTTTAATGTAGTATGCATGGAATATGTACCTTTAATGTAGTATGTACGGAATATGTACCTTTAATGTAGTATGTACGGAATATGTACCTTTAATGTAGTATGTACGGAATATGTACCTTTAATGTAGTATGTACGAAATATATACCGTAGGTAACCGACGATAAACCGTGTGATACGTCAGATATAACGTCATCAGAACTACTTACGTTATGTTAATTACTTCCACGCTGAACATTACATTTCAGTGTGTTTAAGATATAGGGGATATTGAATGAGTGTAGATTCTATACTAAATTTATTGAACTCGTCGAAAAAAATAGTATTAAGCTGGTCAGAGCTCGAGGCTCGCATAACATGATTTAATTCAACGAGTTTAATAAATTTATTAGGCGAGCATAATATTAATTTTATGTAAATCTACATATTTATGAAATCTTAAAAAAATAAAACGTACACCAAAATAGTGCGACAGAGCCATATCACCCACACTGTGAGTGATATACTGTGGATGATATGAATTTTATCACACGGATGAATCCCATTATCTCAAGTGGAATCATAAAATAAATGTAATGATTTGCCGTATTATTATTTCTTTGACATTTAATCTTGTTGTCGTCACCTAGGAGCAATACTAATAGTTATCGTGGCATCTTTAACAATAATGTACCATAAAATAAACAAAACAAAAACAACAACAATTTTCGTCTGAGGCATTTATAAATTATTAATTTGATTGGAACAATAACTAATGTTATTTAAAAAAAATCATTTAATGTATCTGATTTTTTAACTTTAATTTTTATAAAAAGTAACTTCCACATCGGTTTTCCAAAAACCAAAGTCTATTCATAGCTCTATAACTGGGTACAAAAGAATTTTAAAGACCCTGGGTGCGCATACATACAAGCAATCTTTTGGAGGACTCGCCCACTTGAGTATAAATAAACTCAATTAAGGCCGAAAACTGAAACATTGCTGACCAACATATGTGTCTGCATCATATACTCGTAGATTCAGACAATTAATCAAATTGAATAATGAAATATTACAGATGCGGGTGAAAAGGATGCAGACTTAGAAAAGCAGTCTATTATTAAGTTAGAAGGAGCGTTCAAGCGTGTAGCCAATGCAACGGGTGAATATGACATCGACAAAATTGTCAGTGACTTCATCAAGAAAGAGGACCAGAATTTCGCCTTGTATAACTTTGTAAGACTGATCTTTACATTATTTAGAAGACACTATACCCTATAATATATAAACCGTCGCATGCAAATCTGTTAGTTCGAATACATTTTGAATTCTATATCAGTAAAATATCGTCTCCAGAGATAGACTGATTAAAGATATACTATGCTCAAATTTGATAACAGAAAATATTGATAATTGCTACACAGTCTGTTTGTAAATATGAAATAAACTTGTTTTGACTTCACACAAAGTTGATCATATGTCATGTTTAAAACTCTACACACTACAGGTCGTCACAATATGAGTATATAGTGTCGTTAAAAAAATGGGCAGTTTTTTAAGAAAAGACAAACTTTATTTGTCCTGTAATAGAGAACGTGGCCTCCATTACATAGTTTATTCATTTTTTTTATTCAAATTAGACATATTCAGTAAGAATTTAATAGGTTTTAATGAATTTCTTGATTAAAGTATTTTACTCAAAGATGTGCATAGTATATCTTTAACCCTATAATTAGCAAAATCTCAAAAACAATGTACGCCGTCTGAAGTTATGGCTATTTTCGTGGGATTACTTTTGTACCAAACTTACCAATATATCAAATTAAACTCCTTATCCATGTTATAAACAAGAACAATGTGAGTTAACATTTGATGTTTTAAGAAATAAATGGGTGTAGCATTACAGACCTTTTTACATTAAAATATTTCCATACAAATGGAAGTAGCATTTTGCACATGTACATTCTGCGTAGGGCACTATATGCAATAACGAAATAGTACATTTTACCAGTATTTATATATAGCAACTTTATTAACAATTTGATGTAATCTAAAAAAATAACCGTTTGTTTAGAATAGTTTATTTTGATAAATACCAATGCAATAGCGAATTTAAGTGATTAATTTGGACATTCCTGCATTTACGCATTCAGGGTCTTTCAAAGATCCAGTATGATGCATTCGACCCTTCGTGTACATGCATTAGAATTCAACCATCTCTTACATTAAAGTGTGCTGACAAGTGTCACTTGGATATATTTTCCTTTAAAAATGTACAAAGGTTTGCTAGTGTCATTATTAAAGCACAAACTTCTAAATTAGAGGTGTTGAATGTGAAATCTATGGACAATATTCTCTTTCTTTTCCCATACGTGAAGGTTTAAATAAACGCTTAGTTTATTTTTAGCACGGCGATTGCAAAGATTTTTTTAGCACCAACATCAAAATACAAGTGCTTTTTAGTAAGATAAAATAAAAAACTTCAAGTCGGTATCGTTTGTTCTACATTTTACGACACGCGGATGCAATTCATAAAAGTTTTTACACATTTAAAAGGCTTTTGAAAGTCGAAATGCGTAAATATATATTTTGATCTATAGTAAGCAAATATCACGGTTCAAGGGTTCTTTAACGCCGTACGTATTTCTTGACGCTTCATCGCACTATACCGGTGTATTGCACTTCTAAACCTTTTCTAAACAAACATCTTTAAACATCTGACACCTATATATAATACTTTCTTTTTACAAAACACAGGTCAATGAGTTAAACGACACAGTTGAAAACATTCAGAAAGAGATCAAATCTCTACAAAGTGAGATCAAAGTGTTTGAGGACGAGAACTTGAAAGGTGAAGAAAACAGACGTGAAATGATCCGAGAAATGGAGGTGAGTCTCATTCTCTTCTATAAGTTGCACAAAAAAAGACAGATGATATCATATGAAGATTAATAATATCTGTCATATGTTGCGGTCCGGACCGGAATATCCGTCCCGAGGCTGACCCGCCCATTGGGCGGTAACGAGGCTTGCCGAGTTACCGCCCATGTGCGGGTTTCCGAGGGACGGATATTCCGAACCGCACACATATGTCAGATATTTTTTCTTGCATATTGTGCCATATTATTTCATATCTCAATATGATATATATTCATGGAAATTAAAGTCATTTATTTTATGATTTTCAGTGGATTACTGATTTATCCGTGAAAATTATATTTGATAATTTCACAGTGAAAATTATCAAAATATAATTTCACACTTTTCAATGACGAAACTACTTTTTTAAGATTTTCCCCATGTGGTACCTCAATTTTATTTTTACTGACAATTCTGACAATGTCCGGCTGTTTTAAGAAAAAGTAAAGCTGAAATTGATAAATAACTTAAATGTCAAAAGTAATAAAAAGAAGAAAACTTACTTCTATTCAATCAAATTCCAATCACCAAATTTCGTCCTAATTTTTTTTTTTCATTTTTACAGTCTGAAAAATACATTCCTTCCACATGCAAAACTGCTCTTGATGACATTTGGGCATATTAAAGTATCCTACGAGCAAAAGCTGCCGTATGCTTTATGAAAAATTGAAAAGCAATGTCACAGCCATCACTCGAAGAACAAGTTAAAACAACCCAGCGTTCTTTAGCCAGCTTCCAAGTTTTCCATTTTCATCTATAGCTGCTTTTTTGAATGTTTTCACATCTGTCAACACTTATTTTTTGTCTGTTGCAATCCTCAAATAAGTTTTCTTTCTTTTAAAAAGGTGTATGACTAACAAATCCAAATGATATTACTCTGAATCAAACACAATTATTTTCCTCCCGTGAAATACACAACTTTAAAAAATGGCTGCCGCTTACATTTTACAAAGCCAGGTCTAATATAAATTCGCAGTAAGTAACAGAAATATGGATGGATGGTTGGACTTTTTCTCCTACAAGAATTGTTTGTTTTTATTATTAAAACAAGCGATAATTCATATTTTTTTAATAAAATGAATAATATTACCGTCATTTAACGTCGATTGTCGGACTTATTTTTCAGCTCAAGACTTCTTGTTTTTAATGAGAAATACCGACTAAATGGGGCTCTCAATGGGGAAAACAGATTTTAATATTTACGTTAATATTATGGAAATTTCGTTTTAACTTGTTTTTAAGCATAAAATAAAAAGAAAATTTGTTTGTTTGTTGTGTAAGATGTTATTTTATTTCATCTCGTGAACTTTAAAAACAGTATTCTCACTCGTGGCTACGCCACTCGTGAGAATACTGTTTTTAAAGCCCACTCAATGAAATAAAATTTCATCTTACACACAAACAAACAAATATCCTCTATTTCATTCATAACGATTTTCTTACAATAGCGTATGAACTTACAACTTTAATAACAACGGCGATATGACGTCTACCTAAGCACATATTTCCCTTCTAAAATGACGTCATTTTAACGCGGTTCATACATAGAATGCGCTGAAATGACGTTGTTGTATGGCACGCGACTCATCTGGCACCCCCATGCCAGATGAATTTTCAGGCATGGGTGAAACTCATGGCAACGCCAGTCTGCTGTGCAAGAAAAAGTTTAACAAATGTTATTGTCGTAAAATTTTCCGAGATATAAATGCAATTTTTCTTTTTAATTTGAAAAATCGTAGATCTACGAATTTTGCGAATTCATTACAAAATTGTATGTTGAAAGATATACGAACAAATGGCACAATCGTGTATGAGGGACTTCCAGAAGTACGTTCTGCTCTCTTTGAGTCATGTTAATTCAAATTCGCCCATTATATATGAGAGAGTTTAGCAGCCTATAAATTTATAAGAATTGAATTTATTGTCTTGTTCCAGACCGAAACATTTCATGTTCTCAACTTTCTAAAAACCATTCTAAAATATTGAAAATTAAATAACCAATTTAGATTAAAGCTCTCCAATTCGAGAAAGAAATCGATGAAGCTGAAAAGAAGGACAAGGAAATTTGTAAAGTTCTGGATGAAGTCAGGGTCAATGTCAGCAAACTGTTTAAGGTAAGTCATCATGTGAGCACCGGAAGTGACGTAAAGTTCAAGTATATCATGGCAACATCAAAACACTTGCCAGGAACGTCAATGTCGTTGTTATAATTATAAGTATCAACAATGTTATGGCCAGCAACAACAAAGCACTATCTAAAGCAACGCCAATATACTTTCTATTAACGTCACGGTACTGTCTAGTAAGTCAAACGTCACTGTACTGTCTATTAACGCCAATGAACTCATCAATATACTATCTATAGTAACGTCAACGTACTTATTATATAGTAACGTCAATGTACTAACTAGAAACGTCCATGTTCTCATCAATATAATATCTAGGAACGTCAATGTTCTCTATAGTAACGTCAATGTAGTATCTTGTAACGTCAATGGTCTATATACTTCAATGTATTAATGTAAAAACATTAATGTGGCATCTATTTACATGCTAGTGTTACAACAATATACTTGTTCGTGAAATCAACGTACTTTTTAGTGCCACATCAATATATTTGCTAGTGACATATCAATGTACTTGTAAGTGACAACAATGTATTTGCTAGTGACATATTGATGTACTTGCTAGTGACACAACAGTGTAATTGCTGGTGACACATCTATGTACTTGCTAATGTCATCAACGTACTTGCTAGTGACATCATTGTACTTGCTAGTGACACATGGTCATCAATGTACTTGCTAGTGAGAAATCAATGTACTTGCTAGTGACATCAGTGTACATTATAGTGACACATCAATGTACTTGCTAGTGACAACAACGTACTTGCTAGTGACATCAATGTACTTGCTAGTGACATCAGTGTACCTGCTAGTGACCTTAATGTACCTGCTTGTGACATCAATGTACTTGCCAGTGACATCTATTTTCTTGCTAGTGACATTAATATTCTTGCTAATGACATCATTGTTATTGCTAGTGACAAATCAATTTATGTGCTTGTGACATCAATGTACTTGTTAGTAACATCAATGTACTTGCCAGTGACATCAATGTACTTGCCAGCGACATCAATGAACTTTCCAGTGACATCAATGTACTTGCAAGTGACATCAGTGTAATTGCTAGAGACATTAAATTCATTAATGTTCTTGCTAGTGACATCAGTGTACTTGCTAGTGACATCAGTGTACTTGCAAGTGACCTTAATGTACCTGCTTGTGACATAAATGTACTTGCCAGTGACATCTATTTTCTTGCTAGTGACATCAATATTCTTGCTAATGACATCATTGTTATTGCTAGTGACAAATCAATTTATTTGCTTGTAACATCAATGTACTTGTTAGTAACATCAATGTACTTGCAAGTGACATGAATGTACCTGTCAGTGACATCAATGTACCTGCTTTGCAAGTGACATCAATGTACTTGCCAGTGACATCAATGTACTTGCTAGTGAAATCAGCGTACTTGCCAGTGACATCAATGTCCTTGCTAGTGAAATCAACGTATTTGCTAGTTACATCAGTGCACTTGCTAGTGACATCAGTATACTTGCTAGTGACATCAATGTTTTTGCTTGTGACATCAGTACGTGTACTTGCTTGTGACATCAGTGTACTTGCCAGTGACATCAATGTTCTTGCTAGTGTCATCAGTGTACTTGCTAGTAACATCAGTGTACTTGCCAGTGACATCAATGTACTTGCCAGTGACATCAATGCACTTGCTAGTGACATTTATTTACTTGCCAGTGACATCACTGTTCCTGCCAGTGACATCAATGTACTTCCTTGTGACATCAATGTACTTGCTAGTGACATCAGTGTACCTGCCAGTGACATTAATGTACCTCTCAGTGACATCAATGTTCTTGCAGTGACATCAATGTACTTGCCAGTGACATCAATGTATTTGCAAGTGACATCAGTGTACCTGCTAGTGACATCATTGTACCTGCTAGTGACATCAATGTACTTGCCAGTGACATCAATGTACTTGCCAGTGACATCAATGTACTTTTTAGTGACATCAGTTGTACTTGCCAGTGACATTAATATACCTGCCAGTGACATCAACGTACCTGGTTGTGACATCAATGTACTTGCTAGTGACATCAGTGTACCTGCCAGTGACATCAATGTACCTGCCAGTGACATCAATGTACTTGTCAGTGACATTGAACAATGTACTTGCTAGGGACATCAGTGTACCTGCTAGTGACATCAATGTCCTTGCTAGTGACATCAATGTTCTTGCCAGTGACATCAATGTACTTGCCAGTGACATCAATGTACTTGCTAGTGACATCAGTGTACTTGCCAGTGACATTAATGTACTTGCCAGTGACATCAATGTACTTGCTAGTGACATTAGTGTACTTGCCAGTGACATCAATGTACTTGCTAGTGACATCAGTGTACTTGCCAGTGACATTAATGTACTTGCCAGTGACATCAGTGTACTTGCTAGTGACATTAGTGTACTTGCCAGTGACACTCAGTGACATCAATGTACTTGCTAGTGACACACATCAATGTACTTACTAGTGATTTAATGTACTCACTTTTTACGTCAATATTCTTTGTGATAACACGAATGTACCGCTACTAGTAATGTCAGTGTTACTGATGTACCTTTTTTAACCTAGACATCTAATTAGTATTGTTTCGAAATGTTTTTGTTTGCAAAACACAACACTTGTTTGGTAAGCATAAGAAAAATAACTTTTAACATAAGACCAACGAAATGCTTTTACGAGTTCCCTCCCTTGCATTTTTCACGTACACAGTGTTGTACTATGTCTGTAATATTCTACTACATTGCCAATGCCTTTTTACACTTCTTATTGTCATACTTTGCACATGACATGATAAAATTCTAGCTACCAAATGTCATGAATTATTTTAAAGAATTGGTCTGTTGAAATACAAGAAAGCAAAATTGATTGTTTACGCAATCTGTATATTTCAAATTGCATGCAGTTTTTTCTAGGTTGATTCTTTATATGGAATCTGAATGATTTTAATAAATCTCATTCTGCAATCGATATAAATGCAAGTTAGTTTGGAATGCAAATTTGAAATCTATATATCCACCAGTGACTGGGGCACAAGGAACGCTAATTTCTACACAGTGTTTTTTTTTCGCACTTAATTTGGGAAGAGACCTAATCCTCTAGATTTGGGAAGAATTATCGCTAAAATTTCCAGTTTGGGAAGTAAAAGGCTAGTGTTCAAATTTTGGGGGAAAATACATGATTTGAAAAAAAAAACAAAAAAAAAAAAAAAAAAACAATGACTGTTATTCTCGTATAAGCTTAAACATCACTGCTGCAAATTGACAAGTCAATTTAAGAGGTTCTGTGGTCTGGTGATTAAACTGACAGGTCCATACAATTGATTTTAGCGCTAAACTTGTAATCTCGAATTTGTTGGTTCGATTCCCGGGCTGCCAAACAAAATTCTTTAAACGTCTTTCGGACAGGTCCCGTGTATGAGTGCTTAAATATTTGGCACGCTAAAGAAGTAGGAGAAACTTCTCTATTGTGGTATCTTTCTGTTCTCAAAATCTAAAATGACTAATATTCTTCTATACTCCTCTGGAGTATATGGCCCATATGGGCAACTGCATGGTGACTTGTAATAAACTCAAATACATGGTATACGCGCGCGCGCATGCGGGCGGGTAATAGTTTTGACATTTATAACTGAACGTGCGGAACGGATTTATTTGGGTTGCTACCGAACTTGAGATACTTAGTACATTATTATGTCTAGAACAACGTAAACACTGTTAGGGTGGAAAACAGACAAAATAGAACTATTTGTACAACAATAATGTGTTTTATTGAAACGTTCTTTAGTTTAATCATACTAATAATTATTTCATTGTATTATATGTAAGGAAATGCCTCTAAAATGAAGCTGATAAATTCAAATGCCTAGAAACCATTAATATGTCTGTTGAAAGGAAATAAAAACTTAAAAGTTAAAATGACGAGGTAAGAAGAGAATTTGTTCATCATATTCTAAGATTGTTAAGTATTCCTGAGCACTTGTCGACGCCAGGCTTGATTCATACTTAAATAATCATTTAAATAGACATAAAAAGTGTATGCGAAATTTGATTTTGCCAACTGATTCAAAGAATACACTTGCTAATCAAAATATTATAAACAGTCACGGCGATTAGGCAATATATTCCCTTAATTAATACCACTTATAAATACAATAGCTGCTTCACCTCGATAATTATTACAATAATCCATACCGAAGGTTTCTTTAAATGAAATGCATTGTTATTGCACACTGAACTATTTAATCCCCGAGTTCATTGTGCAGGGTATTTTGTATCATCAGTAACTTGCACATTGTATTTATACCATGTATAATTCAGTAGATCCTCCAATATATTAATAGTCTATACACTTTAAAATCAGCTTTGCTTGTACATTTCCATCTCAAATCCGTTCGTGGGGTTGTATAGCAATCGTCCGTCAGCAAGCAGAATTCCTCGGCAAGCATCAGTGACCGCTTGACTTACAAACGGACACTCCCTCGAAAGAATTCCCCCTTCCGCTGCGGCCGCCATGCGGATAATCCGGCTGAATAACGGGGACCTCACAACTGGCATCTCCTGAAAAAACATCATATGCCTATTTTGATTAATTGTTGTATATAGTTATATTTTAAGCTATGGATAGGAAACAAAAATTAGGTAAATTATCATCAATAGAAATGCTTCTTAATCTACACATACTTTTACAGGGGAAAACATGCACAAGGCCTGTAACTGGGATAAAATACAAGAGCTGTCAGAAGGACAGCGTGCTCCATTTAGTGCTCGTTCTAAGTGCTTGATAGTAAAACATGAGTCTGGATAATGTAAAAGTTTCCAAGTTCAAAAAGGCAATAAAGATCATAATTCTGTCAAAATTCATGATAGTGTGAAGAGTCACTACCTAATTATGCTCTCAAATACCAGTAAATACGTTAAGTTTCAACCCATTCCCTTCAGCAGTTTTAGAGAGACCAACTTGAACTCGAAAACTTAGCCAAAGTGTGACAGCGATGCTAACACAGACGCCTTGGTGAGTTCAATGGCTCTCATTCTTCGAATAGTTGAGCTAAAAATGAAATGCTTCAATGTACTGTAGCTCTAGTCAACATTTTTGTCAGTGACTGAAAAAACAATTCAATTAACGTTAATTAGAGAAGTCAAAGGACTTATAAATAATTAAGTATATCTATACTGTACAGTGTAACATGGCCTCACTTCACTTATCCTTTTAAAGGAGAAGATTATTTTACGTACCAATTCAGGCGATTTCGGTTCGTCAGCGACGACGCTTGCCTTCTTTGTCAAATCTAATGGCTGGTCTTCAAAGTCCCCCTTTTCAGTTGTTTGACATGACGAAGAATGTGTTCTGAATGACACAGTCTCGTGAGAATCATCTCCAGAATTTCCTGAAACTGACAATTTTTTCTCGCGACGTTCACGAGCCCTCCGATTTTGAAACCAAATTGAAATAAACCCCTCATTCTTCCCAAGCTGTTTTGCAAGCCGCATCTTGGCCAATCTGTCCGGTCTATTTTCCATTTTGAAGCTGCTTTCAAGAATAATCATTTCTTCGGCAGTTATAACCGTTCTCTTACGCTTCTTTTTTAATTTCTTCTTTATTTCCTTGTTGTCAGTTTCCATCTTAATTGTATACGTGACGTCATTGTATGACGTAATCAGCTAAAATCTGTAAGCGCTGAACAGGTGCACGTTGCATCACACACGGAATATAAATCTTAAAATAGTCGTAAAATTTAAAGGAATCGTAAGATCTACAAATAAGATATGGAGCTTCTTTAAAAATATCCTTTATTGGTTTAAAAAAAAACTAGATTCTATATCTAAATTTTATCAAATTATGCAATATTAGGTTTTGGAAACTAAATCAATCTTGACACATGACCGGCGCAACTGGAAAAAATAATTTTAGATTTCGATTAAGATCTAATTTTTTAAAAATAATTTGCTATCGCATGCATGTACCCTCCCTTTTAAATCTGAACTTTTATCACATTCTTTATAATACTGCACGTTTGTAACGCCGCTTTTCATTGGATAATCGTGACGTTTTTAAAAATATTATTAGTTATAAAAGGATTGTATGGCCCTATATTAGCTATACAACCGTTTATATAGTATATATACCGAGGATCAAGCACAAGTTTTTGTTTTGGAACGTATTCTAAACTTTTCGGGGTATACGTGACAAAGCCCGTCCTGCCACTCAATTATGTTATTAAAGAATCTAAAATGTCACACTTGTTGGGTTTTTCGAAGGAGAGTTCATGCCGGTAGCCCCGGTCCCTTTAAATCACTCCTGTTTCATTGCACTTTTTAAGTTTATACAGTATATATGTAATCAAAAATTTGCAGGACGCTAACTGTGACCACGGCTCAATCTCTGACACGCTTGGTAGTGAAGAGGGTGTAACTAACAAAAATATTCTACAGTACATGGGCATTATAGAACAGCGAACAATGGAGTTGATCAAGCTACAACAATACATTCAAATGAAAGTAAGTAAATATGTGGCGTGATAACTCATCAAACATATAGCACTCTTGAAATATTTTAGAATTCCGGTTGAAATTTTTCATTGATCAAAAGCCAGTATCCTATTGATAATTTATAAAATTACTTTGGTAGTATTGAGTCTATAGATCTGTCCACGCACGGCAAGGCCTTATATGGACCATCGGGTGGGTTATACCGTCTATCTCACAAAGGATTGGTACTTTGTTTACAACTGCAGCCCTTTCACAAAACATCTTACTGTAATTACGACAAATTTCTATTCCTAGAGAAATCTCACGATAATTCTCCTTTTCACAAAATATCTTAAGAAAATAAAGTAAGAGCAAAATCTGTGTTTACTTCACGATGGGTGTTTTCTATTCTTAAGTGTGTGTTTTTTGTTTTTCTTGTTGCTTTTTTTTTTAAAGAGTAAAATATCACGTATCTGTTTTTTCATAGCATAAACAAAACATGGAAAACTGTTAAATTACGGTTTTAACATATACTACTTCAGAAAGAGTCACCGAAGCCAGAGAAAAAAGACAAAGGTCAGCCAACACCACCCACGTCACAGGCAAGTGGCAGGACCAGTCCAAAGCACGTACAGGTTGCAATAGTACCGCCTACGTCCATGTAAGTATGTATACGGGACGTTAACTCAGTAAATAATATGTCGTCAGAACTACATTTAGCGCGTCTTTACACTACTGTATCTTTGTATATAACGCAAATGACGTCACGTCAAAATATACAGTATGCACGACCGTGCAATACCGTTTTTACACGATATATGCACAGCACAGCATATGAGGTCAGATATGACGTCAATAAACCAAATGGCATATATTTTGACGTGACGTCATTAGCGTTATACAAACATAGTGTAAAATAGATAAATACAGAATCCCTAAAGAAGGCCCAACACGGCAAAATTGAAAATGTTGCAGGCTCGGTTTGATTGAGCCTGTTCATGGACGGTACTGGAAAGTGCAAGTTACCGTCCACGCCCCCTAGCACCGGCTTAAGCAGAATTCAACATTTAAACATGAAATAGTAAAATTTGAATTTAGAAACATCCGCAGATGTGTTCATACGGCGGTTATCATGGAACCTTCAATGTGACTCAGTAGTGCCATTCCATGAAAAGCGGCGTATGGTCCCCAAAAAATAAAGACGCGCTAAATGTAAGCGTTATACTATAGGCGCGTCAATGAAAAATGACTCTTATTTCACTTGAAACGGTCTTTATTATATACTTATAAATGAAATATTGAGAAATATTGATAAAATAAAATGCGTATTTTCATTTTCCGTATTTTCACTGTAAAAATTTATTTTTCACTGCAGTGAAACATATTTTCCGTATTTTCACTGGTGTCTTGCCGGACTACTTTCTTTTAAATTCTGCCAGTACACAAAATTTAAGGGAAAGTCTTTCCAATTTTATCGCAAAAAAAGAGAAAAATGTTTATAATAAACAGAAAATTCAAGTTTTTTCTATAAATACATGATTTATTTTCATCTTGTGGCATGAAAATTACCATATTTCACTCGTGGCTACCGCCACTCATGAAATATTTATTTTCATACCACTCGATGAAAATAAATTATGTATTTTAGAAAAAACTTGAATATCCTCTATTTATTTTGGGTATGTGATAAATAGAATATTAAGTTCGTGTAAGTTCAATACTGAATTTATTGCACTCGTTGAATAAAATATTATTCAACTCGTGCAATAAATTCGGTATTGAACTTACACTCATTCAATATCCTCTAGATCAAATACTTTGTACTTAATCACTCAGGCTATCGGCGGCGCATTTGAACTGGAACCGCGCATTTTTCTACAACAATGCACTCAAAATTGATATTTTTTTATCATTATTTTGCAGGGAGCATGAAGAGTATGACGAGGGGGAGACACGGCCCCTGACCAGAGATGAAATAAAAGACCTTGTTCTCCGAGCCATCACCAGGAAGCTGGCGAGCGGTGAACATGAACATATACGGAAATCTGACGGGAAAAGGACAAAAACGAAGTCGCCCACCTCTTTACAATAATTTAATGTTTTCATATGAACATAAAACATATAAACAATTATCAACTGACAAATGTGTTACTATTTATTAGACCTAACAAAAATGATCATAGTTAAAATCATAAGTAAACAAATAATTCGTACATAAATTATTATTATGTTTTACATTTGTAAATGATAGTTTGCATCACTTTTAATATCAAATAATCATCAGTACATTCAATACAGTGTAAAAAGCCAATCAAAATCATGTGTTCATTTTCATTAAAATCACTCTGAATAGTAACTTTTCAGTGGTTTGCATTAAATTTGAACCATTGTCCTCTCCAAGAGACAGCTGAAAGTATGCCCACCGTAATGAATTTCAATGTTTTTGATGATTCAAACCAAGATCCATAAAAGGTAAACATTTATCTTTCTGACTCCTCTGTCTGTAAGCATGTGCACTGCACAACCATGGGTGTACAGGATTTCTATATTAATAAATGTTATATAACATCAGTCAACTTGTGTTTAATGTTATAAACCCTTATATCAAGCTAAATATCTTAAATATATTTGTTCATCTTTTAACCTTGACAAAACCAAAATTTTAAATTTTGTACTGACAAATAGTGAACATTGCAGACAGTGAGCAGACGGATGTGCTAGCAGATCTTGGCTTGTTTTGGTCACACAGTAGAACTGTTAAGCATACACTGGTTGCTATGTAAATCAATGGTTGTTATGGAAGTCACTGGTTGCTATGGAAATTCAATAGCACTATAGAAAGTAAATAGTTGCTATGGGAATCACTGGTAGCTAGGGAAAGTCAAGGGTTGCTATGAACAACATTGGTTGCTTCGGAAGTCACTAGTTGCTATGGAAAGTCAATGGAGCACAATCATTTAAACAATTTTAGTACAGCTTTATGCAAGGAATATCCTAAAATTACTTCAAATTTGACCCAGTGGTTCCTGACAAGAAGTCATTAGAAGAAGTAGATAAAATCTGATCACAAAAAAAACAACAACAAAAAACACTCAAGAGCTTAATCCTGCTTAAACAAAGAAAAACTTCATAATACGGAAAAACTGTAAAATATTTATTGTAAGAAATTTTATCAGGCTCAGACAAACCAGGTTTAAGGTTAATAATATCTGTCATATGTTGCGGTTCGGACCGGAATATCCGTCCCGAGGGGACCCGCCCATTGGGTGGTAACAAGGCTTGCCTCGTTCCCGCCCATGGGCGGGTTCCCGAGGGACGGATATTCCGGTCCGAACCGCAAACATATGTCAGATAATTTTTCTTGCATATTCTGACATATTATTTCATATTTAAAATGGTTTACCTCAATATGATACATGTGCATGGACATTAAAGTCATTTCATCCATAACTATTTTCTTACAATAGCGTATAAACTTACATTGTACAACCTAAATAACAACGACGAAATAATGTCATCCTAAGGACATATTTCCCTTCTAAAAGGACGTCATTTTAAGGCGGTTCTTTCATAAAGTGCGCAACAATGACGTTGTTGTCTGGCACGCGACTCATCTGGCACCCCCCCATGCCAGATGAAATTTCCAGCATGGGTAAAACTCACGGAAACACCAGTCTGCTATGCAAGAATATATTATCCAAGCTGCATTTAAAGGCCTTATGATAATTAAGAAGAGAAAAAAATCTTTTTTTATACAGGGCCATATAACCTAACAAAATCTTGATAACTAACAATATACCTTTTTCAGCTCCTACCAATGATTTACAATAAAATTGTTAACTATGTTACTTTAAACAGTCACTGATTATCAAGGACATCTGTTAGAGACAACATGTGTACAATAAACAATCAATATTATACCTCATTTGCATACGCCCTTCTATATTTAATATGACGTCACCCGGTCCATAAACCGCATACAGACCGGGGGCGGTCCATAATTCTTATATGGACTGGATGACGTCATATTAAATCTTAAAGTTCGTTTTCGGCCTGTTTAATTTGATTTTTAAAAATTGAATAACAAAAGAAGAGCATGGTTTGTTTGCTGTATCGCTTTAAAATTATAATAATAATTCTGACTAGGGTTTGAAATATTTCACACACTGAACAAATAAATTATTATTTGAAAGTAAATTATAGTAAAACTGTCAGCAACAAAAGGAATGAAATGATTTAGATTCGGTATAATATAACAATAAAACATGGCCTTTCGGGCAAAATGCAAGTTTACGGACTGGTTGGTCAGACCTCGGAGGGTATATGTCCCTCAGCTGCGCTTCGGGCCATATACCTTCCTCAGTCTGACCAACCAGTCTGTAAACTTGCATATTGCCCTCAAGGCCATGTTTTATTTGTTAAATATAAATATATTTTACAAAGTTTACACACATGGAATGACTAGAATTCAATAACAATCTTGTGTATTTGGCTGTACTAGTGTATACATGTGCTTGGTTATACTAATGTACCAGTACAATTTACATAAAAAAAATTATATATTAATATGTCCAACAATTTGTCTTGCACAGAACCATAATGTCATATTTCAAAATTCTTCTTTATTACTGATTAAATCAGTTTAAAAAGTAATTTTGCAAAAAACAAAAGCTGGCCGCAAGCAGAGGGGCAAATTAAAACATTTTCTTATTTTTAAGGCCAAACAACACCTTGGATGAAAATTATAGTAGTGAAGAGTTCTCTAGGAAAACATCATTTCCTGGTACAAAATTTTATAACAAGTTCATATTTGACCTTGGGGGTCAAGGTCATTTACAAATCAAGATCACACTAACATTATTCAACATGATTAAACACCATTGACATTTCAATGTTGTCATTCAGGTAAGTGTTATTTTGCCCAAGTTGGAATAAAATCTATTCATAAATTAACAAAGTAATGACAATCTAAGTAAAATTCAAAAACTTGACCATCAAAGTCACTGTAAGATCAAAGTCGAACATAAATAAAACATGAAAATACATGATAAAGTTTTCATAATTAAGACAAAGTTCAATAATTTGACATTCATGGTAAAGATCACTTTTAGGTTGAGGTTTTGTTTGGGTTATTCATCACCTTCATATGGTATAAAACAGATATGTAAAAAAATAACAATATTAAGTTAATAATTCAGCCAATCTACATGTAAGCAAAATTCTTTAATTTGACCTCGACAGCAAAGGTCATTTTAAGGTCAGGGTCAGATTTCTTCTTACCTTAATGTAGTTCAGCATATTATCAATTCTCTTTTTATTAGCATGTTAGAATGGAAAAAGGTATTAATTTTGCTTGCATTTTGTAGTATAATAATGCAGGGTTTATCGTTCAAATGCTTTGTAATTAATCATTTAGGCCTGCCCTCGTGGCCTTTGTGATTATTATCCTGCTCATTTTCACTGGGATCGTGCCTTATTCTATAACAATACACTCAAAATAAATATGTATTTCCTAAATAACAAAGTTCTGACAATTTAAGCAAAATTCATTATATTCATCGTAACAATAAAGATCATTTTAAGGTCAGTCAAATCTGGATAAATATTAAAAATACCAATTTTGTTAAAAGTGTTCTGTGTCTTACAAGGAACCAAATTAGAGTCAAGGTCATTTATGAGTGAAGTCTGTGAAGGTCACGGCCAGTTTCCTTTATCTATGTTTAGATATAGTAGGATATTGAATGAGTGTAGATTCAATACTGAATTTATTGAATGAGTTGAATAAAATTATGGGAGGCTTTAACAAGCAAAAATATTATTTTATTCAAATAGTTCAATAAATTCAATAATGAATCTACAAGAATATAATATTCTATTTACTACATACCCAAAATAAAGACTGTTTAAAGTGCAAATTAATCAGTTTTCGTTGACGCGCATATAGTGTAATGCTAACATTTACTGCGTCTTTACACTATTTTTCTATAACGCAAATGATGTCACATTAAAATATATGCGCGGCCCTTTAATACTATTTTTACGAAGTCGCAAAATCAGCACGGGTATGTGATAAATTAATTTTATGAAGACCAAAATAAATTGTCACTTAAATCAAATTAATATTTTTATATACAAAATGTACATGTAAATTAATTCAGTATATTTCTATGAGAATGAGTGAACTTCAATAAATAACCCATCAAGCAAATGTGACTATAAATAATGCTGAGACATTCATAATTTGTTCATCTTTTAAGGTTGGTTGAGTTTAATATGGGTAAAGCACTGTCAAGGTCACATGGCTGCTTTCCAGCTGTACTGGTGGATGGAGACCTCAGGTCCAAACCGTCCATTATTTCAGACACAAACCGACACCTGAGTTAAATGGCTGACATTCCTTAAGCTAGCTGGATAGCAATGGTCCTCACATGAAAGAATCAAAAGTCCCTGGCATCATTTGAACCTGAATTGTTGAGGGGAAATGTGGTTTAAGGTAAACAACCTATACCACTCAGCCATGGTGGACAACCCTGTTAAGTTATACGTGTAGAAGTCAAACCTATAACATCAGTATACAGCACCTAGGGCATTTTGAACTTCATGCAATCTAACACGGCTCTTAACTGTTGGCTGTTCAATTTAAATCCCCAAGACTCGTTACAAAACTTCCAAATTGGAAACCAGATGAGTCACTTACACACCAGTCTGCAGAGTCAAATAAAATACACCTGTAGCTAATGTTGCTGAGCTTGACATGATCTGATAGAGAGAATCACCAGTAGTGGAAATAATGGCGCTATCACCTCTGTATGTGAAAGTCTTGATGATCGCTCACTGAATTTCTTACACAATAAAAACTTAAACACAAACAGTAATGAACAACAAAGCAATGATGAAATCAATCTTAATCCTGCCGGCCTAAATGCGTAATCCTGGTACTGTCGGATGAACACTATAATACAGAAGTATGTGTTGAGACCGTCTGCGAAATAAAGCGGTGAAAATGTTGACCACCAAGTCAAGTGCAGCACACCTTCTTGTTTCAATACAACAAGAATAGAAAATATAAATATTGTCACAAGATGTACCCAGATCTCGAACGCTGTCATTCCAAACCATCTTACCAGCTCTTTTAATGTCAGAAACATCTTGCTTTAATGTGTACTAAACCTTCAGCTCTAGGCTTTGCACTATATTCACATTCTTCTATATCTTCTATTAGAATTTTGTAATTTCTTCCTCTTTAAGAATTATGTATTTTCTTGCTCTTTAAGAATTATGTAATTTCTACCTCTTTTAGAATTACATGTACATGTT